TACTTCAAACAGATGTATATGACCTTGGGTTGTTTGCACTTAAAAGAAACCTGTTACTTACAACTGAATTCTTCAGCATTATGAAGACTAACATCAAGGAGTTATGAAGGCAGAAATCTGTGTGCATTAGCCAGGGACTCTATCTCTACAGCTGGTCCTTGAACAGGCAGATTCATATAAGGACTATCAAACAGAGTTTGATATGATTTGTCCGTTATACTATCTGTTCTTGAAGAACTGGGCTTTGGTAAATTCTCCAGGAAAGAAAAATCACTCTCAAAATCTTCCAAACAATCTGACAATTCTGAAATAAAAATTGTGGTAAAGCAGTAACAATTTGTTCTTCTCCTTGAGATTACTTAACTCATGAAAGTGTTTAATTGTGTATTAACATTCATGTATTTTAATGAGTCTATAATCATGCATTTGATTTTTATCCCATGCCCTTCAATTCTTTAGTTTACAAAAGAATTGTACATGGAGTCACTGTAGTGCAGTGGTTAAGAGTGCACAACTGAGGATCTGGTTAGTTTTTAAAAAGGGATCTGTATACCGCAACAGTTGGTGCATGCATAATCCATCGGCCAAGTATGAGGTAATTCTGTGGTACGTAGCTGAGATGAATAAACTTTGTTTTAAAAAATGTTCTGAATGTTTTCTACTAAGTGAACAGAAAGTTGTTACTATTCTAGTTTTAGCACTAGAAGAACTCAGGCAACAAGTTTTCTTTCTGCTTTCATACAACTTAGCACCAAGTTCCTATTATTTTAGGCTCTGTGTATTTGTAGTTTTGTGGAAAAGTTTGCACATAACAGCAGAAAATCATATGCTAATTAGCCCACAATTTGCACAGCATATTCACAAAATGTGCTAGCTCCAGTTAGAATAATCAACCTCTGATTGGTTTGATCAATTGCTGAAACCACACACTACAGGTCAATCGTACATTAAGCAGCCAACAATTAACCTAAGAACTGGTTAACTTTGGGTTGCTTTAACCCACAATAAATCTATGCTTAGTTCAGCACAACTGGAAGATTATACAATGCGGAAGCAGCATAAACAGGCCATGCACAGTGGCAAAGACTGATTTACAGTCTTTGTAGGGCTGAAAAAACATAGTGACCTAAACATTTGTTTCCAGCACCTAGTAATTTGAAATACTTTTCTACCCTGATGATGGGTGATGGTCTAATCATTTTGCAATGCTGGTGTGGACTAATTTCCAAATACTAGTGGCACTTATGCAGTGGGTGGTGGTGGAGGGGGGGTGTCAAAGCTCACCTTCCCTGCTGTAAAGAGAAATGACACCTCATTCCAAATGTTGGAGATTTCAGTCCCACCAGCAAAGGATTATGACCTGCTAACCTCTTAGATAATTTCAGTTTTTTCAGTGATGTGCACATATTTGATAGTTCTGTGCTTTGAATTTGGAACATTCAGAACTACATTAAGACTGATTTGAACAGACTTGGGAGATGCCAGAATCAAAGCTGGAGTCTCTTAAAACAAACCATAGCTTTATTCGTAATTTGGATTCAGAGAACAGACAGTTTGATTCCAAAAATTGATTCATTTCAGCCCAGCCTCTCCATAGAAGGAAAATACTAGCGGGAGGGAGTTTGCTCATCCTCTCTTCCAGGAACAGGAAGGTTTAAAGAGTTTTGATGGAATATGTAAGACCTAAAAGTGTGCCAAATTGAGGGCTTGCTTGGAAAATGCTAAGTGTTCAAATCCTTTGCCACTGTATGTTCCATAATCATCATCTATCTCTGCCCTATTATACTTTCTCTGACTTTGGCACCCGCTCAACAGAAAGCAAGCGAGTCTTCAACCATTTTTCATTCCTGGTAACAACATCCTAGTCTGTGCATCTACCCTTCTGAAATTTTGCAGGTTCCTTAGTTAGGCCTATATTATGCTGCTGTGACATAGGCCATTTTCATAGAAATTGCCCTGAAAAACATGGCAAAACTCTTCAACCTAAATTCAAAAACTCTTTTCCACCAAAAACAAACAGAACCTAAAAGACACACCCGTTACCCTTCTTCCTGCTTGATTTTGTACCAGTTGCAATTTCTGGACCATCTTCAAGGGCAGCCCTTCATAGAGCACATTGCAGTAATCTATCCTGGATGTTACCAGGGCATGAGTGACTGTTTTCAGGCTCTTGCAGAGAAGCAAAGAGAAAATAACAGAAATAAAATTCCAAAGAAACCTACACCCCGCTGATGATGTTGGACTATAGGCCCCATCATTCCTGACCACTGCGCATGCAGACTACTGCTTATGAAAGTTGCAGTCTAACATCATTTAGAGCAGGGCAGTTGAACATGCAGCTGCCAAGGCCTTGTTCTGTGGCCCTCTGGCCACTTGGAGCCCTCCCTCCCCGCTTCCAGTCCAGATCCCAGCAATGGCATGGGCGTGATTGTGGTGAGCATTCACAAGGCCACCGTCTCATCCCACTCTCTTCCTGAGGCACTCATCAGCTAGAGTGATCTGGGGATGCCAGCCTGATAGATTCTCCCAGCTAGGCTGCTGGCCAAATGCCACTCCAGCTGATGAGCAAAAGGTGCCCAGGAGCCGAGCACCTTTTTGCTCCTCAACAGCAGCAGGTGGGGCTTGCTGGGGACAGTCTGTGGCACTGGTGGCCCTGTGCTGCTCCAGCAGACAAGTACAAAGGTGCCCAGGCGCTCTTGCAGCTCTTGGTCCCAGTAGCTAAGGCTAAGGAGAGGGGTTTCAACATTTTAGAATGGGTGGAGGGGAATGCTCAAGATGGGAAAGAACCAAATGATCAGAGGCAAAAAAGAAAAGGGGTGGTGATAGGGGAATGGGTATTCTACTATCTGTGGGATCATGGAGAGCAAGGTTGACACACCAGGTGGGCAACTGTGCTTTGTGGGCCTGAGATTCGAGCCCTCTGTCCAGGTTAGAGGTGCCAGCACTGCTCCTTCCTTGGCTGCTGCTACACACCCTCATGTGAGATGCAAGCGATGGATTATGCAACTTACTTTTCCAGGTTTGTAGAAGTAACATTTCCCTTGGCATTTGCTTTAGATTCTTCAGTAGACTGCAACTGCTCATTAAAATATTGTTTAAAATGAATGAATATGATTATTATAATTAAATATTAATTTTATAAACTTTTCTACTCAAGCATAACTTATCATGTGACCCAAATCTGTTGCATTTTCTAAATATTTTCTCTAGAACCTTTTAAAATTGCAAGTACTAAAAAATGGTTTTGAATTAAAAATCTTGGTAATCCAGAATATTTAAATAAAGCCTCTTTAAACTAAAAGCAATAAACAATAAGCAATCATAAGAGTCCTTACCCATCATAATTGGATCTCACTAGATATCCACTTATTTTGGGACACTTTTAGAGTGATACTATATGGCAGTTATGCTCATATGTGGCAACTACATCAGAACTACCATTCCGATAGTTGTGCAATCCAGGATAGCCCAGACAGAGGAAAGAAAACCCCCAGCCTACCAGCACTTGACAACATTGTGACTCCTTATCACTCCCAGGGCACTATGGAGACAATGCCCACATCCTCTATCTAGACTAGAGGATGCCTACTCTTGTTAGCTAATCTGCAGTGGGAGTGGCCATAATGACACTGAGCTTCTCCTGCGTGTGCCTCCTAGATGTGAACAGCCATACCATGGGCAGCAAGCACACAGCTCCCAAGAGCCCCAGGTAACCCTGCAGAAATGGCTCCAAAGTACATTAAGTACTACAATCTACATGCCAGCACCCAGCATCAGGACCCAATCAGCCTTTCCCTGACAATCAATGGGAGCAACCCTACAAACTCAGCCCCGGCTCATTCACCAGAGCTCCCCTCACCAGACTTCCCTCTTGTATGTTTCAAGTGCTCAGGATACAGGGCCAGTGAGATTTACCCATGCAGTGTCTGGTCTCCCTGTGTGGTGACCATACTGTGCTGTCACTGGAGGCCGTTACACTGTAACTGATGTTGTGTTGTGTTGCTGTGAGCAGGGTGATTGTTGGCACTGGAAAAGTGTGCGTTTATCCGCCACTGAAGTCACAAGGAGGGAAATTTCTCTCACCAAATCCAGCATTGGTTTAAATGATGCCCATATCACCCTACGCCTTTCTTGGCATTCTGTTTCTGCGTCTTCACTGGTGAAACTGGTCCACCAGCAGGAAGTTCCATCACGGTATCAGGGGAGTCCTGCCAGTGTATCTGGCACTGGGGTGAAATGTCTTGAGTGCTGCTGAAACAACTCCAATATAGGATTGTAATTTTATTGTTTGAAGGTGCTATTGTTCCAGCACCGTTTTAATCAATAGAATATATCCCTGCAAATTGGACTAGCTTCCTTCAGATGTAGGCAAGGCTAGCAGCTCAAAAGAACAAGGAAGAATATCATGGTAGCCATGTCCCCACCAGCCAAATAGGTTTGCTGTCTTTCCAAAATAGACTGTTAGTCATTTACTAATATACATGCAAGATAAGTTAGGGCTGCTTCACACACTACTTTCTGAGATGAATATAGCTGACGCCCAAACAACATGTTACAAGTAGAGATGTGGACAGGTATTATATGTAGATGTGGAAAAACATGATATATTAGTGGACTAGATCCAGATTTTATCATAACTGAAATAGGATAACTAACTTTACATAAAATTTGGATCGCTTCACATTTTTACACCTCTGCTTCACAAAGCAACAACCAATGAAATGGCACAAGGGCAGAAACAGGGAGGCATTATTGTGATGGCAGCATATCAGATGGCTTTTCAACTAGATGGTCTTGAAGAGACATAGGAAGGCAGTGGCCTTACACTCCTCTAGAATATGCCCTTTTGGCCTAAGTTGTTTTAAATGTACACTTGAAAATCTTAACATGCATGTAACATGATGAATTCTACAAAAGTATGTTTTAAGGTAAGCTGAAAGCAAACTTGGAAACACAGTTCCAAATGAATTCTGCCATGTTTCCAGAGTTGGTATTTCACTTTATTTGCATATCAAAGAAAATATCTTCACCTCAGATGCAGCATGATGACCAGAATGGAAACATGGAAAGCCTACATAGATTTCAGACATCTTTTGAGCAGTCTTCTCACAGAAATGCAAAAAGGTCCTCTAAGAGAAGCAAAGTAACATACACAGATTATAATATAAATGTGATTTTTAGCAAACATATATATTGATATTTTTCCACATGGATGCATTGCAATGGACAATGAAAGGGTTAAATGATATCATATATTTGACTCTGAAGAAGCAGCAGACTTGGTAAAAAAAGTACCTGATGGCCTAACTAAGCATCTTGAGGAAACCCACCCAAACTCATGTTTCAGATATATGCATAAGATGATCCTAGATCATCAGTCTCCAGTGAATGATGCAATGGCTTATCTAAATGAAAGATGGTAGAAATGCAGTACCAGTTTGCACTGGCAAAGCATAGTGCAGCTTGTTGTGCTTTAATCTTGCTTTCTGGCAAGATCTCTGCTGCAGATGGTTTGGGTCAAGTCTTCGCAGCTGTTGTTAAGAAACTAGCTGAAGCGCAGTCTCACTCATGCTAAGGCCTAACTGGAAAATAAACTGCATTTGACAGCTCATGCCATGTACCTGCAATTATAAGGGGACAAAGTGAATTTGCTTGATTAGTTTGGAGGATGCCATAACCATATATGACCAACAACTGGGAAGATTGTGAAATTAACTTTGGTGTAAAGGAGATGTACAAGAGGAAATAGGTCCAAGGTAAAATGGCATGCTAATTGAATAAGATACTGTGCAGGAACTTTGAAAAAGAAAGCATGTGGAGATACTCTAGAAAACAAAACATAAGAACAAGAGAGGCCTAGAGAACATTTCACAGCTTGAGGATTGAATTGGCTCTGGCAAACATTTTAAAGAGCACATGCCAGCAGTGAGATGATTTCACCCTGATATGCTTGCTCACCCCTGACCTCACTGCACACACAAGAGCCCTCACTCCCTAAAATGCACCACTACTGTCAGTCAGGCCTTTGAAAAGCCTGATTACAATGCAATCAGACAATTTTTTAAGGTCACAGCAGTGAGGAGGGGATGGTTAACCCTCCCCTCCCCAGGAGTGATTTCACCCCCAAAATGTACTGCAATTAGGGTTTTTTTAAACCATCAACTGGCATCTGCCAAGGCCTTCTAAAAGCTTAACTACAGCACATGAAGGGCAACTTTTGAGGGAGACTAGCAGCAACATCCCACTTAAATGCTCCTTGCACTGTTATTAAGAATATTTGCCTATTATCTTGGGGTAATATAGAAAATCTATCCTTTTGAAGGCGAAATAGACAAATGCCCCTATTTGAGACATTTCTAACAATTGGTGCATTAACACATATACTAAATTTTGGATCTCTTGATTAGTGATAACAGCAAACCAGTACTGCTCAAATATATACTCTAGCTCAGATACATCAGAATTATAGTTCTGAATACCTCCCAGGTTAATTAGCTGGGCCAAGCAGTATGGGAAACTACAGTTCTCATACACTCTGGTAGCAAAGGATATTTCTGGTAATTTAATTTATGCCCAGGCCTTAAGGGAGTATTGTCTTGTCAGAGAGAGCTCAGAAAAACTGTGCTTATTACGAAGTGAGCTGGGGAAGTGCACCATGACTACTCTAAGAAATCCTTTCTACCTCCATCAATTGATCTGTCTTATACATCTTCATATATACAGCTTATGAAAATGGAAGTCACACTCAGTAAACCAAATATGTTCAACCTCAGAGAGTCTTCATCAATGTTACATTCTCCCTAAGAAACTGGAGCATATACCTGATAGACAGCAAGACAATGTGACAGCATATTACAGCGACTAGCCCCTAGAAGGTCCACCTTCTGACAAACATCCATATTCAGCTTACCAAACTGGTTTTTGGTGTTTCTTACTAGCATCTGCACCTAGAAAAATAAAAGTGGAATTTATATTTAAAGTGGACACATAAAAAAAAATACTAGCTGGTCCCACCATAGCAACCTCTATAAAAACACAACTGCCTATAATATTATGCCCAACACAAGTGTGAGGATACAACTACCCTTATGTCAGTACTGGGACCTGATACCCAAGCAGGGGAGTGCTGGTCTTGTCACATACTAGACTGAAGGATTGTCTGTTCACACAAAGAAAAACAAAAGTATGTAGTGGTTAATCAAGAAGGTATATTTCATTATTCCTATAGGAGTTAAAAGTATTACTGTTATATAAAGAGGAATCCATATTGCTTCACTTTAACTCAAAAGAGGTTTTATCTTGCATAGCCAGGGAAATCCAAATAAGACAGGAGCCCCAGTTATATGGCTTGCTTTCCACTGTGGTGAGGGGAATGGAAAGGGGGTTCAGGATCATGCATGTGCCTGAGACTTATATACAGTCTCTCCTCTAATACTCTCCCCAGAAGAAGCAGGCTCTGCAACACCTCTGCACTGGTAATATATACTTTTCTGAACTTCTCCATTTGCTTGCAGGTGTCAGGGTTTAATTCTTGTGAAGCATCCTTCATCCACAGCAAAGCCCCTCTGTACTCCATGCATGCCTGCTCCATTCGAGTGATTGTGAGCAAGGTGTCAGCCATAGCCCTCTGACTAAATGTTGCATGTTCTTGTCCAAAGCGTGATAAAGTAGTGCAAAGAGCTAGCCTGAAGATAAAAGGAGGAGAGAGAAGTGAAAGCACCAACGTTATGTGGTGACAGTAGAGGACAGACAGAACAATTAGAATTTCCTGTTATATGTTTCAATATGATACAACTAATCAACACTTTTATTGTCCTTTCTGTGACACAATAGTAATGTTTGTTTGGATACATAAGCACAACTGCAACCAAAAACTTCCTATATAAAATAATATTGTTCACACTGAAAATCACTAAGTTTGTAGCACATAGATTATAATCTACAAATCTGTTTATTTAAAAAAAAACTACTTTAATTGCAGCTCAATCTCAATGGACAGGTATATCTGAGATGGACAGTAGCAGCCACAGACAGCAGCAAATCTTTAATGTTCCCTGAGGGTGATTAGGAAGTGGCCCATGATCCCATGGCCTGCATCCAATCTCTTAAATACAATTAATTGTCCCCTTCACTGTATCTAGGATTGCACCTGAGTTGAGTAAGCATTGTTCAGACACTGGAAAGTCAAATTAGATGCAACATATGAAATTCATGGCTAGGATAACCCATTTTCTCCTTTCCTTTTACTAATTTAGCAACTTGGTTTGGCTCCTTTGAAGATTAGAAAATTGGCTTTCTGAGAGAAAGTATTTAACCTTTTGACTAAGCTAAAACATCTTCTTCCCAGGGTGCTACTTCCCCAGTCTTCAAAGCAGCCATATGGGCCTTTAAATTAGTAAAAACCAGTGCTTTTTTTGTCATAGAACGCACCGGAATGGAGTTCTGGCACCTTTTTTCAACAGATTTTCCAAGTTTTAAAAATAACTTTTGAAAATTTGATGTTTGGTCTATGTGGATTTGAATCACCCTGTCGAGCGTAGCAGGTCAGCAGCAAAATCATTAAAACGGTGCATGCGGGCTGCTCGTATGTCGAATCCAATGCATGCGTACTTCGTCTGTGCTGGTTGTGATGGCGCTGCTCAGCTTGTGATTGCTCATGTGGTCGCGCACTGAGTGCTTACTGTGGGCGGCGACTGTTATGTTTCATTACACAATTGACGTGTGTGGGTGTGTGTACAGTGATTGACTATGTGAGAAAGGTAAATAATTTCATGAGTTCCAGCACCTTTTTTCTTACAAAAAAAGCACTGGTAAAAACTAAAGTAAAATAGTTATTGTAAGGGATGCTGATCACAAATCTTTTATGTCACATTTTACTGAAAAAGAGTTGGGAAAAAGTAACCCTGACAAGAAAAATAATTTAAGCGTTAGGGCTCAAAACGATGCAGAGTTCAATACAACATGCTCAGCTGAATGAACTGATCTAAAGAAACAAGAAGTCAGTATAGCATCTGTCCAGTGTTACAAAAATAGCTTGTTGCTAGATATATGGGATGTGGGAACACTAACAGTGATGGAAAGAAAATACAAAAATGCACTTACTGTGGTTTCAAGTCTCCCTGCATGCTTAATGTCTTGTTTAAAAAAGCCAGAATATTGTACAGTTAAATAAATCCACAGTATTCTTATTTATAAATTTGCTCTCAACATTTAAGCATAGCTAACTTTTCATGACAAGTACTAAAGTAATGCTGAAGTGAACAATTGTAGTTTCACTCAACTTTTATAAATCTGCTATCCCATTTCAGTCATTGGTGTTGCTGCAGTGTTTGCTACATATGCTGAGTATTATTTTAGAACAATCACACTGAACACAATGGGAAGAATGCAAGATTGTGCAACCACTCATGCATTCCTCCTGTGCTCCCTGAACTCTGCTCCAGAGAGTCCCGCAATTCTTCCAAGAAGAACTTGAAGGCATGAAGAAGGCTGCAGGGGAAGCAGGTTTATCAGCAGAAAAACATCATTAGATTTCACCCAACACCACTCCAAACAAACCTTTGTTGAGAAGAACAAGAGAAGGCCTGGCCAGTGGCATCAGTCATTCTGTCAATTTGAGCTTCACCCCATCTGCTTAAAACTTTAAGAAGAGCCCTAGTTCATCTTCCTGTTCAGATACGGCTACTAAGAAAATAGGCAAAATTAGTCATTTGACATTTTTAGTATATCCATACAGGTTAAATGGGAACAGGAAATGGTAAATTTTTTATCATAAGTGCATTACACAGTAAACTAGATGACATATTATCTTTTACTGGAGAATTGTCCATGAAAGTTTTCACACCCACATGACTGTTTCACACAGAACAAAAAGGCTTGATACTGTTTCTAACAGATATTCTTGTCAAAAGTGAATCTTACCTGATATGCAAGTTTTATCTCACTAATATGGAATCTTCTCCACATACCCAATGTGTAACACAATAAAAGAGTGAAGTAGCAGCTTTAAATAATACAAAGTTCTGACTTACTCATAGTGAGCACAATAGGTCCAAAGTTATATCCTACAGATTTTGTTGGGGATGGTTTAAGAATGGGTCTATTTCACTCACTGAACACAGTATCAATCAAAAGATCAACATTTCCATTGGACTATATCCAATATGTGTTAAAATTGTCTTTGATGTGGAATGGTCAATTTCTCCTCTGTTAGGAAAAACAAAGGCTCTAGAAACATGCAATATAGTCAACATAATGCAATGATAGTCATTTTTTCAGTTGCTTTTGGTTGTTTTTATTGGGTTGTATCCAATGATGTCCATCTCCTAGCACTAATGAAACAAATTCCTCCTCCCTTGCAAACCTACCCCCATCCTAAGTCTGTTTCAGAGTGTTGGAGTATACCTTGGGGCAGATTTGGAGAATGTTCAGGGTTGGGAGGATAGGAAGAGGAGGTCTCTTGTGAGAATCCACTTGCATGAAACTAGATGAAGTCCATTGCAAGGTATGCATGTTCTGCTTTGTACCTGTGTTCACAGCAGAAATACTAATCTTTCAGAGATCTATACTCCCAAGTACACATTCCAAACAAAATTAAAACCAATAAAGTTTATTTATTGATGTTATTATCGTTGACAAGCCTTCCCACAAACTGGTTCCCTGATGCTTTGTACTACAACTTCCAACATCCCTAAGCATTGGCCATAATGTCTGGGGTTGTTAGGAATCGAAGTCCGAAACATTTGGAGGACTTTGGGGAGGGCTGACACATGTGATAAACAGCCAAATGTCACAGGGAGCAGGAATGAGTAGTATACATTTGGACAGAAGCAAGAGATTTTGTAAGCCAGACAACTGGAACTGGCTTCTTTCCTACCTCTTCAGTGATGCACTAATGCCGAAAGAAAACTTTGGACTTTTTGGCATACTTGCCAAAATGTTTTTCTGCTGCCATATTGCACATATCAGAATGTGTATGTTCACACAGAAATATAAAGGTTAAAAATGCCTCGTAAAATAAAATCAACACAACAAAAAGCAAATTGGTCACTACTCTAGACATCTGATAAGATCAAATTGCCATACAATTAAAAAGTCACTTGAGTTCAACCTAATTTTTTCATTGTGCTCTCTGCTGCCTGTTTGAAATGTTTTTTTCCTTTGTTTGTTTTTCACAACTACCCTGTCCTTGTTACTTGTCACACCTGGAAGTAGAAAATGTCAACAGGTTTATGATTACTAAAAAAAAAAGGAACTGGGTTCTCCAAGTATTCAATTCCAATCCATTAGATGTTTCAAACATTTAAAAGAACAAACAAAGGGACTGTTTTACCCAGTTCCCAAGCAGAAATAATTTATTCTGGGAGCCAAGAATGGATAGCCTTTTTAGATTTAGACTGGTTCTGTGCCATTCAATGGATCTAACTTCTTATTTAATTTGGTTCAGGATTATTCTGTTTAATGTCATTACTTGATAGTAATTGGTTGATAGTAATTGCAAATGCAGACAAAGTATGTATAACTCCTTATGTTAAGTAGTATGAATAATAAAGGATAAAATTTTAATGTCCAATCACTGAATACAGAATAGTATCTAAAGTACATTTTGTCAATGTTACCTTTACGTCTCTGTTGGTATTTTAAAATCGTCTTTAGAAGATCAATGCAGGTAATCTGAATGCTGTGAAAAACCTTGAAAATGAAAGGTTTGTTACCATATAATTTGACCAATTCAGCATAAATGGTAAAGCAATCACTGTCATTGTAAGCTGCCTTGAGCCCTTTGTAGGAAAAAGGCAGGATACAAATCAATCAATCAATCAATCAAAAACAAACTTGCAAACCACAACCTGTACTTTAAAATCAAAGAATAAAGTGCAAAAGCAGGACTGCAGCTGAACATTAGGGAAAGTAAAAATCATGACTGCTGAAAAAATACACAATTTTAATATCAACCATGAAGAAATTGAAACTGAAAAAATTTGCATACCTCTGCTGAATCTTCAATTCAAATGGAGTCTTCAGCCAAAAAAATTAGAAGACTGAAACTTGAAAGAGCAGCAGTTAAGGAATTAGAGAAGATTATTAAGTGTAAAGAGTTTTCACTGAAGAACAGAGCCAAGGTCATCCACACTATTATATTTCAGATCACTATGGATGGTTGTGAAAGCCAGACAGTGGAGAAAGATGACAAGAAGAAAATTGATGCATTTGAAAGACGGTGCTGGATGAGAAAATCAATGGAGAAGACCATCATACTAGGGAAAATTGAAAGCAGAAGAAGATGAGCCACAGCCTTGAGTTTACAAGAACAAGGCAGCACTATCAAGGACAGGACATTTTGAAGGGCATTCATTCATAGGGTTACCATCAGTTGGAAACAACTTGATAGCACATAACAACATTATAGTGGTTGAAAGGAAATACACAGTTTACAAACTGTAGTCCTAGATTGCCTTTGGATGTGATGCCCAGCTATTTGATATCCTGGCTTGGTTTAACTTGATCAGCTCAGTTTTCCATGTCAGATAGATGCCATTGTTTACTGTGATCATCTTGGAAATTACATCATTGAAGAGCTACTTCAGATTACAATCTCTGCAAATGTGGAACAATGTTCCACAGAATGTCATAGTACTTCTTTTTCTGTATTAAATCATCTTACGTATGCCTGCCCATTATCAAAAGAAAGGTTATGCTTGGGTTGGAAAGACTATGTATATAGCTTAACTATCTCTAGCATTAAGCTAGCCCCATCCCTCCCAACTGAACACAGTATTTCAGAACAGGGCAAGGTTAGGGCGTTCCACAAACACATTAAGCCTACATTGCAATCCTATACATGTTTGTATAGGAACTCAGAGGGGCCCCACTGAGTTCACTGGGGCTTAGGTAAGTAGGTTAAGGGTGCAATCCTATGCACATTTAGATGGAAAAAATCCTACAAACCCCAGTGTCCTGTCAGCCATACTGGGACATGCTAGGATTTGAAGAACTTTTTGCAGTTTAAGCCTTCATAGAACTGCACCTTCAGAATTGCACCCTTAGCCATTTTCTCCCATCAGTCCAAGCCAGCACGGGCAGTAGTTAGGTAAGAGGAAAGATGTGCTCCAGCTACACATGGGAGGCTGCGGGTCCCCTGCTGTCTTGTGGTAAGTGACTTCGTAACAGTTTGGATCAACTCACTATCCTCCACACGGATACTTGCTCAAGAAAGCACTTCTGTAGGGAGGAGACTGAGAAACTTGCACAGCTTGAAGACTTGCATTACATGCAACTTTGTTGGTCAGTTTGGGTGGGGGGAATGAAAAAAAGCAAAGGTGCCAGCACAGTTATAGGATTTACTACACTTTGTGAGTATTTAGACTGGGAAAAAATGCTCCCATGGCTGGCTAGATGTTGGGAGTTGTAGTATTTTTTCTGTCTCGGTATGCATAGGACTGTACCGTAAAGGTACTGTGGTTCAATGCAAAAGCATGAAGCTGTGGGAGGTGCGGGAAAAGACAACGGACATCAATTTCCAAAAACAACTTCAAAGAATGTAAACACATGGAGAATGTGCACACATCTTTCTAATAGACATCCTTTCACAGGTGGCTTTCTCAGCTTGCCCCCCCTCCTTCACACAAAGGTGAAACAACTTTTTTTTTAAATGGCTTTTAAAACTGTTACAGTTTTCAACATTTTACTATAATGTGATCTGTTTGTTACTTAAAAAAAAATTCCGTAATCTACCCTGTTTTTTTCAGAAAGGCAGTGGAGAAATGCTGCAATTCAAAACAAACTAGCTCTTCGTTGATGGCTCCAGACTGCATATAATGCCTGAGGGCTACATTTTATGAAAGCTATTTGGTGCAGAAAACTTGTGACAAGGAAGAAATGACAGTGATGCATATACTACTATACTACCCTTTGGATAGTTTAGATTGGATTCAGATAGTATGCGTGGCTCACTGTTGAAGTGAGGGCTGTTGCTCAAATGTGGATTGTTCCATTGCCTGAACCGGCCGTCCTAACGAGTCATAACAACACATGAAGGCGACTCCTGGTTTAGGGCTGAGTAGTTAACTATGGGATTGTTCGTCACGGGTCGTTATCTTAACAGCCTTCAGACATTAAGATTGCCCAGGCTGCAGCTCGACCGTAGACTGCGGGTCATCGTGTTGTCTGGACACAGGCATGGGCGGGAACGCGCGTGTGCGCGTGAGCATTCAAGTCACTTCCAGCAGTCGCCTCGCCTTGTCCGTGCTGGAAGCCCACGCGCAGCGCAACGGCTCCTTTCCCTCCCGCCCCATTAAACAAACGGCCTGCGCGCGGGGGGGGAGGGGGAGAGACACCGTCACGGGGCGCGCACCTTCCCTCCCCGCTCACCATCCTGCCGCGCAGGGAGGCGGTTCCCCAAGCCAACGCCCCCGCCCCCCGCCGTCGCCGCTTCCCATCCGCCACGCCTCCCTCCGCAGGCCCATCGCCCGTCACCTGTCAGAGGCGCTGCCGGCCTCGGCGGGCGGTACAAGTTCATCTCGTGCCTCAGCGCGGCGGCGGTGGTAGCAGCGACATTGTGAGCGGCTCTGGGGCAAGCCGAAGAGCGCGAGCGGCGGCCAGGGCGACGAACGAGCCTTGCCCGCCCCCCGCCGCCCTCTCTCGGTGGGGCCGCCTTCCCCGTCCGCCTCAAGCAACGTCCCCAGCCCCCGCTCCTTCCCCGCGCTCTCTGGCGAAGTCCGAGGCGCGGAAGGCGGCGCCGCCGCTGCGGGGGAAGGAAAAGGAAGGCTCGGGTGGCGACCGGCAGCCCGCCCAGCCTTTTCTTTCCAGGCGCAGCGGGGCAGGCGGCGCGGAGGGATCCGAGACCATCGAAAGGCGGCGCGAAGAACTTTTAGGAAAGGGTAAAATGGGTTTCAGGTGTCATTTAAAATCTGTCGTTCGTAGAATCTGAAAGCGTTTCAAAGGAAAGTAAAATATCAACCCTACGTAAACTGAAACACATGTGACACATGCATTGGTAACTTTCCGATTAGACTTCTGTAACGCTCTACGTGGGGATGCCCTTGAAGACGGTCCGGATACTTCAGATGGTGCAAAATAGAGCTGCCAGGTTGCTGACGGGGACTGGGCGTTGTTCTCATATAACCCCAGTCCTCCGTCAGCTTCACTGGCTCCCCATTGAAGTCCGGGCCCAGTTCAAGGTGCTGGGTATCACCTATAAAGCCCTTAACGGCTTGGGTCCTGGTTATCTAAAGGAGCGCTTGCGTCCATATCTGCCCTCCCACCCCTTGAGATCGACGGCAGAGGCCCTTCTCCGGGAACCCTCCGTGAAAGATATTAGGAGAGTGAGTACCCAGAGGAGGGCCTTCTCTGCGGTGGCGCCTCACTTATGGAATGCGCTCCCCAGAGAGGTCCGCCTGGCGCCGTTGTTATTTGTTTTTCGGCTCCAGGCCAAGACCTTTTTATTTAAATGTTATTTTAATTGTTGAATTTATTTATTGATTTTATATTTATGCCAGGATGTCTCCAGATTTTTATATATTTGTATAGTTATTTGCATTGGAAGCTGCCCCGAGGCTTTTGCAAATGGGGCAGCATATAAGTATTCCAAATAAATAAATAAATAAAACATTTCAGACAGCGTTGAAGGGAGGGTGGGAGATTAAAAGGAGAGGGATCACCATGCCAAGTTATTAAAAAGAAATCTGTATTGGTTTTTTAAAGTGTTCGTATAGTATTATTGCATTTCTGTAACCCCTAACAATCCATAAAACAATAAACTGTAATAAAATACAAAATCAGATTAACATTATAAAGTTTAAAGCGGCTAAAAACATAAAACAAGGAATGTCTGTGTAAAAACATAATGGGTGGGTAATCAGCCCTTGGGTATCTCATCTTTAAAGGCCTCTGCATAAAGGTCTCTCGAGACCTGGTACCAAAAAGATGGCAAGTTTCATGCCAGGCAGGATGCAGTGGTGAGGCTGTGGCATAGAAGGGGGCTGCCCCAGAGAAATAAACACTCCTATGCCGCCACCCTTCAAGCCTTCCACTGAATTGGCATTTGGAGGAAGGCCCCAGAGGTTGCTTGTAGAGTCTTCTAACTGAAATAAATGGCTTAAAACAGACCAGTGATTTTCTGAACACATTTTGACTTTGATGAGAATGTGTGGCCATCCAAAGGATGTTGGACTGCAATTCTCATAATCTTTCACTATGGACTACATTGGCTAATGGTTGTGGAGGTGCAGTCTAACTTTTGAAAAACTTTAACAAAGGGAACATTTCTATCGTAAAACACATCAATGTACAGTAATTGTTACCATCTCCTTTGATACTCAAAAAAGTGGGGAAAACTGAAAAGAGGGGAAGGATTAAACACTTCCATCTCAAATAATATTAGCAGTGCATGTACCTAGAGAAGCAACCATACAACTCTGACAGTTGTAAGAGATATGCTCAAATCTAGCAAGAGCTGCAAGACCTTCAGTTCATTGAGCACAACATCTGGGAAACTACATGTTCTCAGCCTTGGCTTAGTGATAGTCATTCCCTGTGCAGTATTAAAACCTTAAGAGTGTGATCCTATGTACAAACAGAAAAAAGCCCTACAATTCCCAGCATTCTCCAGCCAGGGCATATTAGGAGTTGTAGAACTTTTTTTCTATCCACATAGGCATAGGATCACACTGTTAATTACTGGCGTGTAAAGGGTTAGATTTTCCCATCCATTTTAATAGATGGTGGCTTCTAATATGCATATTGGTGATATGCTGTAACATACAGTACTTACCTACAAGGAAGTACCACTGCAATCAACAGGGCTATCTTTCAAGGCAAATGGTTCCCAGCAGAACTTACAATGTATCACAAGTGAAGCACATATGCAATAACCCCCTTCAGGTGTTAAATCAGGCAAAGTGGTTCCATATATAAAGGGCAGTACTTGAGGTCATGGTTTTCCAATGAATATTACATAAGTACAACTATTCTTCACAAGTATTTGTTGCACCTTTGCTTTCCATGTGTCACATACAATGTTACATATGCATAAGGTTAAAATAGTATTTTCTTGGGAAAAAGTATTTTTAAATATATTAAGTCTTTGCACACATGCCAACTGCATTTGCAATTGGGAGTAACTCCTCTGTAAGCTGAAAATTTTGGATCACTGATCACTCTTTAGCTTGCCATTACATAGTTTCATGACAGTTACTTATGTGTAAGATGCAAAATAGAGGAGGTATCTTTAGAATAACTCTCATAGATGCATGGAAAATGAACTCTTCATCAGGCAGAATGAAATGGAAAACAGCTCATTTTCAGTAATATATAGAGCAAAACACCTAACTGACTGGACCATGCATTTGTCTATGCTGGAAGAAATACCAAATGCAGTGCTGAACCGGCCACATGGGAAATGCTGTGCCTGAGGGAACACAATGTTGGCAGGCCTATTTTTCCTCATCCTCCCACCTTCTTATCATCAGTCTTTCCCATCTAATTATCCTTACTCCCATTCTTGGTTACCTCTGGAGGAGCCAGTTACCCATTGGTCAAGTTCCTCACCATTTAAAATATGGTTGGAGAGCATGTATAAAATAAATGGGAAATTTAGTAGCATGAGACCTATTAATATGCAATTGCTAGAGGTAGCACTTTCTCCCACAACTGCTCAAAAGTAGAATTAAAACAGTCACAACTGTACCCAATAGAAATATCTTCAAGCCAGCACATTCCCTTTCCAATGTGGTCACATGAATCTGGTCTTAGCTGCTGCTCAAAACCAGCAGCTATCCCTCTCTTAACAGCCTGAAGTTTCCAGTGCTGACCCTCTCACACACAGCAGGTACTAAATGTATTATTTAACCATAAGGATTTGCATTTTTCAAAGTATGCCTTAAAAAAAGTCTCCGTGATTATATGAAGTCTAAATAATTGATCTATGAGGTGCTGGTGAACCTAAAACAGGAGTGGGAACCTGGTGCCCTCCAGATGTTCTAGACTATGACCCATATCTTTCCCGACTATTGGCCCTATCAGCTTGAGCTCATGGGAGACCAACATCTAGAGCAGGGGTCCTCAAACTTTTTAAATGGGGCCAGTCCACTGTCCCTCAGACCACTGGGGGCAGGGGTGGACTATAGTTTGAAAAAAATATGAACAAATTCCTATGCACACTGCACATATTTGTAGCGCAAAAAAACAGGAAAACACAATGCAATATTTAAAATGAAGAACAATTTCAATCAACATAAACTTATTACTATTTCAATGGGAAGTATGGGCCTGCTTTTGGCTAATGAGATGGTCAATGTTCGGTTTCATATTTGTCACTGCTTGTCATAACAAGTGATGCAAGTGTGCATCAGTTAGTCTGGATCTGGTTGGAGGTTTCAGATGTTTCATTCAGGAAAAAGTCTGTTCACAGACATAGGTGCTGCCAAAGATGGTAGCCATTTTCAGTGCATGGTTCCTGAGATTAAGAAATGTTTCAGAGGAGAGAGATGCACAGAAATTAGTAAGGCTGCTTGACTTGAATGCGTCTTTCAGAGTCACAATTCTGTAATTTGGCCAGTTCCATTTGGTAAATCGGATCAACAATTTCAATGTCAACAGAAAATGGGTTCTGGAAAAGCTGTATCCTGTTCATGGAGATGAAGCTCTTTAAATCTAATTTGAAACTCCTTTTGCAACATTTCCAGTGAACCCATACATGTTTTGCTTGGGAATGCAACTGCTGGTTTTTCTGCCAACAGGTTTTGAGTTGTGGGGAGATGGAAGAAGTTTTCCTCCTTCACTTGTTTAATGAGGTCTAATTTTACTTCAAATACTTTCACATGTGAATGTATATCACTGATGAGCTTCCCCTTTCCTTGCACACATGTCTCTGCATATAGGTTGTAAAGGTGGACTCGGGTTGCAGGACTTAGTGAATATTCAGTGAGTTTCTTTTTTTAAACCTGTGTTATTTTAAATTAAAAAATGTTTGCTCTGCTCACTAGGGCTGCAGCAGAAGCCCAAAATGACGCAGCGGCACCTGCTGAAAGGAACAGCATGACATGAGGGAGAGCCATGAGGACATGTTCGCCTTGGTCCAGGCCTTCCAGGCTCCTCACCGCCGCCCCACTTCCAGGCTAGAGGAAGGTCCCCTTGCAGGTGCTCGCCCAGCTCCAGGAGGGGGAGCAGGAGCGACTGGCCGGAGAGGTGAGCGCAGGGTGGCTCCCCCCACCGGGAGAGGGCCACAAGAAGGGGAGGAAGGTAATGGCTGCTTTCCATGGACCTGAGGCAAGGGATGGGGCTGCAACCGGCTGAGTGGGGTGCCTCCTGTCTCTCCCCCCACGGGGAGAAGCATGGCAGCTGCTCGATGGCAGCAGTGACTTGCCCTGAGAAGGCCACAGCAAAGGTGTGGGAGCTGCGGCCTGACTCCCACTCCACCTTGGCCCGTCCACCCCCAGGCTCAGCGAGGCGACTGGGCCCGCAGCCCTGGGACATAGCTCATATAGTTAAAAATATATTTTAAAAGTTATATTTTTCTTATCTTCTGTCTTTTTTTAGTGTCATCTCTCTCTCTCCCCACCGCCCTCCTCTCTTCTGTATTCCTGCTCCATATTCAGAGCCAATGTATGCATGCAATGGGGGAGAAGCTGGCGCACACACAGTTGAAGGGAGCTGTTACAATTGGTGAGTGCGCCAGCTCTCTGCTAGTCAGTTTCAGAGAACGCCTGTGCTGGCTCAGAGCTTTCGGGCACTTTCGGAGATCGTTGTCTCCAAACAGATCCAAAAGCTCTGAAGTTGGCAGAGTAAATGACCTTGGCGGGGCATAGTTTGAGGACCCCTGATCTAGAGGGCTGCAGGTGAACAGTGAAATCTGAATATTGTTCTTTGAACAGTAGTTCTCCCACCATATAATCTACATTTGATGCTCCCTAAGAGTCATAAAGTGAATAAAAAACGAGTAATCTGATGCTCCCTTGAATCTGTTGAACTTGTGCAAACCTCTAGATCCTTGACCAAGAAAACATCCTGTGTGTTTAGAAAGGCTATCATATAAAATAGAAAACCAGCCAGAGAATTTAACAGTAAGTGGAAACTCTACTATACATAACTTTATTGAAAAATCTACATCTGAATGGAGTAAAATTTTTGAAAATATTGTCAGAGATTAAAATTTAAAGTAATGCTTCACTATTATAGTAAGGAGAGTTATAGAAATGGAATAGAATTCTTGAAAAGATTGTTAGAGATTAACTCTTGGACTGATGCTTTGTTGTTATAGTAAGTTGACTTAAGATGAATAGAATTACTTAAGTACATGATAATTGCAGCTAGAGTCAAAACTGCTTTAAAATGGAATGCAGAAGAAATTTACTTATTGAAGACTGGAAAAATAAGTCAGTTGACTATGCAGTAATGGTAAGACTAACCAATCATGTAAAAAGATAATTAGCCAAAGAAAATGAAAAGTGAAAATTGTATAACACACAACTTTTTAATGGGATAACAACCATGGAAAAATATAGTAAAAAGGGAACAGAATTTGAGAAAATTGTTTGAGAGTAGAAGAATCCACAATGAATTTTAATTAAGTGCTAAAAAAGGGACTGAGTAGGAAGGATAGTAATTGATTTACAGAAATTTTAAAAAAAAAATTTTAAATACTTGACATCTTAGGTAACATTTCTCTGTAATTTTTACTTGCATTATTTTTTTTCTTCCTTCTGAACTTTTCTGTTATTAAAATATTTTTTAAAAATAGAAAGGATGTCAAATTGCATTAAAACCATGTGAGAAAAAAACACTTCTTAATATTTTACTAGACCCATAACTAGGCACTTTCCATCTGCCACAGCTTCTACAGATTTTCATTGGTAAATCAATGGAAATTGGGAAGCTCAAGATCATCATTCACTCAAAAACAAACATAGCACAAAATAAAGGTATTTTATTAGACATTTACATAAATCTAACTTATTATAATAAAGCAAGAATATATTGAAATGGCTAACTCAAACTTCCTTCATATGGCCAGTGAAGGGACTTTTAAATACAAGCACCCTAACCCCATGCCCGAAATAAAGAATAGGAAATCAATCTTACTTTAAGCCATACATACACATACGGAATTAAATCCAGAGCATCCCTTTCCTGAACAAAAGGGACTGAGACTTGGAAAAGTCTCCTGCTGGAAGAAGAGTATGAGGAGAGAGAGGCACAGGAATGGGCAATTTTGTGTATTTCTATGGAATCCCCAAACTACCTCCTACAATGTTTCAGGAGGCCAAACAACAACCCAGACCAGCTTTGGTGGTGGGAGAAAATCAATAAATATAATCCCCCTCCTTCCTCCGGCAATAGCATCCCAAGGACAATGTTCAATTCGTATGAGTTCTACATCCAACCTAGACTTGTAAACCTATGAAACAAAATTTTTCTACGTGGTATGGTATGAGAGGTGTGGTATGAGAGGTGGATAGAATTTGTAGTAAAAGAAGGATTCTCTCTCCAGTTGTCTTCTCATGCATTTTCATGCGCTAACATCCGAGGTGGTTGTTTGGTATCTATAGGAGTACAGCTTGTTGTCAGCTCCACCACTCAACAGTAACTACAATGTGGGCAAAAAAAAAATCTAATCATAATGAGACACTACTGATAACTAGCTGTTTTTCCAATCTAAACAAATTACAATTCTAAACAGAAAAAAGTGTTCTTTCTCAAATTATGTATAAGAAAACCAAGAGTAGTATAACAAGCTCTCACATAAGAAAAATCCACAGTAATTGCAGGGGTTTTGTTGGAAACTTTTCAACTATCCAGGGGGCAAATATTATTTCAACATTTCCCCCAAGATGGGATGGGGAAATCAACTAAAAACAGGGATGGGAAAATAAATTCTTTTTGCATGTCTATATCGTTTCAATAAAATAAGATCACCAAGCTGTTAGTCATGCAGAGATGGATCAAGAAAAGAACAACTTTCACAATTGTCACTGCTTAGCCACATTCTGCTGCTTCTCATACCATCACAAGCTTATTTTTGAAGTTTGAAAATATAATATTACAGTTCAGAGATTTTAGAATGCCAAACAAAATAGCCTTAAATCCATGATATGAAGAAATGCAGGAGAGAAATGCTATAAATAAAAAGAGCACATATATTTGCTAAATAATTTCTTCTCAAAAACATCTTATACCTGTCAAAATTTGTACTTGTGCTATCTATGCTTCATAAGCAAGTAAATTTACTAAATGAAAATTTAGTAGGAGAGTGTTTGTCTGGTACAGAGTTAAACAGCAGGATTTTCCATATATAATAATACAGTTTGGTAAAGGAGAAGGAGAGAAAAGAGAGAGATTGGATCAAGAAATTAATAGATTAATGGAAGAATGTAAAAATATGGGACCAATTGAAATTAGAAGAGAGTTTGAAAAACTGAGGAAGGAAAGAGAGCTTTTAGAAATAAAGCAATGGTACAGTAAACAAAGATGCTAAAAGGCTATCAGTAAAGGTTCAAAACTGTTAACATAATATATAAAAGGAGAATTAAGAGCAGACTCTTAGCTTTGAACATAAAAGAAGGAATTAAGACATGATCAAAAAGAACTAGGAGAAATATTAGAAAATTATTTTGGGGACCAGCTGGAAATGAAGCAGATTCAGGAACATCAATATAAAACTAAAATACCTCCTTTAAAAAGAAGGGAAAAGTACTTAGATGCTGAGATTAAAAAAATTAAAGAGGTGATAAAATCTAATAAATCACCAAGCAGAGATGGATCCACAGGTGAATTTTATAAAGAAACATTGGTGCTACAATTGACGAAGTTATATAATGAAATACCAGAATGGGCTCTACTTCTAAAAACATAGACATGAAGTAAAGTTAAAGATAAATACAGATAAATGTAGCCTAGAGTCACATAGACCAATATCTCTGTTGAATATGGATCATAAGATACTTACTAAAATATAGGCAGAAGTATTCACTAGTATTATTTTAATTGTGCAATACAAAAACAAACTACATCATAAGAAAGCAAAAATGGCATCTGAGAAAAAAGGATCCATACCAGTGGTTACATTTGTATTGTATATCCCTGTATGTTAGATATAACTGAAGATACTAGCATATGCATATACATATCTTAAATGCAAATGATGCATATACTTTGACAAAGGCACTGCAAATATCCATATTTATCCATATTAATATTAAGGCCACTTAAAGGCCACCTTAAGGCCACTTAAAGGAATTAAGAGGAAGAAATATGGATTATATTAAACATGTATAGCAACAAATAAGAAACAAAAGGAGTACAATAAAAGGAATATTAAAAGTATTGTATTCCAAGAAGGGGAAATTAATGCCGGATTTTCACCACTACCACCAATTTGAATATGCCCAGATTTTGATACATAAAGGAAAACATCTGGGAAATATAAGTTGAAAAAGGTAGATTTGACTCAGATGGTAATTTTTTATGAAGAGCAGTACCCTTTAACACAAGAGGTGGAATAGCTGAGTATAAAATAAGGGGTGTCATGGTTATCCTGGATGCAAATCAGCCAATTTTTATTAGAACATAAAAGGGGCTAAGTTAAAGTGCAATAGATTTAACAGAACTGGTAAAAATGTATAGATAAATCAGGATTATGAGACATGGGTATAATATCCAAAATATATACAACTTTGATAAAACCAGAGACAGAAGAAATGTTACAATAAAATAGATACGTAGAAGAGATAGTGAAGAGGAAATAGCAGAAGAATAGACACAAATTTTGAAGAGAATTCCCTTCCAAATAATGTAAATTAAAATAAAAGAAGAGGTACTGAAATTGGTACAGAAATGGTAATTGACACTAGTAACATTAACAAAAATAAGTAAGAATTTATCACCTTTGTTTGAGGGTAAAAAATTAATGGGACACAAACACTTGTGGTGGGAATGCAAGATTGTAAGGAAGGTTTGGTATAGGGCTTTTAAAATACTTAAGAAAAAAATACTAAAAAATAGTATAGATTCATATAGCCTGAAGTGCCTGATCCTGCCTAAGCTTGGAAGCTAAGCAGGTCAGGTCTGGTTGAACTCTGGATGAGTGACTTAATGTTGTGAACTGCCCAGAGAGCTTTGGCTATGGGCAGTATAGAAATGTAATGAATAATAATAATAATAATAATAATAATAATAATAAGTAAAACATGAGAGTTTGCTTTATTGAATATGTTTGTGAAAGAGAACAAAGAGGTGAAAGGAAAAAATGGGTTATTTTTGACAGCCACAATAGCACATAACTGGAAGATAGCTTGGCTGTTAACAATATCTAGGTAGAACATGAAAATATGGGATGCCACAATTAATGTAAAACTAGCACAGAAGAGTTTATAGAGGAATAAAGATACCTTTAGGAAGGACTGGTGAAAATTTACAGATTATATGAAAAAGAGATTTTGGAAGAAGGTTATAGAAATCTCTAGGATTCATGAAAAGAACACTGAAAATAATGAAATTGGACAAATACAGATTAAATCTGCAGAGAGATTGGGAAGAATTATATCTTAATCAGCATTAATACAGATATGTTTTATTTTGTTTTTCTCTGTATTTTTTGAAAATGTAATACCTTTTAATTAAAACCCAGTATTTCCCTCACTTCCAACCCTGCTCCACCTATTCTTGAAGAGAAAGTTCTTACCCCAGCTTCTGTCCATTCTACACAAAAAACCTTGTCTTCATGAGCAGCCAAGTCATACAATGGAGCCTTGCAACTGTGGGAACACAAATACTGGAATCATACCACTCATATTGTATGAAATTAAAACCATTTTGATAACTAAGTGCTTTCTGGACAAACTGCTCCTCCAGTTCCCTTTTACTTGTCATCTTTTTCTTTTTTAAAAAAACTGTAGGTTGGAAGGAAAGTTTTGAGTACCATTGCTGAGCAGGGCTTTCAAGGACAGATTGTTTTGGAGGGCGTTTATTCACAGGGTCACCATAACTTGGAGACAACTAGACAGCATGAAACAACAACCAGTCTGCAGGAGATGTGGTTTTGCTTTTAAAATTATGCATAGTATTAGTTCATTCAGCTATTTAAGTGCTTTAATAATAAAAGCTCATTCTGTGTTCTAATCTTAAGAAAAATGGACTGCTTTCGGTACCAGTAGCAGCTAATGCCTCACAGTATGGAATTTGGGAGCACATTTGCAAAGGGCAATCTTCCTAGGTATTCCAATAACGTGAAGAAGCCCAGGCAAAATACTATTACAAACAAGATTAAGTTTACCTCCTCGTGTCCCAGAGTTTGACAAGGTTGTCTAAAGAACCCGAGATAAGCTGTTGCTCATGTGAAGGTGACCACTTCACTGATGTCACCCAGCCCGTATGTGAGGTAAGAGAAAGTGATACCAAGGAACCATCTGAAAAAAAAAAAAGATTTAAAAAAAATGAGATTGTCAAGCACCAGGCTGACTGCATTTGTAAAAAGATCTCATGAACATATATTCACTTTTACTCACCTTTGGTCCTCGGATCCCATAACCTAATGTGCCTGTCAGTGCTTCCAGAGGCTAAACGCCGACACAGTGGTGAATAGGAGATAGAGTTAAACACTTTGTTTCCAGTCTAATAATATAAGAATAAAAGGAGAGTTAAGTAACAGGCTGTTCTTCAAAGATTACACAAATGTTCTGTTGAAATACATTAAATAATCTGAGCCTTGAAGAATTTGGAATTGCAAACTCCCTCACCAAAGTTGATTTAAGGCCTCCTGTTTCAACATCCCATATCTTAATTGTGTGGTCCCATGAAGCACTGCATATTTCATCTGTATCTGACCAAAGTACAGAAGAGACCGATTCTGTATGGCCAGAAAAAGTTGCGATAGGAGTCTAAAAATGAAAATAAGAGATATATGGTTATTCAAGTATTTCCTGCACTAAGTAAGCATGAATCACTTACCAATGAAATCTATGTGGTCCTGAGACAAAAGTTTCATGTATTTGCCCCATTTATCTACACCAGAGCCACTTCCAGCAGGGTACAGTCCAGGAGATGCGTGAGGCATGCTTGCTGACTGTTTTCCTAAAATGCTAGGCCCCCATGTAGCAGCCCCCTATTTTCTTACCCATTTGGGCCAGGAGGGAATTCCCAAACCAATGCATTTTTGAAAAGCAAAGGTGCTGCTGAGCACAGTCACAGTAAGAGCCTGAGCAGTTACCAAGAATGCCAGGGGGGTTACACCGGGCTTGGTCCCCATTTGGCCTAAGGAAATGCTGCCCAACCCAGCCTTCTCGTACTCTTGTTAGACCCAGCTGTTCTGTTTTCTGCTTCTTCCTTGGTCTGTTTCCTGCTTCCTCCATTTTGATGTCATCCTCTTCATCTGCAGGCACTGCAATCGAAAGACAATTATTTCAGCTGTAATCCATTTGCCAGCCTCCTCTTGCCATGAAGGAATTTTCAGGATAAAGGTTTCAGTCCAGTCCTTTCAGAAGAAATCTGCGATACTGAAGTCACTAATTAGCTTCAATTAACACTATGAAATACTTAACTCCCCAGGCAGGTTATTTGTACATGTTGTTCCAGTGATACCTTACAAATACTGCAGTAACTCATTTCCATAGTTAAAAGTTGAGCATCTTGATTTCAGAAGAAATACAAAATCAGTCTCCTCTAAAACCTTCCAGATGTTTTCAAGCATATCAATCCCAGTCAGTAAGGCCAATGGTAAGGAATCATGGGTGATTTAGTTTGTAATATTTGCTGGGGAAGGATGCTCTATGTTGTTGTTGTTGTTAGTCACGAAGTCGTATCCGACCCATCGCGACCCCATGGACAACACTCCTCCAGGCCTTCCTGTCCTCCACCATCTCCCGGAGTCCACCTAAGCTCACACCAACTGCCTCAGTGACTCCATCTAGCCACCTCATCCTCTGCCGTCCCCTTCTTCTTTTGCCATCTATTGTTCCTAGCATTAGACTCTTCTCCAGGGAGTCCTTCCTTCTCATTAGGAAAGTATTTGAGTTTCATCTTCAGGATCTGGCCTTCTAAAGAGCAGTCAGGGTTGATCTCCTCTAGGACTGACTGGTTTGACCACCTTGCAGTACAAGGGACTTGCAGGAGTCTCCTCCAGCACCACAGTTCAAAAGCCTCAATTCTTTGGCACTCAGCCTTCCTTATGGTCCAGCTTTCACAGCCATACATTGCAACAAGGAAAACCATAGCCTTGACTATACGCACTTTTGTTGGCAGGGTGATGTCTCTGCTTTTTAGTATGCTGTCTAGATTTGGCATAGCTTTCCTCCCCAGGAGCAAGCGTTTTTTAATTTCTGGGCTGCAGTCCCCGTCTGCAGTGATCTTGGAGCCCAGGAAAATAAAATCTGTCACTACCTTCATTTCTTCCCCATCTATTTGCCAGGAAGTGAGAGGACCGGATGCCATTATCTTACTTTTCTTAATGTTGAGTTGCAAGCCAACTTTTGTGCTCTCCTCCTTCACCCGCATCAAGAGGCTCTTTAGTTCCTCTTCACTTTCTGCCATGAGAGTGGTATCATCTGCATATCTGAGGCTGTTGATATTTCTCCAAGCAATCTTAATTCCAACTTGTGATACATCTAGCTCCGCCTTGCTCATGATGTGCTCTGCTTATACGTTAAATAGACAGGGCGACAGTATACAGCCTTGCCGAACCCGTCTCAATTTTGAACCAATCAGTGGTTCCGTGTCCAGTTCTCACTGTTGCTTCTTGACCTAAATATAGGTTTCTCAAGAGACAGATAAGATGGTCTGGTACTCCCATCTCTTTAAGAACTTGCCACAATTTGTTGTGATCCACACAATCAAAGGCTTTAGCATAGTCAATGAAGCAGAAGTACATGTTTTTCTGGAACTCCCTAGCTTTCTCCATGATCCAGCGTATGTTGGCAATTTGATCTCTAGTTCCTCTCCCTCTTCGAAATCCTGCCTGTACTTCTGGTAGTTCTCGGTCCACATACCGCTGGAGCCTAGCTTGTAGGATTTTGAGCATAACTTTGCTAGCATGTGAAATGAGTGCAATGGTGCAGTAGTTTGAACATTCTTTGGCATTGCCCTTCTTTGGGATCGGAATGTAAACTGACCTTTTCCAATCCTGTGGCCACTGTTGAGTTTTCCAAATTTGCTGGCATATTGAGTGTAGCACTTTTACTGCATCGTCTTTTAGGATTTTGAATAGCTCGGCTGGAATACTGTCACCTCCACTAGCTTTGTTGTTGCTCAGACTTCCTAAGGCCCATTTGACTTCACATTCCAGGATGTCTGGCTCGAGGTCAGTGACCACCCCATTGTGCTTATCAGGGACATTAAGCAATTTCTTGTATAGTTCTTCTGTGTAATCTTGCCAGCTCTTCTTAATCTCTTCTGCCTCTGTTAGGTCCCTGCCATTTTGGTCCTTTATCATGCCCATCTTTGCATGAAACGTTCCTTTCATAGCTCCAATTTTCTTGAAGAGATCGCTGGTCCTCCCTATTCTGTTCTTTTCTCCTATTTCTTTGCACTGTTCATTTAAGAAGGCATTCTTATCTGTTCTAGCTATTCTCTGGAATTCTGCATTCAGTTGTCTGTATCTTTCTCTTTCTCCCTTGCCTTTCGCTTTCCTTCTTTCCTCAGCTATTGGTAAAGCTTCCTCAGACAGCCATTTTGCTTTCTTGCATTTCTTTTTCTTTGGGATGGTTTTAGTTGCTGCCTCTTGTACAATGTTGCGAACCTCCGCACATAGTTCTTCAGTCACTGTCTATCAGATCCAATTCCTTAAATCTATTTGTCACCTCTACTGTATATTCATCAGGGATATGATTTAGGTCATACTTGAGTGGCCTAGTGCTTTTCCCTACTTTCTTCAACTTAAGCCTAAATTTTGCAACCAGAAGCTCAGGATCTGAGCCACAGTCAGCTCCTGGTCTAGTTTTTACTGAGTGTATAGAGCTTCTCCATCTTTGGCTGCAGAGCACATAGTCAATCTGATTTCTGTGTTGACCATCTGGTGATGTCCATGTGTAGAGTCGTCTCTTGGGTTGTTGAAAAAGAGTGTTTGCTATGACCAGTGTGTTCTCTTGACAAAATTCTGCCAGCCTTTGCCCTGCTTCATTTTGTACTCCAAGGCCAAACTTGCCTGTTATTCCAGTTAACTTTTGGCTTCCTACTTTAGCATTCCCATCCCCCATGATAAGGACATCATTTTTGGTGTTATTTCTAGAAGGTGTTGTTGGCCTTCATAGAACCGGTCAACTTCAGCCTCTTCAGTACCAGTGGTTGGGGCACTGACTTGGACTATTGTGATGCTGAATGGTTTTCCTTGGATTCGAACTGAGATCATTCTGTCATTTTGGAGATTGTATCCCAGTACTGCTTTCCCTACTCTTTTATTGACTATGAAGGCTACTGTATTTCTTCTGAGGGGTTCTTGCCCACAGTAGTATACCCGATGGTCATCTGAATTAAATTCACCCATTCCTGTCTATTTTAGTTCACTGATTCCCAAGATGTTGATGTTCAGTCTTTTCATCTCTTGTTTGACCACATCCAGCTTGCCTTGATTCATGGATCTTACATTCCAGGTTCCTATGGAGTATAAATTCTTTGCAGCAGCGGACTCTCCTTTCACCACCAGATACATCTGCAACTGAGTGTCCTTTCGGCTTTGACCCAGTTGCTTCATTCTTTCTGGCGCTACTAGTACTAGCCCTCCACTCTTCCCCAGTAGCACATTGGACACCTTCTGACCTGAGGGGCTCATCTTCCGGCGTCATATCTCTTTGCCTTTTGGTACTGTCCATGGGGTTTTCATGGCAAGGGTATTGTAGTGGGTTGCCATTTCCTTCTCCAGTGGATCACGTTTTGTCAGAGCTCTCAGCTATGACCTGTCTGTCTTGGGTGACCCTGCATGGCATAGCCCATGGCTTCATTGAGCTACGCAAGCCCCTTCACCACGACAAGGCAGTGATCCATGAAGGAGAGGATGCTCTATAAAGGCAAGTTATTCTCAGGTGAGCTTGTCTGGACATGAAATAGGTGGCTTTACAAATTAAATTGTGCCTGATTGTGGTTCATAACTCAGTTATCAGATAGTTTAATTTCCACTAAAAAAATGGGATTAGCTTCCAACTAAGTCCAGTGGACTTACCCAGGTAAGTATGTACAGTGGTACCTTGGCTCACGAACACCTCAGTTCATGACCAAATCGGGTCACGAACAGAAATTTCAGAAAAAAATTGCCCCGGGTTGCGAATAATCGTGCCCATCTTCCCTGCACGAGCACGATCACAATCACGCCCGTCTTCCCTGCACAAGCATGATCACGATTATCTCCCCCCGCAGCACGATTGTGGTCACACCCATCTCCCCCCACCAAGCAAGATCACGATCGCACAATTATCGTTTGGACTCTCCCTCCAAACAATAACCTCCCCTCACCCAGGTTAGTGTTCTCTACTAAACTGTACTTTGTTTTAAATTTTTGTGATAAAAAAATATTTACAGAACACATTAACCTTATTTACATTGAACCTTATGGGGAAATTGACTTGGCTTGTGACCAAAATTGGCTTGCGACCATGTTTGTAGGGGTCAGAATGGATTAACTTTATTTACATGGAACCTTTTGGAGGAATTTGACTTGGCTTGCACCCAATTTGGGTCACAACCAGAGTCATGGAACGGATGAAGTTCATGAACCAAGGTACCACTCTATAGGGCCGTGGCATAAACTTAGACTGTGGCAAAGGCTTGCTATATGGGACTAGTTGCTTACAATTTCTCTTACATTTCTTAGCATTAGTATGGCATAAGCTTTTGTGGACATGAAGGGCTATCTTCAACTGGCAGATACCAACACACAATACATAACTAATGGTGCCAACACACAATGATGCACAAAGGGTAATAGATCTACCCCGTTCTAATGCTGAACCAAAATAAACATAAGGTAACAGTGGTGTCCCCTTTCCCAACAACAATCGGGGCAACAAATTAGCATAGATAAAGAATAACACTGTCTTTTCTGTTAATCCGTCTGAAGTCTATTTGTGGACTTTGAGATGAGCGGCAGAGCTTAAAGAAGGCTGGAATGGGCAGAAGAAATTGAAAAATAGCAATGTCTAGATGCCAGAAGGAGCACATTGGGCAGTATACATTGCTGGCTATCTGTGCGCAGGCCCCACCAGCACTTCCATTCCTTGTGTGAGCTCTGCCAGCCTGCCTCGTCCCAGAAACAAGTGTTTCCACTAATTTCAGGCTGTCTCAGAAGTTCTCAATTTCCATTCCCCATGTGGTGGTCAGCACTTTGGGAAGAGTATTGGCAGAGCTGACCACTTGCAGGCAGTCTCCACTGGACACTGCCAATTGCAGCCTGGATTTGTACTATACAAAAAGACAATACTGAGAAAGAAGACAGTTTCTGGCTTTTAGGTATCCTACCCACTCTCATGGTTGACTGAAGTATAAACTGCTATATGCAGTTAGGAACACAGAATTTTGCTCCAATACGCCACAGTTTGGCCTTACTAAGTGTATGCGTGCACATATAAGTTTCAAACTGCAGTGTCTGGGGAAACTTTTTATTTTGCAAAATGTGGTTCAGGTTCATGAAAAATAGTGCATGTTTGTACTTGTGAGCAATAAGTCTATTGACTTACAGGTTGAGAGGCTGGCCATCATAAAATAAAAATTTAAAAAGAAAACTTAAAAGTTAAATATGGAACATTTTACTATAGAAATATTATTTTTTGAGATATCTGAAGAAAGGTAAGTGAGGAAAGAAAAAGATTTTTTTCAAAACACATCGGGCAGAATGAGTATTTTCTTTAGGAACCTAAGAACTTTTTTGTTTTATGATGTTTATTCTTACCTGCAGACCAGATTTTCAGCATCTTGTCCCAGGATCCACTGCAAAACTAGAAAACAAACAACACACACTTTCAGCAACAAAAATGTTTACATTCTATGTTAGTATTTGTTAAGGGTGAGCTTCACTAAGCTAGATTAAGAATGAATACAACTCAAGGAAGTTTCAGTTCATTTGGGCTTGACTTGAATAACCCAATTAGCTTGCTCAAGCTCAAACCAGATTTGAACTGGACCAAGGGGAAGAAATGGAGGTAGTGACAGATTTTATTTTCCTGGGCTCCAAGATCACCGCAGATGGTGACTGCAACCAAGAAATGGAAAGATGCTTGCTCCTTGGGAGGAAAGCTATGGCAAATCTAGACAGCATACTAAAAAGCAGAGACATCACCCTGCCAACAAAAGTGCGTATAGTCAAGGCCGTGGTTTTCCCTGTTGCAATGTATGGCTGTGAAAGTTGGACCATAAGGAAGGCTGAGCGCCGAAGAATTGAGGCCTTTGAATTGTGGTGCTGGAGAAGACTCCTGCGAGTCCCTTGGACTGCAAGGAGATCAAACCAGTCAGTCTTAGAGGAGATCAACCCTGACTGCTCTTTAGAAAGCCAAATACTGAAGATGAAACTCAAATACTTTGGCCACCTAATGAGAAGGAAGGACTCCCTGGAGAAGAGCCTAATGCTGGGAACAATTGACGGCAAAAGAAGAAGGGGACGGCGGAAGATGAGGTAGCTAGATGGAGTCACTGAAGCAGTTGGTGTGAGCTTAAGTGGACTCCGGGGGATGGTGGAAGACAGGAAGGCCTGGAGGAATGCTGTCCATGGGGTCGCGATGGGTCAGACGCGACTTCACAACTAGCAATAAGGGAAGCTCCCCACCATCACATTCCAAACTAACCCTGCTAAAGTTGCCACAGTGAAAAGACTTTAGGCTTAAAGACAAGAATCTCCTGAATTGTGCTTCAGGAGAATTGATTGCCCTTGTGAAGCATGGAAATGTAGCTCCTAAACCTTCCTGGTGTCACTAGATGGGTATGGAACAGGTGCAGGAGGGTCCAGGCCTTAAGTGTGAATGCTCTGCTGCCATTTGCCCCCACTATATAGGCAAATTCGGGAAGAAGGGGCTGGCAATAGTGGGTGGAGGTGGCACATTGTCTATCAGGCTGAGACCATGGAGGGTCAGGGAGACACGTTCATTCATCCTTCTCCCACTTATGAGATAATGCAGCATCACTAAAAGACAACCATGCTTTGGCAGTCACACAACACATGGCAGCAGACCACCCTTTTATAAGCCTCTCTGGAAAAAAGGTGGAACACAAAAGTATAAAATAAATATGGTCTTTCTCATGGAATATGAGTCCAAACTTCTATTTTCACATTTTAAAATAGCCTTCCTTTTATTAACATAGTTCTACAAATAAGGTTTGACTTCTATTCCAATCTCATTTTTAGTGTTGCAAGTACAGTAGTATACTGGCAGGACTGAACTTTACGCCAGCTAGAAAAATGGTCCAGCCAGCCAAAATTTGGTCCTCTTTTTAAAAAATCTCACATCTTCAAATCAAGCGATACTGATTCAAGTTTGTCTGAATGCACAAATTATCCAGTTCCAAGAAACCAGTCATCTTTTCCATAATCAAATAGTATCCCATGCAGGTTCATTTTATTCTGCTTTACTGTCATCTGCTTTCAAGTTCTCTGAATTTCCAGACAGTGGTAACTCTCTCTGTGACAATGAGATGATATTTTGATTTTTAACAGTCAGGGTGTATATATATGCTTCTATGAAGCTTTCATGCTGTAACATTTCTCCTGTCTGACTCTTAGCAAGCTGGGGCATGGGAAGGGAGAATGGGAAGCCATAGGACTTACTTTAGTTCTTGTGCCATCCACGGCGATGGATTCGACGCTTCCAGCGTGTCCTTTACAGCAGTGAAGGGCCTTCACTTTGTTCTTTTCAACATTCCATTCCCACAGCAGGACAGTTTGGTCCATAGAAGCACTCAGCAACAGGCACGACAAACTGTCTGAATGGTACAGGCAGAGCATGTCGGTATCCTGGTTTCATTTCTACCCTGCCTAACAGCCAAAGCCCTCTAGCTGGTGCAAAAAAATTAAAACCCACATTACAACATGATGAAATCCATATATAAAGTCTTTAACATACAAGTATAAAAAACAATTTGAAACAGCTCCAAGCGGTGAGCATCACAATACTAGGACCCTATAAAACAACTGACAGAGGAGCCCCAAAATATGCCATCATTGCCTAGGAGTAATGTTTCAACTTGGTACCAAAAAGATGACACTATTGAGACCAGGTGGGCCTCAGTGCGGAGCATTCCACAATCAGGTGGCTACCTCTAAGAAGGTGTCCCCTTGCTGTCATCTTTCAAATCTCCCTTTGAAGATGCGTTTTGAGGACAGTCTACAATGTTGATTGCAAGGTCTAAGGATAACTTCTCCAGCAAAGAGACTTTTCTGACCAAAGTAGATCCCATGCGCGACCTCAGGGGTGGTGCTGTACATACAGCCCCTTCTACATGTAACAAACAGGGTTAATGAAAACTAGTGAAGTAAGACTTGGCTTAGAAGGCCTTATTTCAAATGAAATGTACTACATGATGGTAACAACTGTAAAGGTCTTTCAAGGAAGACTGAAGGACTGCGTTTTAACACCTTTCAAAGGGGTTGCCATTTTAATGCGCTGCACCAAAACCAAAGGTCTTTTACTGCCTTAAAGCAGCAGTCAGAAGCTCAGGCCCAAGGGGCCAAACCCAACCCACCTGTATCCAATGTAATCCTCCAAGGCTCACCAAATGGCCACCCTGGCTTCTCCGGACCCAACCCTTTCACTTCCAGCCAATGATTATTTAACAGTTTCACAGCCTTTGTGAAGTTTTTTCCTCTTTCTAAGATACTGAAATGATCTCCTAAAGTGTCGTCACAGGCAGTAAGGGCTTTAAGCTATACTGCATGCCCAGTTTTGGTATTCTGCCACTGCCACTGGTATGCAGTCTTGGAAGAGGTTCTCAGAAAGAAAATTCAAGCCTCAGGCAGAAAAAGGTTCTGTCTTCCTGTTTAAGGACCAAGACGTTAATTGAAAATGAATAGTCATTTGCCTCTTTATAAAGTGCTACAAGACCCTTTTGCTTGGTTTGTACTTAATTGAGCAGGCAAGCTCAATTCTGGGGCAGACAAGCTTTCTGGGAAATGATTTACCCAAGCAAAGTGAACCTGACTTACCTTTTTTCACCCAGGCCACATCCTTCACTGCATCAACATGCCCAGCAAGCGTCATGATGGGTTTTCCCTCCACTGACCAGATTCGAGATACATTATCGTAAGAGCCTGTCAAGATCCTAAGGAGGTCAGAAGCAGAGAGGCTGTTGGAGGCTGCCCATCCCATTTCCTGAGATAGCTTTCCCACTAGAAATGTAGGGCATGCTTATATAACCGAGCATTTGAAACTATGCAAATTGTGTTTCTGAGGACTGAATGTCCAGACATTGGGATGCATCTTTTTCATTTTGCCGAGATGAAGATTCCTGACTGGTGGAGGGAGGAGGAGGAGGTCATTTCTGCTGATTTCCCCTTTTTTCCCCCTGCAGGCTCCAGCACCACTTCTCCCCAGTCCTCCAGAACACTTTTTAAGCAACTACAGAGGGAGGGAGGAACTAGTAAAGATTACCTCATCCCCCATTTGGCCACCAGAAAAGCTGCCCTGGATCAGAAGCCTCCAACTGTAGGAGGTTTTTGGGGGATCCAACTGATTTTTGCTCATGAAACATGCTTTCTCAGCAAGACAACTGTTTTATAGATAGGGTAGATAGTTTTAAGTGGCAAAAGTCATAACACAACACAAGCACCCACTCCTCAAGTGGTCATTAGGTTAAAGTTCTTCATTATAGATCTTCTGTACTTTGAGGAAGTTGAGAGTTTGTGATATTGTGATAAAATCAAACAAGGTCATAAACAAGCCCACAAACAGGGGAAAATTAACCATCAAAACCCATCACATTCTTCCATCTATCTACCAAAGCTTCACAGAGTGAGATATTATGGGAATAGCTACCACCATGAAAAGAACACGTCCCTTCCTTATAAATTAGGGATACTTTAAGAGATTTTATAAGCCACCTTTCAAAATACTATGGGTTGGATACAGGCTAAAGTATGTGCAATGGGGCTGGTGAAAGGTGACTTCCTGACCCAACCCTCCCTGCACCCTGAAAATGCTACATAGAGGGTCAGGGACCCTGCTAAATGGGTAAATTGTAGTAGTGGACATGGGAGGGGGGGCTGAAAATTGTTCAGAGGCATCTTCTGTGAGCAGAACCCTTCCATTCACAGAAGGCAGATCTTGGATCCAATTACGTATTTTTCAAGCAGAATACAAATATGATCAATTTAAGTACATTTCATTGATAAAAAACAACAATGAACAGGAAAACAACAGCAACAGCTCCAAAATCACATTTCATTTCAGTTTGGCCCACATTTCTACCTAAAAAGCAGTGCTATTGAGAGCAGCACACAAAGCCAACCTTCTCAGTTGAAAGTAGTCAGAAAAGAAAATTGTTGGAAAGAAAACTGGAAGGAAGCTCATCCTCATTTAGGCTGGTTCTAAATTAAAGGCCAAAGTTTCTAGTACTCCATCCCAATTTTGTCTCCGATGGTGGCGTTAGATACAAAAGCCTCCTCTCCTTCCTGCCACATTAACTTCAGTACATGTACTGCACATATACAAGCAAAACGGCAGTTGTGGCTTCCGTTCAGCATGGGGCATCTGGTCAAATGGGAAGCAATCATACATAGATAGATACAGAGATAATAGGTTGCACAAAAAGGGGAACTGTTTCTCACCATTCTTCGGCAGCCTCAACAGAACTGATCCAGTCATCGTGTAGCATGCATTCTTCAGGCTGAGGTGCTGTATACTTCTCTACATACTCTATTTCTACTACATCTTCCTATGTGTGCACACACATACAAAATCAAGAAAACAATCAGCCACTATGACGTGTAACATTAACATTTCCTCTGTATCAGAATATCTTTGCCTGATTTTTGCAAGACCAGCAGAGAAAGTGTACTATCATATACAATTACCTGGGAGTAAATTCCATTCAACTCAATGGGCTTGTTTGCATGCCAAGTCAGTATAGCTGGATTACTTAACCCAGGTGATGAGTAGAGTACATAAGCATGTTCATACTATGTGAATTCATAATTTCCATTTCTGGGTTGCTTCATGATGTACAAACTCAAAACCTTGTGTTGTTTCTGAGTTAAACAATCCTGAATTAACTGAACATCTGCCCATGGTTTGTTACTGAGTTAACTCCAGATTGCTTAACCGTAAACAAGCCTAATTTTCTGGGCTCACATTCCTAGGTTGTTAAATAAATGTGGAAATGATTGGTATGCAGGTCATGCATTTTGTTCCCTTTAAACATCCCAGGAATAGCCACTGCTCACCCAAATGTGTGAACTGGGTTAATGGTGCTTTCTTCCCAGTAGGTATGTACGGAATTGCACTGTACTGGTACAAGAAATCACCTATATTCTGTTGGCTGTACTGAGCTACACCAGCTCAGCAATCATAAACAGTTCGCTCCTCAGTGGAAATTGCTAAAAAGATACAGAACAGCCTTGAAAGCTGATAAGAAAGTGGGTAAGGCAAGACCAAGGAAACAGCAGGCTGTTCTTCAACATCTGAGACTTGCTTGATTTCTTTTGCTATGGATTTATTATTTTTATGATTCATATACTGCTGTGAACTCAGGGGAAATGACTTCTAAAATCTAAAAATAAAATCGCAGAAGCCCAGGCTTTAAATATGGAGTGGTTGGAAGTCTGATCCAATAAAATGAAGAAGAGTCTTGCCATGAATGTATGATTAAGAGTTGGCATGCAACAGTTACTCCTGAGGCATTTATTCATAATCAATGAATTAACACACCACAACATAAATTTGTAGAAATTAGAAATATATTACACACTTGCCTATATTAAGAAAAAAGGTTAAGTTGTGATCTTAACCTTGTTTATCAAGAGACAGATGTTAAGGACTCAAATTTAAGTGTATTCCACCCAATCCATTTAGCAGAAATGCTACCTTAAACGAATAACACTAATTGCAGAAACCCTCACCCAAATGACTTACTGTTGAAATATTTTCCATTTCCATGTGTTTGACCAGAGGCATACGCAAGAACTGTCCCTTGACCAGGAAGTCGAATTCCACATATTTGTGGCCCTCTAGAGACAAATCATAAATGTCAATTTGCATAACTTGAATACAGGTGGTTCCCAGGTTACAAATAAGTTCTGTTTCTGAGAAAATGAAATACATCTTTATGTGATCCAACTTACATACAAATTCAACTTATAGTCAGTTCTCCACATTCATGGGGGCTAAGGGTGCAGGACCCCCGTGAAAGTGGAAGAACCACAAACATCTCTAGCTTTCCCCTGCCCAAACTCACCAGCACCTCCTCTTTACAGCAAGGAAATGCTGAAGAGATTTCGCTCTCTGGATGGGCAGTGCAGAAAGGCCTGCTTTGGAGGCCCCCCTCTCTCCATGATGATTTCCTGCAGTAATATTAAAAAATTAATAGGCTGCATGGCAGTTTGTTTGTAAGTGGCAACTTACATCTGAGCAGAAATGGCAAATTCGTATGTGTAGGTCTAAAACCTTTCTTCAGGTTCTTCAAAAACATAAGATACCATTTATTTTCTTGAACTTTAAGATAATATAAAAATTCACTAAAAAAAACTGGGAAAAAAACAGTCCTAAAAGCTTATATTAGCAGATAAGATTCATGTTTTACTGCCCATGCCAGAGATAGAGAGAACCATGATGTCTCTAGATGTTCAGACTACAACTCCCATGTGATGATTGCCATGCTAGCCTGTGCTGGGGGAAGTTGTAGTCTAAAACACTGAAAAATGCTTGTTTGCTTACCCAGTCTCAAATCATCAGTAATATCACTCACACTGATCACATCGTCAACAGGCAGGACCCAAGAATATTTTGCTTTCTTTCAGCTGGGTAATGAACCCTTTCACACAGTACAATTTTTTGTGGCAAGGACTATTGTGAACAAACTCTAATCCAGGCTAAACATCAAGAAGGCTGGGAATTATTGCTGCTCTTGGGGCGGATAAAAAAATAATCACAGAAGTCGCTGCTGGCTTGATCACAGGTAGCCCAGAAAAACTGATTAGGCTTTCACAATTACTGAAGCCCAGCATGGCTTATTTAATTCAATGCAGGGAACAGAACATGCCAGACTGAATACTGAAACCATGGCAGGTGATCACCATGGCTTATGTGTCATTCAAACCTGGGAAGAGTGGCTTATGAAAGGGTTAAGCCACCCTTATATAACCCTGAAACATCTCACAGTGGCTTATATTCATCATGAGAACTGGGCCAGCATGAACTGGCTCTAGGAGCATAACTGAAAGAGAATGAGCCCCTAAAGCCCATTTCCCTTCAAGGCAGATACAAAGTCAACCACAACAGGTGTGATCAGAACCACAATGATGAAATGGACAGTTCTTGATTTGGAAAGGCAGGATCATAGTACAGTTGGAAGGGGCCAGAAGGCCACTGGGTCCAACCCCATGCTCAGTGCAGGACTCCAAGTTAAAGCATCCCTCAGATGGTTGTTCAGTTGCATCCTGAATGCCTCTAGTGTGGGTGAACCCACAACCTCCCTGGGCCATTGGTACAGTCATGAATTATTTCCTGATATCTAGCTGGAATCTGATTTCCTGTAACTTGAGCCTGTTTTTCTGTATTCTGCATTCTGGGATGATTGAAAAGAGATCCTGTCCTTCCTCTTTGTGACTACCTTTCAAGTACTTGCAGAGTACTATCATATCTCCCCTCAATCTTCTCTTCTCAAGGGAAAAAATGTCCAGTTCTTTCAATCTTGTCTCACAGGGCTTTGTTTCAAGTCCCTGGGTCTACAGTATTGTTGCCCTCCTCTGAATCCTTCCCAGCTTGTCAGCATCTTTCTAAAACTGTGGTGCCTAGAACTGGACACAGGACTCCAGATGCAGCCTAACCAGTGCTGAGTGAGTGGGAACTAGTACTTTGCATGATTTTAAAAGTGGTATTTCTATTAATGCAGCCTAAAATAGCATTTGCCCTTATTGTGACCATATCACACTGTTGACTCATATTCAGCTTGTGATCTACAACAGGTAAACTTGGTTGCAAATCACTGCCCATGAAGATCACTGACTGGCATAGTCAAGTTGCTGTCTCTCGTGCATATTTTACAAAGTTATGAAGATAACACCATTCCTCAGCCTCCCCCAGCCTGGTATCCTTCAGATGGTTGAACTGCAACTCCCAGAATTCCTGTCAGGATGGATCAAATGCTACTTTACACACTGACCTGAGCCTCTGGAATGAAACACAGGGTTAAATCATGATCAGTTTCTTTTATTTTTTCAATTGAGGACATGAATTGTCTAGTCTAACAGCTTAGCTAAATACAGCACAAAAGAGAACTTGCACTGCTTTGCTAACTACACTACAGTATCAAGTGCCTAACAGTTAAAATTAGTCAAATCTGCTTGCAAATAAAAAATAGCTGTATATATTTAGCTGTATATATTTAGTAAGTGCTTCCATAAATTCTTAGGAGAACTAAAATCAGATTGATAATAGGCAGGGACAAAGCTTTTAAAATCACTTCCAACACAGACATACCATTTTTAGTTTCCAGCAATTTGTTGATAACATTACTAAGGTCTGCCACTTCAGAAGCAGCTGGGATAGAGAAAGGAACATCTTCAACTGTGTATCTATAGAGAAAATGAACACATGTTGAAAAATAGAGAAAATCTCAGTCTCTCAGCACCATCTCATAGAAGAGAGCAAATCTCCTCACTTAATCATTAATGGTTTAATGTTGTAAACCATTCAGAGAACTCATGAGCTGTGAACAGTATATAAAATTTGTTCAATTAAATAAGCAAGAACTAAACAGAACCAACATAACAGATAGTATATACATGATTTACATAACATTAAACATCAGCAAAGTCTAACAATTTCAGTTCTAAAAGGGAGATGATACATTCCACATTTTATATTGTAAAAGTCTGATATTATGAATAGGAGCCAGTTTTAAATGTCCCATTGTGGACATCAGGATCACCAAACAAATTATTGTCTTGGCCTTAAATAAATCCCAACACATACAATGCCAGGCTACCAGACAGGGCATTGCTGTGGTTTGCCTACTAGTTACAGTATCAAGTAACAGGTCCTATCAGCTATAATTATGGATTGAGACTATCAAATGATGCATAAGTCTTATACATGAACACCACAATCCTCTCATGCTTACTCTGAAGTAAGCCTCACCATGTTCAGCAGGGCTTACTTTCAGGTAAATCTGTATAGGATTGCAGGCTAGGCCTCTATTTCTATGTATGCTTGCCACAAAATTAGGCCCATTAAATCTAATAGGCTGCATAAATGTACACAAGACTGCTACAGCAATTGTGCATGTTTTTATTTATTGCATTTGCAGAGGAGAAAATCAACTTCGGACGAAATATATAAAGGAATAATTATTTTCTCTGTTTTGCTGCCCCAGGTGGTTACAACCCTATCCCGTATCACTTGGTCTGGCAAAGGTACAGGTCGTCTTACTAATGCCCTATTTGCCATGGGCACTGCATACATTAATTGTAATGGAGTTAAGTACACCTACCTCTGTGTAGGGTTCTGGTCATTGTCTGAGTCAAGGGGCAACTAAGGGTGTGAGTCTGTGTGAGTTTAGGCAGAAGAAAGTCCTACAGTTACCAGCCTCAGTGGCTAAAGGGATCCTGGGAGTTGTAGGACACTTTTCTGCCTAAACATACCTAGGATTGTGCCCTAAAATAAACAAACAATAAAATGTTACAGTGGCTGGGACTGTTTAGCTTTTTAAAAAAGCCAAGCAAGTCATGATAGCAGTGTAGAAAATTATGCATGTTGTGGAATAAGTGGCTAAGGAGACATTTTTCTCTCTCATAATAGTAGAGCTCAGTGAGGTTGTCCCATTAAATCTTTTTAGTGGAGGACTCAAGATAGGTAAAAGAAATTCTTCACACTTAGCGATTTGTGCAGTTTGATTATGCCATCACAAGATCTAGCAATAGGCAGCAATTTGGGTGGCTTTAAAGGGGTTTGACAAATTCATGGATGCTAAAACTGCCAATAGCTACTACTTCCAAGGTCTGGATACCACTACCAGTATCAAGGGTAGCAAATCTATGTACCTGAGTTGCTGAGCAGGGCTACTGGTAAGTTTGACTTGTGACCACAAAACTGGATTAGATGGATCCTTGATGTGATGTAGCATGGCTATTTTCATGTTCTTAAGGGATGATGATCAGGGGCTGTTTTTACAAAGCAGTCAGCACCAAAATGCTCTTCAAACCCACCAATTCCTTGAGTTAAATGCCTCTTTGCAGTCAGAGCTTACCAAATTAACTGTTTGCCCAAATCATGAATGTTCAAAGCTCCAACATATAAATTCCTGTACACAAACCATACTGCTCCCCCTGAGACATTCCTTCTGGCTCTACCATCCAAATTAAATCTAATAACACAATTATCAACCAGTCAGAATTAACGTAACCATTTCAGGAAAAACAAGGGAGTCGCGTGGCGCTTTAAAAACACGCAGCACGCTGAAGCCACTTTATCGTATCGACGCATACAATATAAGAAATCAAGATCGGAAAACATGTCGAGTAAAAGACCACAAAAAAGGCAGTAGCAGCTGTGCAAGGCCCAGCAGAGAACAGCGACCCATCTACGGCAGCAGCTCCTATATTATCCAGCTATGACTTCAGTCTTGATAGCTGTGGTGTGAAACCCCCCCACCCATTCGAATCAAGGCCGAATTCAGCAAAATCACTATACTTCGCACCTAAATTAGCAGCACCTAAAAAGTTCAGCACAGCTCCAATTCCAGCCATGCCTCGGTCACATTCGCCCGCACTTACTGAGTATCCTCGGTGAAGAAGCGGGCCTGAAGCTGCGCCATGGCAAGGATCAGGGCAGGCGATCCCTAAGGGTAGGAAGCAGGCGCCGGAGAAAGTTCCCAGCCTCTCCACTATCGCCGCCGCTCCCACGTGGCTAAAAGTCGCCCGCATCCTGCTTCCGCAAGGCCGTTGAATGGCTCGCCGAGTGATTAATAAAGCCTGCTCTTAAAGGTATAGAATCAGCTTCCACTTTTCTGTGCACGGAGCATTTTCATTCACACGCTGGAGCAGGAGCGAGGGCTGGTTGTCCCGTGCCCGACTAATCGCTTGCGTCACCTTCCCCGCGCCGTATAAAACTGTTGTTCTTGCGGTACCAGGTGCGGGGGTGGGTTTTAATGTACCCAGATCGCTTTTTGCGTGTGCTTATCAAGGAATCTTCTCACACTCTTAATATATGGTGTTGTGGAAATTAATCAGGAAATTATTTGAGAAAAATTGTTAGGCGAAAATGGCTGGAAGTATTTTAATATAGACTGTAAGTTTCAAGTCTCTGCATCCCATTCTTAACTGGGTCTCGCTCGTGCTTAAATGGGCATAGGACTGAAGCCTTAGTTGGACATCCTCTCTCCTTCGGCGACAAATACTTACTCTGATACTTACTCGCGCTTTACTGAGCGCAGCGTGTGTGCAGATGAGATATTAGGGAAAGGGTAGTGCAAAGGTACCATCTTCGTCCGACAGATTCAAATTACACTTTCCAGAATGCATATTCACGTTAAAATTTCGACTTGCGACTCCAGCTCCTGCTTTCCTGTCCCATTCCTATCCGGAGTCAAAAGCAGCCGCTGGACAGGAGCTGTTATCCTATTAAGTCTAATATTTCGGCTCACATTTGCAGTCGGCCGAATTCTCCATGCAGGGAGCAAGAAAGGGGAGACCAATCTTTTATCCTTTTTTAATCCTAGCGGCCTAGGGACAGCCAATTCGAAGCCATGGGTTCTTGGAAGTTGAACCCAAGTGCAACATCTGAACATTCTCCTAGATTCCATCTTAATGCAGACTCTTCAGCTTTCAACGTCAGCCTCTTTTTCCCTCCCCACTTCTGCTTTACCATCTAGCCTGATGAATTCTACGGAATTCAAAAGTTTGCAAACTATTTTATGCTGTTTGGGTTTACCCAATGAAGGATTTTGGAATTCTTTCTTATCGTTAACATGGCTACCTTTGTTTGTTGGAAATCAATACTAAAAGGTAGGTTTATTGATTTTCTTTTTGGGCACAATCCTATGCATATTTAATGAGGGAAAGAGTATTCAACTCATAGTATGTTCTAAATATATAGAGAATTGCACCCTTAATGTCATGTGCATATTATATGCCATTAAGTAATCTCCGACTTATGAAGACCCTAGGAGTGGAAAGCCCTCCAAAATGTCCTGTCTTGACAGCTCCTTCCAGCTCTTCCAAGTTCAAGGTTGTGGCTTCCTTTATGGATCCAGTCCTTCTCATATTTGATCTTTCCTTTTGTCTTCTGCTTTCGACTTTCCCTAACAGGATTGTCTTCTCCAGTGAGTGTTGCCTTCTCATGATGTGTCCGAAGTATGACAGCCTCAAGTCTTGCCATTTTGCTTCTAGGTGTGCTCATAGATTACTTCAATGCAGATGCAACACTGTATCCAGTCTCTAGATTAAGTTCAAAAAACCTTTTGTTGACAACAACTTCCTCGTTTAAACTCACTTCCCGCAATACGCTTATTTCAATCTCCACCGAAAGAGCTGCTACAGAACCTGCCTGCTTTACTTGCCTTTTTATTTTAATGTTTATCGTTTTGCCCCGCATGTGAGGAATTGTCATCAGAGTCAGAAAAGTGAGAATACAAAGTTCTCCTGAATGTCCTGGTTTTTTTTTCCCATGGAAATGCTTTCAGACTTAAGTTCGATAATACTTTTCAGCTCCACGATACACTGAACATAGCTTGCATATGTATGAAACAATTCCAAGACACTGCTCCGCGAACGATCCTTTTAATGGAAGAAAGCATCCTGCCTACATATTTCTACTTTTCACGCTCCGTGCACGGACATTTCGGCACTTCCGGGGTGTACGGTGTCCTGTGAGCGCCCGTGTGAAAAGCCCTTCGCGTTCGCCAGGAGCCGCGCCTGCGCGTTACGGGCGCCCGCGTGGTCTCCCGGGTGGCTCCTGCCAGATCCAAGACGAGGTGGAGTAGACTCGTTCTGAATTCCCCCCTCCCCCTCCCGCTCCCTTTGACTTCCCCTGGCAAGGCTCGGCGCGCGGCGGCGGCGTGGTGATGCGGCTGGGCCGAGCCGCGCGCCTGGGCCGCCCTTCCCCCTCGGGGAGGACCGTCCTCGCCAGACCTCCGGAGGGAGGGGCGTGGGAGGCGGCTCCCGCCCGGCGGGGCCGACGCCCGGCTGGCGCGCGATGGGGCGGGGTGAAGGAGAGCGGGAGCGTAGAGGGGACGCTGCGGAAGGGCTCCCGCTCGCCTCTGAGGGGCGGCCCGAAGCGTTAGATGCCGAAAGGAGGGGGCGCAAGGGAGAAGGCCCCGCTCGTTCTCAGCAGCCCTGTCGGGCAGCAAAAGTTGCCGGCTTCCTTTTCCTCACTCCTCAGGTCGCCCTTACCATGCTTGCCCATAGTTCTCAGAGGGCAAAATTGGTGCATTTAGATGCAAGTTAAAAGGGTGTTTCGATTTGGGAAAGTGCTGCCGTCGGTACTTTGGGGTGGATTCAGTGTGAGTGTAATACAGCCTTCCTCATCTTGTAGTACCCTCCAGATATTCTCGACTACAACTCCCTAAATTCCTCACTGTTGGTTATGCTGAGCTGGACCACTACAGATTACCAAGCAGAAGACTGGTTTTGCATATTTCAAAGGTTTTGTATATTTCCACTCTAAATAGGGCTAACATTGGATAAAAACCCTTTGTCCCAGTAATTTTGGTGCAATCTGGTACTTTTTGAATGGGGGTTGCACAGTCTAATTTATGCTGCAGGCCATAGATGCTTTACTGAATCAAGTCCTGCTAGGACATAGCTGGGATGCCTTTTGAGTTAGCCTGCAAAGGATTGTACTCTGAATTAATTGGCAAAAAGTTTCGTGGATTACCATTTTAGGGCTGTCACTTCTCTTTTGTTTTAAGTTTAGCCTGTGTAAGACAGAAAGGGATGGAGACACTGACAAAGGTCCTAATAAAGCTACTGCTTCTCAGTAGTGTCATTGTTTGGCTTTGGTTTTAATAGGCCACCACAGCTAATTGTGGAAACCCACAGAAAAACATGCATGTCATGTGTAAATATAAATATATTTGTTGCAACTAAGGAGCAAGCCTAGTATTTTCCATGGGAAGTGGTTTCATGTCTTGGCAGGGATGGATTTTTGGGTCTGCTTCAAAATACACATTTGTCTCTAGTCTGATAGTCTATTTTTAAGTTTCTTTTAAATGCAGATGGTATCAAAAAGTAGCACAGTAAGATCACAAAACCTCTTGGAACATTAAGTAGCAAAGTAAGCAGCTGCAGTTCCCAAGGTGTGCAGGCAATGTTGGACTATACCATACCAGATGTTGATTTCAGTATTTGGTATGTTGCATTGGAGAAAAGTGAGAAGGTGGTAGCATTATGTGCTGCAATGGGAGTTCATGAAATATGTATGTGAAGATTGTGAGGAAAGAATTGTACCTGTGTATGTGTAAGGAACCACTGAATCTCTGCCACATTCTGAATTGTCAAAGTGAGAAGTGCTTTTTCTATCCCCTGCCCACCAAAAAACGAAAATTGTTTTACAGAATTCCTTATATTTTAATGTTTGCTATAGATGTGATGATGCAAGCATGCCCCTGATTTCATTTTGCTGGGTGGGAGCCTCAGTGGGCCTTGCTGGTGAGACAGAACCACTTGGTCTGTATTCAAAACTGCTGTTCACTGCTTCCTGTATCCAAGGTATACAATTGAAAACACCTCCCATAGCTAAGTACTAGTGAAGCTTGGCTTAAATGTAGCTGTATGTATGTACAATATATGGATTAAGTCTCCATAAACACAATTCTGTAATTTCTCTGGGTTGCTCCATCATGGTTTGATTAAGCTTCCTCTTATTTTTGGCATAGAATATGTAAGGGGATCTGGCTTCCAGGCAAGCTTGAGTCCCAGCATAAGTATTCTGCCTGTTAGAAAGGAATTCTGTGACTGAATGATTTAGGAATAATAAGTACATTGAAAGAAAGAGTAGCATTCAAAACTTGCAACATTTATCCAAGATTCTTCCTATGCAACATTTTTTTCAGGTCTGTGCTGAAACTTCAAGCATGTATTGAGTAGAACAGTGCAAAATTTGATGTTTTGTGTGTGGCTATTGGGAATTATAGTAATTATAATTTATCTTCAAGAAGGATAAAACTCAAGTGGTAAAGTTCTGCATTTTTTACTTTTTTTAATTCTGTCTCTAGTGCTAGTGGGCAAACATGTATCCTGCCTGCATCTTCTCATGGTAATAGGCTGGATGGAGCTTTCAGATTTAATTCTGCTAATACTATTCAGCTCTATGATACAGTAAATAGATTGTACATATTTAAGAAACAAGTCTGGGAAACCATTAGGTAAAAGACCCTTTTAAAGGAATGAAGTACATTGTCTACATATTTCTTCCTGTCCTTGATTCTGTTAAGCAGTGATCCTTCACCCAGTTATCTCAGAGTAAGCCCCATTCAGCTCAGTGCAACTTATATCTGAGTAAACATATATAGGAATGTGCTGTCAATTTATTTTGTATAAACGATCAAACCATAATTCTTGCACACTCACTATTAGTTTAGTATTTTGGTTGGTGTTTGTATGCCATTTTCAGTAATCTGGCAAATGCCATACCACAGTTTGTGGGCTCTGCCTGCTTTTCTGGCCATACATTGAATGTATTTGAACAAACATGTTAAATGTGATAACTTTAAAACACTGTTGAAAAAACTTGGCCTGGTGATTTGGCATTCTGGATAGTGAAAATGCAGAATAAATTTTAACTTCGTGTTTATTTTTGTTTGAAAGCACAAATGACAAAAATACTAACCAAATTTATAGAATGCGCTCCCCAAAGAGGTGCGCCTGGCACTGAGTTTATATTCTTTTTGGTGCTAGGTTCAAACCTTTTTATTTAACTGTTATTTTAAAACTAATTTAAAATTTAACAGTCACTTTTATTTAACTTATTTAATTGTAATTTTTGGTTAATTGTTATTTATTGCTGTTTTATTGCTGTTGTTTTAATGATTTTAAGCCATCCCGAGAGGCCATGCATAAGGGATGGCATTCAAATGTTTTAAATAAATTAATGAATAAATTTATGCCAGCAATTCTGAGGACTAAATACCTACAAGCAAGCAAAAACTTCTTTACAGTTCTGGTAACTGCTCTGTGGCCATGTATGGTCCATCCCATGACCAACCAAGGTTCTACTTGTATATGAACTCGGTAATTATGTCAGAATGTTCCATTTTAAAGAGGAGGAGTTTATCCTTAAAAAATCTAGTGTGGATTTCTAGTACAATCCTAGGAAGGTCTACTAAAAGAAAGCCCCCACTGAGACCAATGAGGCTTCCTTAAGTGTGTAGGATTGTAGCTATTATCACTGATTTAAAATGGGAAAAGACTTTAGCCTCTTAAATGTGAACTCTGCTTGGAAAATAAGACAAAGCAAATGTAAGGTGAAGCTGAAATGCATCCTAACAAGATACCAAGATTTAGATTCTGAATATTTCTTTTGTAGTCTGCATTGTAATGGATGAAGCTGCAGTTGTTCATGATAATAGAATGCAGAAAACCAGTGACTTCTTGGCCATCTCTAATGCAGAAGAAGAAGAAACTGGTGACCATGCATTCCAGGTAAAAGATCAGTTGCAGACTTCAGTTTGTGGCAAGTCTGAGGGTTCTTCCAGACAAGGCTTTGTCTGTGCAATCACAGTGCCTCTTTCACAGAATCTAGTCTTTCTGTATTCCCCTGCGACTTCTTTCATTCTTGCTAGAGAGGAATTTTAAGGAAGAAGAGCCTACATAGCTGCACAGCACCTTGTGATTAATAATACCTAGTCCAAAAGTATAAAACCTGAAATATTGATTGAAATTGTCTGTGAGGAAATGTTCTTTCATGAATTTGCTTCAGTCAAAACAAGTGTTTTTTGTGTCTCATACAGGTAAAGAGAAATGTTGACCTCAGTTTACCTAGTAAATATCTTAGTTGGGAGCTCTTTTTGTTCTAGAATAGAACAACTGGAGCATTATTCACTATTATAAGATGTATAAAGTGAATGATCGGGCTGCTATTAGAATATACTTTCTCTGTGGCAGCATCAAGCATGCAGGGAAGCAGGAGCCCCATCCTTTGAGCAGAACGTGACTCAAGCACCCTTGCCTGCCACAGTGCCAATTAATGAAGATGCTTTTCCATCACTAAATGCACAGATACAGCTGTCTCAGTCGCTCTCATTTTCAGCAGAAGAATTTCATCGGGCTGACCAGAGCAGCCATTCCCTTTATGAAATGCAGTCTTCAGAGGGGGGTGGTACTCACATGGTAAGCAAGTCATGGTGCACTCATCTGTTGAATAGAGGTTGAATTTGAGAGGAGGAGAACTGTCTCTTGGTTAGGTTGTCCCCCTGAGAACCACTGTCACTTTGCTGCTTTTGCATCTCTACCAGATTTTGTGTCTCCACAGAGCTGGCCTGCCCAATGAGGCAGTAAATGTTGCAGGTGGGGCTGTATGTGTATCACACAGCCCCCCTGGCACCCCTTAAGCTCCCCTGCTGTTCGTAAGGTCACTGTAGTATAGCCAGACCAATTGGCTTCTGTATGTGGAGTTAGAGCAAGTAGAATCTTTCCTTTGCCTTGGGCAAAAAAGAGGCTGGTGCAGGGCTATAATTTTGAATGCCAACATAAACAATTTATAAAAATTTCCAAAAATAAAAAACAGTAATCAACCTAGGAGAATCATAAAAAGATGGAGGTGCTATTGGTAGGGAGAACCCTGATCTGGGGGCAGGGGGTGGGGTGGAATACGATTTGCCCTGTCCTGGACGGGATCGCACTCCCCCTAAAGGACAGAGTGTGGAGCCTGGGGGTTCTGGAATCAAGGACCCCCCCACCCCCCTGAATCAAGGACCTCACTTGATTCCAGCAAAATGTTATCTTTGGAAACGTTATGAATTGGTGCCTCTGTATGGTGCCTCTTGGTGTTGCCTTCTATCCATAGTGAATTTGTGCAGGACAGGATAGACAAGTCGTGTGTCCATTGAGTGATTATGAGTCCATGTCTTACCCTCACTTGCCCCCAGTTCTGCCGTTTTAATAGCCAGGAGGACCCATGTTGGGTGTCCTAGTGGAATGAAAGATAATGATTGTGAGCAAGTTGTTCAACCACTTTTAAATAATGGAATTCATCATCAAAATTCATCAACTCACTGACTTGTTTCCTTCAAAGATGATTGTTGCCAGCCAGTCTGAAAATGGTCAAGTGCTACATGTGATTCCTTCTTCACAACCAGGAATGGCGCAAGTGATTATTCCCCATGGTCAGCATCTGGATGTCACTGGCTCTCCGGGTGAGTTATATTTGGAATTGGCATCCAAATCTCACAGTATCCCCCAATCCATGATAGAGAAGCAAATTTAATTAAAACAGTAGAAATGATTGCTGAGCAAAAGCATTAACATTTGATTTGTATATTCTTGTCAGAAGCCACACACCTATTTTATGTCATTTCTGTTCTGAAGAATCAAGAACTTTTTCTCTAAACTTTGTACGTATAACAGTTTTAATCACTGGCTGCTTTGGCACCACTATTTAAGCTGAACAATGTAGTTAAAATATGAGTATTATGCACAGAATATGTATAATGGCTTGATTCAGGTTTACCATATTTTTCCGTGTAGAAGACGCTACTTTTTCTTTAAAACATTTAACTAAAAATGGAGGTGTGTCTTATATACAGGGGGTCAAGAGGAGAACTGCAGGTGTGCTGGGGTGGGGGGGGGAGACTGGCACGATCGCGCAGGTGGGGGGGTGGCGAAGCGGCACGCACGCATGGCAGCGGCTTGCTTGCTGGAGATCAATAGGAAAAGTGGGGGGCGTCCTATACATGGGGGCATCTTATAGACAGAAAAATACAGTATATCTTGCCTTCAGCAGATAGTTTTGTTTTAGGCAAGTGGCTGATGGCTAATTGCACCTATGGATGTTTGGCTGCCAGAAGAACATGGTAAATCACTATGGCCACTACTTTTATATCTTGCTTTTTTCCAACTAAAGAGAGCAAGGGCTGTATTTCAACAAAGTTTTATCCTGCAGCCTGCCTCATTCACAAAGTTTTGAATTCCAGATGACATTGTCATCATCTTGTAACCTTCTTGGATTTTCACACTGCTTCTCCCATCTTTTTTCTTTTTGCAAAAATCTATAGAAGCAAGGATAGAACAGTATGTTTTCATAGGTAGCATCAGAAGCCCTTCATCTGAAAGCACCTTGAGAACATCCATCCTGCCCAGGCATATAGCAGTCATTCTTCCGTTCTTCCGTTTTGTGTTCCTTGTGGAACATAGAGCGCTATGGATTCTATATGTATGCCTTATTTCTAGGAAGAAGGAGAAGTTTGTATAGTGACAGGCAGAATTGAGGAAGGGAGCCAATGACTGGAAAAGGGGATTGTGGACCTGCACCTTTCAAACTTATTTCCAAAGCAGATCAGTTTTTACCACCATAGAATGACATGTGCTAAGTGGCCCTGTCCACACTGCCTCACGCTACTGTGACACACACCCTACAGTGAAAAGAACTTTAAATGATCATGCTTGGAAATAAGTCAGTTCTCTTCAACAGGACGTCTAAATGAGATATACGCTCGCTTAGCGTGCCCAGTTTAAATAATGGAAAGAACTGTTCCAGTACTATTTAAGAGCAGTTGTACATCTTGTACTCATGCTGATTCTAATCATTTTATAGCTATTTAAAAACTTGCATATCTTCTTAGAATAAGCCATATTTTAAAATAATTTTGGTGTAATGTTTGAAAGGAACAATCAAGTTCTTGATGTACCTGAACATATACTTGATGTTCCCCACAGTTATTCCACCTTCCTTCTTTTACATGCCTATTTTAGCAGCCCTCTAGCATAACACAACTTAGGCAGAATCTCACAAGACATTTTCTTTTCCCATTTTGCACCATCTGCCCCTTCCAAAAGTGCTTAGTTCCCCTCCAAAATATTCTCTCACACAGGGTGAGGTAGCCTTTCTGATTGCTTCATGCTTTCATGTAGCCTCCCTCTCCTTACTCTTCTTTGAAAACACAGGTTTTGAAGACACAGCTTGCTTTGTTGTATCATCAAAAGTCAGCTAGATTACAGGTAAGGACAGGCATTTTCCCTTAGTCAGGGCAGCCCTTCCTCAAAGCTCTGTTCATAGTTGGGATTAGAACAGAATTAGTGAGTGGAGCCTGAGTGCAATCAGGATGATCTCTCTGTCTCTGGCTGGTGTGAAACTCTATTAGGCAGGAACTCATTTTTCAGGTGCAGTCTGTAGCTCACAAAGGACTTGTTGTTCAGAAATAATATGATATTCCTGCTTCTATCCACTTACTAAAAAGGAAATTTATTTCATTTTTTGCAAAGACACTTCAGAAGAGAAAAACTGTGATGGGGGTTTGCAAACAGTGACAGTGGCTGCTCTAGCAGACAATGCAAGCACTTACATCCTTCCTCCTCAAACATCTCTTTCAGGGTCCAAGAAAACAGCTGACGGGTAAGTCAAAAATGAATTCTTGGTTGAATTTTCTATTGTGGTTTTGAAATAGTCATTTGTGGTTGCATTTTTATGATTGACTTTATTTAGAGCATTATTCTAAATGATCTAAAATGAATAAACCTTATTCCTGAAGGCTCATTATTTAAACTGGCATTTATAAAATGCCCAAATGCAGCAAAACAGCTCCCTGCCTCTTTCTGACCATTAATCAATGACCCATATCAAATGGTACAGTTTTCCATAGGGTTTGATTCAGTGCTGGTCATATGCTAGAATAAGAGATTTCCCTTCCTCACTGCAAGTTTCCAGGCATGCCCCAAATGTGCTTCGGAGACCAATGGGATGGTGGTTCCCCTCTGCAAAGGTAGGGAGATCTAGTAAGATAGTGAGAACAATCTGGCCACTTAGGTCCCATGTCCCAGAACACATCCCTTCAATTGCATCTGTCAGGAGTGCACAGCGGTATGAGGCCTTCTTGCAAATGTGCTTCCATACAAGTATCTGTCTCAACATGTGAAAAACTATGCGTTTGCTTCTGCAGCAACGTGCTTATATCAAACTTACAGTGACTTGTGTTGAGTTGTCTGAATGTGTTTGCACTGTCTTTTTTGTCATTATTCAGGATCTTGGAAGATGCTTTTCCAGTTTCTCCCCAGACTTCACCCCCAAATACCCCTGCATGGGCTCACCGTCTCAGAAGCTGTGAGGTAAGCTCAAACTATAACAAAACCTGAAGCAAGTTTTTTAACAACTTTGGCCAGGATGTCTCCTATGGTAGTTTATTGTATTAATGATATTTATTTATTTGTAAGCTGCCCCGAGGCTTAGGCGAATGGGGTGGCATATAAGTCTGCTAAATAAATAATAAGATACTCATCTTACAAACTAGTGTAGGAGGAAACTATTATTGCTAGCTGTAAAATTAATTCTGTCTTGCCTCATTTTGTTGTTCTGGTGCAAGAAAGCCTTGTGAAATAATAGTGGTGCACACAAGTGGGTTCATACTGATTTTCATGGTATGTGAATGGTGTGAACAACCTGATCAAAAGAGGGAAAATGGGTTGACTTAACTATGTCCTTCCACCAGCAGAATGGACACTGCTGAAAGATAAGAATTCCTCTCCCTCCTGAAGCCTCATATGTGCCCCCCAAAAATTGTTCTAGAGGGGTGGGGGGACCCTCAGGAATAGATGAGGCTTGCAGTGGGGAGGTGAGAACTCGCATGGCAATGTGGGATTTAGCCTTAAGAAATTTATTTTTCTAGGAAGAAGGTCAACCAGTATAAGCAAAGGTATCATGCAAGGTTTTCCTCTAGTATCTGACAGGAAGTACAAGAACAAAGAGATTGCCTCAAAGTGTGAACCTTCCCCTAGTGCAGTGATGGCAAACGTTTTAGAGACCGAGTGCCCAAACTGCAACCCAAGACCCACTTATTTATTGCAAAGTGCCAACAATGCAATAAAGCCTGCATACTGAAGCTTTAATTTAGAAAAATCAACTCACAGACAGACCAGCCATGTGAAAGCGCGGACGAGTTGCAGCTAATGAGTCATGGCTCATGACGTCATTGCCTGGTGCCGCTACTCCTTTCCGAGAATATGCATGGCCCCTATGTGCGCTGTTATCCGATGCTTGGCTGCTCTTAGCATTCTGGCAAGAGTTTCTTCCTTTACTATCTCATATGCAGGTAGTGTACCCGCAGCCCCCCAGAATGCAGTTTGGCTTTAAATTCTGCATGGTCAACTTTGTAATGATGTTTTAATATGCTTTTAATATGATGTATTTTTATTGTTATTTTAATGTGAACCACGCAGATTGCTTCAGCCTATTGGGCTGTACATTAAACGTAAATAAATAAATAAATCTGTGCCCTTATTTAACAATACTGACCTGGCAAACGCAGAGAAGCATTTCAGTTGGTGAATATTCGTATTATTCCACCTCCTTTTCTTGTAGAAAATTGGGGATTCTTACCGTGGCTATTGTTCCAGTGAAACAGAATTAGAGAGTATTCTAACACAGCACAAACAGCAAACGCAGAGTGTCTGGGGAACACGTCAGTCTCCGAGCCCCGCTAAACCCGCCACAAGGTTGATGTGGAAATCCCAGTATGTTCCATTTGATGGGATCCCTTTCATCAATGCAGGTAATTAACTTTCTTTTGAATAGTTTTCAAGTTTATTAAATGTTTTATGTCTTAGGTTTTCTTTTGAATGTGCATAGGTATTGTGAAGTATTGGACTAGGGAAATGCTTTTTAATGCAAAGCTTGTGTTCAAATTCTGTGTGCGTGCGTGCGTGCACATGTAGTCTATTCCTATTCCTGTGAAAGAAAATAGACTTTCACAGCACTCCACACAATATTTTTCCTGCACAGAGGTATGTTTGGAAACCACTGTTGTGTGGCTTTTCAATTTGAATACAGGTGTAGTATTTCAATTTGGATGTACAGGTGTGGTGTGTGTTTGAGTTTGCATGTAGGATAAGTTACTAAACTACAGTTGTGCCATCTTCAGACAGGATGGTGTACACGCCACAGGTGCTTTTCCTTTTCCAGTGGAGAAATTACCTCCTTGAAAATAACACATCATCTCTGAAGAAGCTGGAAGAATGGCAAAGTTGGCACCAGGTGGGCCTCAGTTGCGAGCTCATTCCACAGTTGAGGGATGGCCACTGAGATGCCCCTTGTTGCCACCCTTTTTTGAAAGTAGCATTTGGAGGAGGGCCTCAAATGTTGATTGCAGTGTCTGGGTGGATTGCAGCTGGGAGAGGCAGTCAGTCAAATGTTGCAATCCCAAACTATCTGAGACTTTACAGTGCCAGTACCAGTACCTTGACTCAGGTGCAGAAGCATATAGACAGGTAGTTAGAGTGGGCCAGAAGTGCTGTTATGTGTTCAGACCTCTCGATTATTAGTCTGGCTGCTGCACTTTGTGCAAGCGTAGCTTTTGAAGTCTTCAAGGGCAGCCCCAGATAGAATGCATTGCAGTATCTAATTTGGAGATTACCAGAGTGTACATTACCAAAATGTGGGTATCCCTGTCCAGATAAGGAAATAGCTAGGCCACCAACTGAAGCTGGTAGAAGGCACACTGTGGCACTGGGACCACCGAACTCCTAGGAGAAACCACAAACTGTGAAGCTGCTTCTGCAAGAGGAGTGCAACCCCATCCCCAGCCTCCATCTGGTCAAAGGAACCACCTTCTAGCACAGGGGTCCTCAAACGTTTTAAACGGGGGGCCAGTTCACTGTTCCTCAGACTGTTGGGGGGCTGGACTAAAATTAGAAAAAAATATGAACAGATTCCTATGCACACTGCACATTAAAATTAATTAAAATAAAAATAATTAAAATTAATTAAAATATTAAAAAATAATTTAAAAATGTTTGCTCCGCTCTCTTGGGCTGCAGCAGGAGCCCAAGATGGGGTGGGGTAGAGCACGTCCATATTCAAGGGACAGAGCTACAATGTCCACAATTGCGCTGCGGGGGGAGGGTAAGACGAGCACGATCGTGCTCTGGGGGTGAAGACGGACATGATCACTCTCGTGCAGAGTAGACAGGCGTGACTGCAGCCATCTCTCCTCCCTGAGCACAATCGTGCAGGGAAAACAGGTGTGATCTCCCTCCCACCAAGCATGACCGTGATTGCGCCTGTCTTCCCTGCACGAGCACGACCACAGCCATCTCCCCACTGAGTACGCCTGCGCCAGCTCAGAGCTTACTTTTGGACTCGCTCGGAGATCATTTTCTCTGAGTGAGTCCGAAAGCTATGAGGCGGGCTGGATAAATCAGCATGGTGGGCTGAATTCGGCCCGCAGGCCGTAGTTTGAGGACCCATGTTCTAACAGTATCTTAGGCTTGTCTGGATTGAGCTTCAGTTTGTTAGACCTCATCCACTCCATTGTCACAGCCAGGCACTGGTTTAGCATATCCATAGCCTCACCTGGTGGAGATAAGAAGGAAATGCAGAGCTGCAACCTGATGGCAATGCACTTCCAAATTTTGGATGACCCCAGTCAGCAGTTTCATGAAGATCATGTGGGATAAAACCAACCCCTGAGGGACCCCATGCTGGAGAATGTATGGGACCAAGTGCCACCTTTTGGAGCCGGCCATCCAATTAGGAGGATAATCACTGCAGTGTAGTGCACCCCTCCCAAAGCTCAGACAGTCACCCCAGAAGGATACCATGGGCAATGGTATTAAAACCTGCTGATGGATCCAGCAGTATCAGCAGGGACGCGTTCCCCATCTTTCTTCCATGGTCAGAAGCTTGAACTGTGGCATTCTGCACAGATACGTTGCTGTTGTTTTGACAAGTGCTTATTCGAAATGGAACTGTCTCAGTAAAACAAGCCACAGTGTACAAAGATGAATTTCTGGGAACTTTATGTTGTGGGCAGCAAAAAGAAAGCAGGGTGAAGATGTAGAGCTACATAACCAATAAGCTAGGGATCTTCTCCTGACTTACTGTTAATGAGCAGAGTACCCAGCTCTTGGGCACCCAGCCCATTCATTCCTATTGTGCTGCTTCCTTTGCATCAGTGGGCAAAACTAACTGGGGAAGAATAGTTCATTGTTCCTATAAATAATTGGATTTACTGCACACGTGTTAGTACCATAATATCTTGGTGTTATTTTTATTTAAAAGGTATGAAATCTACCAAATAGCAAGTTTCTTCTTAAGTAGCTTTGTTAGCATAATACATGATAAAGACATTGTAAAGATTTGTTTGGCACAAACTCTGAAAATTGGAACTATATAGTTTAAAATGATTATAAGAGAAACAATCAGTCATTTCATATTGAAATCACAGAATCCTATCAATGACATTCTTGTATAAATTCATATGAAGCATGTGCTCAAAATCGCCATTCAAAGTGGTTTCTCTGAATCAAACCAATTCTGTCACATTACAGATGTCACATTTCCTGCCCCTCACACAGGTAGTAGAGCCATCGTGATGGAGTGCCAGTACGGGCCCCGAAGGAAGGGGTTTACACCCAGAAAAGCTGGTGAGGAGAGCATTTCCTGCCAACTGTACAAAGCCACTTGTCCTGCAAGGTCAGTTACCTTGGAAAAGGATCAGTCTTCCTTTTGAACTAGCCAGTTACTACTTTTCATTAACTAAGACAAGTGCTGGCTTGTTTAATTAAAACCAATTTGAAAATAATTTGTAAGGAAACCTTGTTGCCAGTCCTTCGCAAATATATAAAGTGGTTGAGGGGACAGGGCAACTATAAACTTCATACAATTTATCACTTGGATCAGTTAGTGGCTTCTTACAGGTTCTTGAAACCCATTTTGTGCAGAGAATTCCTATTGACTCAGAAGATCACAACACTGAAGAAGAGACATTTCAAGGACAAAAATCAATCAAGGAGTTCTGGCAATACTGTTTTTGCCCTACTAACATATAATTAGTTTTGAGACTAAAATCTGGTTTGGACATAATAGTGAATGGTGGGTTACATAACCTATAGTTTCTCAGGAGAAAGAGTGCTGTCTCTGACATGTTTCTTAATTTCACTTCCTGTGAACAACTTGTGAATAACCTGGACATTCTAGGTTGTTTAGAGGCTAAATGGTAGATTAATTCTGTGTTGTTAACCCATATGCAACTAGAATATCTGAGTTATGATGTCATGCTCACCCCATTCATAGTTTGTTTACAGAAAGAGGAAATGATGAGTACACTTGTGAATTTATTAACCCATGATTCACCTTTATATGCAAACTGGGTCTAAAATGTTTTACAGCATAACATTCTAATCGGAGTTCATGCATTCATTGTGATTCTGTAGGTACGTGTGGGGGTGGGGAGAGAGAGAATAATGTGATGCCCTGTGTCTTTTGGGGAAAAAAACCCTATATAATTACAAAATAATCATTATGGCACGGTTCAAACTCACTGTTTGTTCTGTCACAGTTTCCTGTGCCATCCCAGCTGAGAAGCTGTGGTTTAAGTGTTTCCCTCAAAGAAGTTCACATCATGGTTTGACCCTTATTTAGTCCAATAAACTACAGTTTCCTAGTTTAGGTGTCATGGGAAGCTGTAGTTTAGCAAATGGAGCATTCTCCCTGAAGCTAGGTGCACATGGGGAGGAAGGAACAGTTAAGCTATAGCACGTTCCCCCTTCAGCCCACCATGACTTGCTAGTGATGGGTCAGGTATAACATTCCCGGCTCATCCCAGTAATGTTTACAGCAATCCAGCATGAGGAGGTCAGTATTGTTTCCTCCTTTATAGAAAAATCACGACTCGCCTAAAACCTTCCTCAGAGCCATGGCTGTACTGAGATTTGAATTAGGAGACCTTCAGTTTAGAATTCATGCTTTTAATTATTTTGGTATATAAGCTGTTTATAGAATTAAAGTTTTGGAAATGAACAGCAGATTATCCAGTCTAGTTCTTTGACCAAAGAGAAGATGCTGTATACTACAGAATACTTTTTGCAAATACATTTTGTGTTTTACTTAGGCTGTTCCAAGAGACTCAGATTGAGCTTTGCAGGCTTGCAAGATAACATGATTGAGTTCCAAACACAACTGATGCAGCACAAAAATCTCTTAAGCGTTCATAAAGCACTCAGACGTGTACGGCTGACAATACCGCGAGTTTTGATAACCATAAGAATATAAGGAAAGCCATGCCGCATCAGACCAAGGGTCCATCTAGTCCAGCACTCGTACATACGGTGGCAAAACAGCTACCTTTAAGCAGAAGGAGTGCAAAACCTCCACCCACCCAAACTCTTTTGTAGCTGGTGTGTGCAAACATGCCACCTCTGGTAAAGGAGGTAGCCCATAGCCCTGAGGACTAGTAGCCACTGATAGCCTTCTCCCTCATGAATCTGTCCGATCCTCTCTTAAAGCCATCCAGATGGGCGGACATCACAACTTCCTGTGGCGGTGAATTCCATAGTTTATATGCTGTGTGAGGAAGTACTTTTATCTCACCGATCAGTTTCTTAGAATGACCCAAGTTCAAGCATTATGGCAGAAGAAGAAAAATGTCACTCAAACTACACTTTACGGTTTGTGGGGCTTAATTAATTTATTATTAAATATAGCTGTTTAACACTCAGTTGTAATGGCATAGTTTCTAGCTGAAGGCATCCAGACGATTGAGTTGCATTCGCATGATAGTTACCCCTTTCACCATCAGTAATGACAAAACTAGATTTTAACTTAATTTGAAAGACTTAGAAGTGATCAACATGGGTTTTTCTTTTCATTTGTATAGAGGCATAACTGTTTCATTAGTCTTTCAGTACATTTCTGTATGGGAAGGACTTCTAAAATCCTTGTCCACCATCCATTCCTCTGTCGTCTTTCCCTTGAGCTTGCTGCTATTCAGCAGAGAATTTACTGAGTTCACGCAACCCAGACAACCCAGACACATTTCTCCAAGGTAGCTTGTACATGGGCAACAAGGCCACCTTAATGATGCATGAGTTGTTGTATCTGCAGTGGGTTGTCTAGAATTCGACAACCAATCCAGTTGTGCTCTTAAGTTGTATGTGTGTGTTTTAAGTAAGCTCTCTGTGTGTGCCTGCATGTGTGTGCTTTAAACAATCCCATTATGCTCTTAAGCAGTGTGTACGTGTGAGGTACTTATTTGTTTGTTTGTTTTATGTGTATTTAAAGCTTTTTCTCTCTTTCCCTCTTCCTGTGGAAGGATCTACATTAAGAAGGTCCAGAAATTTCCTGAATACAGAGTCCCCACAGACCCCAAAATTGATAAGAAAATAATACGTATGGAGCAGGAAAAAGCTTTCAACATGTTGAAAAAAAACCTGATTGATGCTGGAGGAGTTCTCAGGTAATATCTTCCCTTCATGTTCATCAGTACCTATGACAGTAAATGCCTGTACATAGATTGCTTTCATGTTTAAACGTTTTTGGCCTTGATTCTTGTGGTAATCAACACCATCCTAGTTTAAATCCCATTTAATTGCACCAATTCATATAGTGAAACATGGTCACAAAGCCACTGAACTCCTTTTTCAGCATACTAATTCTGTGAAAGAGATAGCAAGACAGGAGATCAGAATGACACACAAGTCTAAACATCAGATTTAAATTATCAGCCTTAATACTTTTCAAACTACTTCAAGGTGGTAACAGCTGCTATTGAGTTAAATAAAGTTCTTAGAAACAATTTTGAACACTCATGCTGGCTGGTATCCTGAGTTTTCTCTTGGCTTTGGTGGGTCGGCAGAAGGAGTTTTCACTGATTCCCCTTGTGGCCTCTTATGCCTCCTACACATCTGCTCTGGAGGACTGGGGGATCCTCAGGAAGAGTTGGATGGAAAGAGGTGAAAATCCTTTAGTGGAACTCGCTTTAGTGGAACATTTCTATTTACAGACACCTAATTAGGACCCCAGGGGTGCAGGTGGCGCAGTAGTTTAAACTGCTGTGCTGCTGGGCTGGTTGATCAAAAGGTCGCCAGTTCGAATCTGCACAACAGCATGAGTCCCTGTTGCTCCGTCCCAGCTCCTGCCAGCCTTGCAGTTCGAAAGCATGCAAATGCAAACAGATAAAAAGGTACCACTTCGGTGAGCAGGTAACAGCGTTCCGTGCACTTTGGTGTTTAGTCATGCACCACGGAGACTGTCTGTGGACAAACGCTGGCTCCCCCAGCTAGGAAATGGAGATGAGCACCGCCCCCAAGAGTCAGACATGACTGGACTTTAATGTCATGGGGAAACCTTTACCTTTAATTAGTATCCCAGTCAGTATGTGTGGAAGGGTTGCCATGCCTATTGACTAAACACAAACTGCTCACTAGACTTCCGTTTCATTCCTAAGGGCAGTGGGGAGGGGCAGGATTACATGCCTTATTTTTTCCATCTGTCTTGGAAATTGCCTGTCTTATCAGGTGGTATGTGCAGTTACCTACCCAGCAGGCTCACCAATATCATGAAATGGAGGAGATCTGCCTTCCGCCTTCACCTTTTTCCATGCCATCTCCAGAAGAAGAGGAAGAGGCAGTCAGAGATGAGAACTGCATGTTACCATCGCGACTTCACCCACAAGTAGCAGAAAAGATTCGAGAACTTGTGTCTCAAGGAATAGAACAAGTCTATGCAGTGAGGAAACAGTTACGGTAAGGCAAGGCTTTTCTTGTGTAACTGCCCTGCCTCATCCATGGAGTTTTAGGTGGTCCAGTTAATGATGCATGTAACTTGTAACTCTTCTGTATTTTCCCACTGCGTCTTCTTTTTCCTTCTGCAAGGTCTCAGTGAAGGAGGAAAAGGCAGAGCAACACTGTGTGTTGTGATTGATAATATTAAGAGCTATCCATCTGCAAGCACCTTAGAACTCTTATCTTTGTGTCTTTTTAGACTGGGAGGTTTTTGTATTGATCATTCCCACATATCCAGTTAAGTGCTTTAGAAAAAATAAAGAAGAGCACACCAGAGGCCTGTGGAAAATCTCTTATCCAGCCAAGATTGAATGCAAAACATTAAAAAAGTTAGGAAGCTTGCTACTTTTATTTTTAATCACCCATAGCCAAGATTTTCCAGGAGTCAAAGCATGCAGTTGTCTTATATTGAGTAAATACCATATAGAGATTTTGCCTTACTTCCTAGTATTTTAGATCATCTGTACTGAATTACTTTTAATGAAATGGCTCAGCAGCATTTTCAGAATGCAAAACCTAAGTTAGTTAACTGCCCATCTGTTAGCTGAGTAAAATAATTTAGATAGGAACTAAAGTTGTTCCTCCCCCTGAGCATCCAAAGATGTTCAGCTCCCTGCACCATTCTCAAGGGTTCCCTGATCTCTGTGCACCTTATTCCATTCACAGAAGGAAGATTAGAACAGGACTCCTTGGTTGTGTGTCACTGGGAAGAGGGGACAGACAGGTCAGAGTAAATTTTGTATCCCAAATATGTGTAATCCTTTCTTTCCTGCATTGTGATACACAACAGGAAGTTTGTGGAACGAGAACTGTTCAAACCTGATGAAGTGCCAGAGAAGCACAACTTGTCATTCTTTCCTACTGTAAATGATATCAAGAACCACATCCATGAAGTTCAGAAGAACCAAAGAAACGGGAAGATAGTATGTAACTCAGAAAGTGTCCCTGCCATGGTAATCATGGAGGCTTCTCTTTCCTATCGAACTCGAGTTCTGTAGTCATTTTGTCAAGCTTTACTCCATGTTCCTGATTCACTCAGAACATCCATTTGATTCAAATGCCTCCTTACCTGAGTGTAATTTTACTGTAAAACATAAGAATTAGTTTCTAGACCTTGTATCACCCTATTAGTAAGGTGCTAACAGTGAGTTTGATACAAGGAAGATTTAGTCAAAAAAGGAGAACTGGAGTAAGATTCATGCCCTTTTGTTTTTCTTTGGTGGCTTTACTTTCCATGCTATGATGACTGTGCTTAACTTCATTATCTCATATTGATTAGTTCCTGTACTGTATATATAAAAAGCTAGAATCAATGCTAAAAGGCTTAAGGTTCCCCCTCCCCCAGTAGAAATACTGGATTTTTAGATTGATTGCCCCATCTAGATCCCAAAGAGGGAAACTGTTGTATAGCAATAAATGGCAAAAAAAGTAGATTGGAACTGAACTTTTATTCAGAGTGATCATATTCATGCAGTCATGTGGATCTGTCTTGGTATCACAGGGCCCCATCTGAGTGTAAGTGTTTCACTCAGCCATAGCAACAGGATTCAGACCAGGGATGTATAGTTAGTAGGCAGTACCAAACTGTGGCATTCTGCGAACTGAAAGTGGAGCTCTGTCAGATCTTGCACGGCATATTCTGCCTGTATGTGCCATGCTTGCACAAACATAAATTTTGTTGGATTCTCATCTTGCCCATAGTTTGTGACCTGGTTTTGTGCAGGTGGAATGATGTGGCTCAATATTGACTGCTCAGCCCTCGTTTCAAAATCTGACTCGAGGGTCCATCTGCATTAGGATTAATCATAGCTAACAGAATGCAGTTATGCCAAGACATATAGCAGTGGGTAGGAATTTGTGGATGTGAAAAGTGCACGTAGTCCCACAGCTCCTTCCCCTTAGCCATTGCTAAACACTGGGATGGAAATGGGAGCATCAGGAGTGGCCTGAACAACAAAACAGGAAAAATAGCCATACAATGGTTTATCTATTGCTGCAAAGCCAAATGAGAGTTCTGGTAAAGAGCCTGCCACTACTTTCTCTTGTAGTGGCCAGCCAATGCACTAGAATAGTCTTGTGAAAATTTATTATAGCATGTAATTCTAAAATGGATCAGAGAGGGCCAGTCCTATGGAACCTCCTGCCTCTGAGGTCAGCATGTTTCAATAATATGTTGATTTTGGTGCTTGCTGAAAACGGCTGTGTTCTGAGAAATCTTTCTTACTGAACAAATGTAATTCTAATGTTATCCTTTTAAAATGTATTGTTCTCATTATTTTTCCTGTCTTATCTTTCACTTAGACATGGAGCATTGTGCACATTCGGTTAAATAATTAATAAATCAATATTTATTTGTTACACTGTGTGCAATGTGATAAGAACACTGGAATGTACAGACAACTGTTTTTTCTTTTTCAGCTTCAGTGGACTACGGAGAGTGGGAACGTTCTTACTGAAACAGTAACAGTCACATTTGCATCACCGCCAAACGAGGGTAGGAGCAAAGATCAATTCTTTGTGTTTTTTCTGAGTTCATCATCATATTCTTGATCCCACACGTTTATTTGGTTTTGCCCATTTTAGTTGCAGTTTCAAGGAGAACTCGTCTGTCTTTTACTAAATATACATGGTTTTGTATGAGTGCCAGGTGTGTTTTTCATAAAATTCACATGCCTTGAAACTGCTGGTCACTGGTTAAATCAAGGGTGTGGAAGTGCTTTCAACCCAAAGGCAAACTCAGTTTCCAGAGATGCATTTCCATGGTGGACAGGACAGAAAGACAAATTAGAGTGAGGAGGCATCCCTGATCTTTGCAGGTTCTTCCCACTGCAATCTTCTGTGTCCTCTTACAGCAGGCTCCCCACACCCAGCTGCTGGCTTTTGCGGGGTGGGAAGGAGACAGTGTGAAAATCTTGTTCCATGAGCAGCAGTCTCCTCACAGAATTAAGGATTCAACCAATAATACCTACTTTATAAGTATATATCCATGCTTGTGAACAAATATAAGGTACCAGCCATATAGGGTTCACACCTATGTGCCAGCACATACCATCACATTCTGTCATGAGTAGAGGGATCAAACATACCCAGCTCTATCGAATATAGAGGTTCTTATACACTAGTGCAGATAGATTTGTATGTGACATAATGCATCCAGATAAAGTATGAAAACTTGATCTAAAGGTGTCTCTGATGATGCTCACATGACACAACAATGTATTGTGGGATGTTACGCACAATGGATTGTCATGTGAACCCAGAACAATTTCCTCAAGGTGGCTTGTTTGAGTGCATCAACTCACCCTGACAACCCATTGTTCTAAGGGTTGTTGTATGCACAATAGATTGTGGAGTTATACAAGCCATTAAGGGTACCAGGAATCAGCTGGTGAGCCACTGAGCAAGAGTGGCAAACTCCCCTGCTTTCCTATTCTTGGCAAGTTTGCCAAGATACCTGCTAGTGCCAGCTACCCCACAAGTGCCCAAGCAGCACTTGGAGGCAGATGACACTGGCCTGCTACTCTCTCTGCCCGAATCACAAGCCATTTTCAGCTGGACACAGCCTTTTTGCACTTTCCCCCAAGTTTGAAAGCTGGCTCGAGAGCCAACTTTTGTGATCCCTGTTTTATGAGTGCTGACAGCCACTTCAAAGTGCCCAAGATAGCAAGATAGTCCTGGTGTAGTGCCCCTGGAATACCCACAGGAGAACCAACAGGAAGAATTTGTTCAACCCTTGGTGAATCCTGTCATCTGTCTGACACACCATGGGTTGTTTAGCCAACACCCAATCTGCTGTGGCTTGTTGCCAGGGTAGGTTGGTGTTGCATGTGGACACATCCTGGTGTCTTCTTGTTAGAGACATGGCAAAAATGACAAATGTGAGTTGGCTGACCCTCAAGACCAGGGGTCCTCAAACTTTTTTAACAGGGGGCCAGTTCACTGTCCCTCAGACTGTTGCGGGGGGGCGGACTATAGTTTGAAAAAAATATCAACGAATTCCTATGCACACTAAACATTAAAATTTAATTAAAATTAAATAAATTAAAAAATTGAAATTAAAAAAATTAAAAAATGTTTGTTCCGCTCAATTGGACTGCATCAGAAGCCCAAGATGACACTGTGCCACCTGCTGAAAGGAAGACCACGACACAAGGGGGAGCCATGAGGGCATGCTCGCCTCAGCCGAGGCCTTCCCGGCTCCTCGCCACCGCCCTGCTTCTGAACTGGAGGAAGGTCCCCTTGTAGGCGCTCGCCCGGCTCTGGGAGGGGGAGCGGGAGTGGGAGGCTGGAGAGGCGAGCATGGGGCAGCTTCTTCAGCCGGGAGAGGGCCATGAGGAGGGAGCTAATGGCTGCTTTCCAAGGCGAGGGGAGGCGAGCGACGGGGTTGCGGCTGGCTGAGCAGGGTGCCTCCCGCCTCTCCCCACCACAGGTGGAAGAAGTATGGCAGCCACTTGACAGCAGTGGTGGCTTGCCCAGAGAAGGCCATGTTGGAGGCGGGGAGCCACGGCCCCTCTCCCACTTCGCCTCAGCCTGTCCACCCCTGGACTCAGCAAGGTGATCGTGGCTTGGCCTGGGGGCATGGCTCACATAGTTAAAAATATATTTAAAAAGTTATATTTTTCTTACCTTCTATCTTTTTTTAGTGTCTTTGTCTCTTTCTCTCTTCTCATCGCCCTCCTCTCTTCTGTATTTCCGCTCCGTATTCCTGCTCTGTATTCAGACCCAATGCATGCATGCAATATGGGGAAGATCCAGTGCATGTGCAGCTGAAGAGAGCTATTACAGTTTGGCACGTGCGCTGGCTCTCTGCTAGTCTCTGAAACTGAAAGTGTTTCAGAGAACACCTCCGCTGGCTCAGAGCTTTTGGGCTTGTTCGGAGATCGTTTTCTCTGAGCAAGTCCAAAAGCTCTGAGGCAGGCTGGGTAAATGACCATGGTGGGCCATATCCAGTCCACAGGCTGTAGTTTGACGACCCATGCTCAAGACCCTTCTTTTTCTGGAATGCTCGTGAGTTTTATTTCTTGACATGTTTGAGCTCTGTTATTCACCAAACTTGCCCCTGTTTTTCATAGGAACACTTGAAAGCTGCATTGCACTGAGTCAGACCATTGGTCCACTTAGTCCAGTACTGCCAGCACTTGCCAGCAGTCCTGAATCTCCCAGCATTCAGCAAGACCCTTTCCTTGCCTTGTCTAGAGATACCACAAATTAAATGTATTTATTTATCATTTATTTTATTTATTTAGGAAATTTATAGGCCGTCCATTACTGTCATCTCTGGATGGTTTACAATATATTATAAATCCTAAACAAAATAAATTGGCTACACAATGACTGAGTATAAATGACATGATTAAAATAAATTAAATGAATAAATATACAATTAAAATTAATTATCTTTAAAATATTGGTCAAATAAAAAGGTCTTGACCTAGCGGTGAAAAGCATATAATGACAGCGCCAGGCGGACCTCTCTAGGAAGCGCATTCCATAGTCGGGGTACCACCGCAGAGAAAGCTCTCCTCTGAGTACTCTGTCTCCTGACCTCTTTCAAAGAGGGTTCCCGGAGGAGGGCCTCTGCTGCCGATCTTAGTGGGCGTGAGGGCATATAGGGAAAAAGGTGTTCCTTTAGGTATCCTGGTCCCAAGCTGTTCAGGGCTTTATAGGTAATAACCAGCACCTTGAATTGAGCCCGGACTTCAATGGGAAACTAATGGAGGTGATAGAGGACTGAAGTTATGTGAGAATAACGACCAGTCCCCGACAGCATCCTGGCAGCTCTGTTTTGCACCATCTGAAGTATCCGGACCATCTTCAAGGGCAGCCCCACATAGAGCACGTTACAGTAGTCCAAGCGGGAGATTACCAGTGCATGTGTCATTGTTGCCAGGCAGTTCTCCTCCAGGTAAGGACGGAGCTGGTGGATCAATCAGAGATGAAGGGAAGTGCTCCTTGCCACTGCCATACTGATGACTCTGCAGCCCAAACCTCCTGATGACCTCTCCCAGTGGTTTCATGTAGATGTTAAATAGCATGGGGGACAAAATAGAGCCCTGCGGAACCTCATGGCAAAGCTGCCATGGTGCAGAGCTATAGTCCCGCAGCACCACCATCTGGAATCGTCCAGCCGGGTAGGAGTGGAACCACTGCCATGCAGTGCCTCCTACTCCCAAGTCAGCCAGCCTATCCAGAAGGATACCAAGGTCGATGGTATCGAAAGCCGCTGAGAGGTCCAGGAGAACAACAGAGACGCACTCCCCCTGTCCCTCTCCCTGCACAGGTCATCATACAGGGCGACCAAGTCAAATTCAGTACCGTAACCAGGTCTGAAACTGGACTGAAATGGGTCCAGATAATCAGTTTCATCTAAGAGTACCTGGAGTTGTCCTGCCACCACCCACTCCAACACCTTGGCCAGAAAATTTGGGATTATTCGCATGCAAAGCCGTGGCTGTGCTGGTGAGATACTGCCCACTCATATTTCTGTTGATGGACAGGGCCATAAGCATGTTCTCTTCGGTGTGAGGATGACTCCAAATATAGCCTTCTCTTGTAGCTGCATGTGGACAGTATAAATCCGTGAAAACGTATCTACAACATTTTCACGGATTTTTCATGGCTGAACCTCCTGGGAGCGGATCACTAGCTTTCAAAATGGGCCCCTCATTTTGAAGAATACAGTTGAAAGGACCTTTAGGATTATAAAATACTGAACAGCAGAGCCATATTTTCCCTGCTTTCTTTTGTCTGTTTGCTGTTTGTAAGTATGTATGCACGGACTGAGTTTGACATTGCCTTTTAGTTGTTACGCATTTCTAACTGTAATTTCAACTGGACATACATTGGACAAATAACTCCTTGAGATATAATTCTTAATCAGTATTCACTTCTTTAACAAGAATAATTGGACTTCTTTTCTTGCTTTTTACTTCTGTTTCCGTTCACTGTTCCTGCAGAGAAAAATCTAGTGAACGTTTACAAAGTCTGTCTATGCTTATGAATAAAATATCTCTGGGAATTTTGTTCAGCTGGTTCAGATCTGGTTTTGCCCTCCTCTTTTCTAAATGTTACTTTGTTTTTGTAGAGAGCTCACCAGAGAAAACTCTAATCAAAGTGGAATCAAATCAGGCAAGGGAGCTCTTATATTCACAGACTGCTCAGTTACTGTCATCACTCCAGCCCAGAGTATTTACCCAGCTCAAGGTAACATCACCAGTTTCTGTAATAAACTATCAAGATTGCTAGAATCTCAAATGGTTAGGCACCAAGGGGAGGGCTTTTGTGAGGGGAATAAGGGAGGCCCCTCCCCATTTCAGACAGGAAAAGGAATCAGAGATCAAAATCACAGCAGCTGGACATCCCTAGCACTGCATGGAACTTGGTATTTCCCCAGACTTTGTCTAATTTAGAGCAGGGTGACAAAATATCAGTCAGGATTCAGAAACTACCCAACTTGGATGTTATCCTGACTGAACTAATAACAAAGATAAGAACAGACTTGGTGCACAGTGAGTATGTAAGATGGATGCTTTAAAATAAAGTTATACTTTGGTCTTCCAGGGACTGCAATTACAGTCTTCCACAGATGGAGCAGCAACCGTTATCACTATGGATAGCCCTCCACCCAGGTCTGCAAGCCTCCCGCATTCCACAGGGAGGCAAATAATAAGCCAGCCAGTACTTTGCCAGGATCATGACCTCAGAGTGAATTTCAGTCAAGCACAGAACAATGCAACTGTATCAGTGCTGGAAGAGCAGCCTGGATCAGAACATGGGGTAGTCACTGTTTGCCAGTTTATCACCGTGGGCTGTATAGAGGATGATGACATGATCAAAGCTGATCAGAGTCTTTTGGGAGATGTACAGTCCATTCCTGCACAAAGTGGAGGCAGTTATCCAGCACTTAGTAAGTACAGCTCTCTCTTGTTGGCAAGTAACATGTTGTACTCCTTAGCTATCTGCGTCACGAGGATAAGCAAGGTGATAGTTACCTGGCAGCTTCCTTAAGTGATGGCACGAACCAGGGTCTGGCAGGGCTTTTCGGAGCATTGTACCTTGGTGTGTATTATGATGTACCGTATTTTTCTGTCTATAAGATGCCTCCATGTATAAGACGCCCCCCACTTTTCTTACCGATCTCCGAGCGAGTGAGCAAACTGCTCCACGCACATGCCTGCTGCCTCCCCGTGCACATGCCCGTGCCTGCACCCACCTCCCCCAGCACGTCCACACCTGACTCCCCCCCGAGTGCACCCGTGTCAGTCTCCCCCGAGAGCACCCGTGCCAGTCTACTCCCCCTCCGAGCGTGCCCGCGGTTCTTTCATCCCCCCGTGTATAAGACGCCCCTCCATTTTTAGGTAAATATTTTTAAGAAAAAGCATCGTCGTATACATGGAAAAATATGGTATATGGGCACCTGCAAGTCAGATAAATGGCAGCAACATTGATATTCAAGTCCTAGAATTCTGAAATGGCTGTTGAATTCTGGAGTCTTTTAGTGGTTAGAAATTGATAATTTCTGTAATACGACTACTCCTGGCTCTTTCTTGGAAAATCCTGAAAAACATGGATGAGAGCCAGTAGTTTCTATCTCTCTATATTTGCTTTCCAGCAGAAGTATGCTGAGTTTGGCTAGCTGACCAATGCTATCCTAAAGTACTAACCATCCTTCCAATACTGTATTTACTGAAAGAGGAGCAGTGAGGTATTATGAGACTGACAGAGTAATGACTCTCTTCATTCTTTAGTCACAGCTGAGGTAGGGTTGGATCTGCATTCACACTGGATTAAGTACAGTAATGGAAGTGAACTTCCTCATCTACTCTTTGCCGTAGCAGTCTCTCTGGCTTCTTGAGCTCTGAGTGGGGGAGAGCTCTGGGTGGGCAGGATCCTTCCATGGACAGAATCCTTAAGCCCATGGAATGCCTGTTTTCTAATAGGATGTAGATGCTGTATCCATCCCCCAGAGGGCTATAACTTTTCATAGGTGAGTAGTGCCTCTTTAGATTGCGGCAAGTTTGTGTATATGTAACAGCATGCATTGAGTGCACAAGGAAATGCAAATCTCTGTTGTTCTGCATATAGATGAATATCACCCTCTTGCTCAAAGAGATACGTGCAGATTGGCTTAATATGAGCTAGCAGTCAGGAACTTACATCAGAGCCTATTTTCAGTGCTAGAACTCTGCTCTCAAACATAAGAGGTAGTAGTAAAGGCAGTTTCGAAGAGGAGAATGGAGCTCATTCTTCTACACATGGGATTGGAGGGGAGATGACAGATTCCGCCTGAGAGCACCTACTTTGTATGCAGGCTTTGCACTTCCCACTATGGAAATTATGAACCATGGTCAAGTGGATTTGAAAGGAAGTTTCAAACAGAACCGTTGTGGCATTGTTCCCATGGTGCGGAGGTGAGCAGCCTGTGGCTCTCTGTATGTTCTTCTACCATTCCCATTATCTCTGACTGTTGGCCATGCTGGCTGGGATGAAAGGGAGCTGGAGTCCAGCAAGATGGTCCTGTCCCTTACCAGGCCTCTCACTCTCTGCTGTTGTCATCAGACAGTGAGGACTTACAACCTGACTGGAGTCTAGCTGGAGAAGAGCCCTCAGCATGGTGACCCCATTTCTGCAGAACTCCCCATCTGAGTTGGTCAGCAGGCACCAACATTGTCTTGTTTTTGCACTTCCTCAAGACATGTTTATTTCAGGAAGCCTTCCAGATCTAACAAACACAGGTTTAGCAATATGGTTTTACTTACCTTGTTGTTGATACATTCTTTTATTTGTTCCATCTTTTATTGCTCAGTGCTGCTCATAATGGAATATGGAACAGTATATGACTCTTGTAAATAAACATCACAGGTTGTCCACCCCAGTTTTGGTATCTTTGTCCATCCCACAAAGCAGTTAGGCCCCACAATTTCCATGCATTACATCAGATATTACAAGTAATGAAGTACAAATCTTTGAGAACTTTTCCCATTTTGCATGAGTGTGTGGGAGGCTGGGGAGAGAGGTGAATGGAGAGAGAGAGAGAGCTCCCCTTGCAATTTTCTTATCTTACCTGAGAACGTATGTACCTGTCTGGGAACTGTTGGGAATAGTGACTTCACATCCCCAGCAAGAGTTCAGCCCACATCCATCAGTTGTTGCTCTTAGACTGACATAGGTTTTAATGGAAAAGTCTTACTTGAGTTTTTATTCTAGCACTTTGAGCTGTGTTTCTCTCTTGCTTTCAAGAAAACCCAGAAGGCACTGTCTGTACAGGCAACGTTGATCAAGAAACAAAGGAGCAAGTTGGGGATGAACCAATCCAGAGGCTTCCTAATGGCATCCATACTAGAGTCTGTGACGACTCCTGAGAACTTGGAATGAGGCAAAGTCTGCCTGGAAGAGGACAGTGTGACGTTTGGTGCAGGCTGCACACACTTTTGTGTGATAGGAGGCTGCTGGTTTGGGCGTGCAACTGAGTTTGTTCCCTGCCAGTCCCAGATGACTCCCTTCTCATGTGAAGGCTGCTGTAATCCTCCTCCTCTACACGATGCTGTGGGTAACACTCAAGTGGCTTCTTGTCAGTATGTAGTAGGTTTTTCATAATTGGTTCCCTGATATTCTCAAAATAATTTTGTGGGGTAGGATATTAACTGCAGATTTTCTTTTCTAAAGCCTTCAGCTTGCTCTAGCAGCCCCAAATGCAGCAGAGCTTGGCCAGGCAGGGACAGAATGGCTTCTTGCAAGGAATGTATTAACTGAGCTTGAGTCTTTCATTTTCCAAGGAAAAGAACACAGGATGGAGAAGGGGTAGGGGGCGATGTCTCTGGGAAGGGGAATGAAGTTGCTGGCAAAAGTGTTAAACAAGATGACATGCAGATGTAAACATGGTGTGGTGGAAGGAAAAGGCTTTCATTTGATCTCTACATTTAACCTGCAGAGCTGTTCATGACATTTCTTTTTTCATGTTGTCTTCCTTATCCTAAAGGGAAAGGAGCCAGTGGAACATAGCTGCTCATCTGGTGGTGACTTTTCAGCTGCCCTCTCCTCTTTTTACTTTGTGCACTTTACCCTTTATGTTCAGAGAAACATAATAGGGATGAAAAACTATGAACTGAAATTCAGTTTGTTATGCTGTGGAGCAAAACTCTAAAAGCCATAATGTGGCTAACCCTACAAGAAATAGGCAGTAACCCCATCCATAATCTGTGGGGAGAAACTGAGACTCTTGTGATTTTTTCTTTTTTCAGAAGGAAGTTTTAGGAATGCAAAACGAAGTCATGTTTCAGATGCTAAGAATCTCAGCTGGTGAAAGGAAGTCCCCTGCAATCCTTTAAAAAAATCAGGAAATGATTATCTGTGTACCAAGCTAAATTCTGACAGTGTTATTCACATATTCAGGATTCAAAAATCATGAACACAGTCTTTTTGCTTGTTTTTTTCTTTTGGACCTTAGCTTGCACATGGGGAGTTCCTCTAGGCATAGATTTCTGCTCCTTTCAGAGGAAGAAGCGAGTCTGCAAATTAGCATTGCCCTTTAAAACGCAGGTGAACACTGTTCCAGGTGGGATGGTCAGGTGTGTATTGCTCCAAGCTCCTGTTCCCACATAAGTTGTGTATTTTGAGCACTGGCAACGTAAGTGTGAAAATGTGGTTTCTTTATTCTGAAAATTATTAATTTTGAGTGAGTCTGTGTGCAGCAATATAGCTTAAATTAGAGATATGCTACTAAAATGTGTGCCGGTAATTGCAAATGGCTCCACATGGATAACCTAAATCTCTACGCAGAATTTCATCATGCTTTTGACCCTTGTCTAATAAATCCACTGGGACATTTGCTCAACATGTTATTCCTTTAGAATTGGATAATAATATCTGCCATGCTGCTACTCTTTTCCTCTATCATTTCTGAAATTAGTGTCAAAGCACACAAGCCTTTGTAGCATTAATCTAAAAGGAAATGTAATGCCTTCATCTGTAACTTTGCATTACTGTGCATGCAAAAGGAACTTGATATAATTCGATGTCAGCAGTGCAATATACCTCTTATACTTGACAGCCACAAGGGCTCTGTAGCTTTTCAGACCTGCAGAAAAGGTGAGTTTCACTAGCTGCACCCTTCCCTGTTGGAAGGTTGTAGTGATAGAAGTATGCTGGACCAAGCTTTCCTTCTGTATATAGCTGTCTGTATCTGGCAACCCTAGATATGGTTGACAATCAGCAATTACTTTTTGAACCCTTTTACAAAACCTGCATTCTTTTCTCCTTTTCTCTTGTTACATGGAAATCCTGGTTCAGAAGCAAAAGGCAATCAACAAGTGAAGGTATTTCCAAAACCATTTTTGCTGAAAAAGATAAGCCATTTGGGTGCATTTTATCCCATGTTTGTCACCGTAGCTGTGTTACATAGATTTTTTTGACAATTGCTTTTCCTTGTCATTTGAAAAGGGAGATAAAGCATGCGGCATACAGACAGAGTGCCATCAGAAGTTATGGGCTACAACCTTGATCCTCTTTTCTGATAAGTAACTGACTTGTCTTGAATTGTGCCCCAAAGTATCATCATCAGTAGGACATCAGTGTAATTTTTCCAAGGCCAAGTGTACAGCTGAAATAAAGAGCCATTGTAGAGATTCTTACATCCCTGTTCACCATTGGTTGTGTCTAATAATTAAACCTGAAAGACCAATAACTTTCCATTTGGGCTGGAAAGAGTGACAATTGACCATGTGAATATGAAAGTGTTTCAGCTTGTACAAATTTAGATACATTTTGTTTGTACACATTGTATAGTGTTTCATATTAAAATGTAAATTTTGAGAGTTTTTTTTTAAATGCAGTGGTGTGTGTGTTTTCTACGGAAAATGATAGCTGAGAGGAAGTCATTATTTCACTCATCTTACATACTGCTGAGTATTCTGTGTCTTCCTGAGCACTCTGTTCTGAGCACTCTGTTCCATACTCAAACAGAAATTTGAGAATAGATTCTCTGTTTGCCACTTTTTTCCTATTCAGAAAATCATTTTACACATACTGTTGCAAAACAGAAACTTTATGACATTTTGTCCTATGAAGGTGTTTTGTACATTCAAACAAATATTTGAAGTATCTGTATCCACCAGTGTATTATCAATGCAACACATTTCAATTGTAATTCATTAAAGAAAGGGGCAATTTCCATTGCAAAGCTTGAAGTCTAAAACGGAGATCTTGCTACTTCAATGGAAAATGGTTTTAAGACTGCTTGGGAAGAATATTACTTTCAGACATGCCTCAAAAAGGTTTAGCACACCCTGGTGTGATTAGAACTTGTCAAGGGCTAGATTCATCCAGAGGCCTCACCAAGAGCAAGATTTCACCATCTTTTCCAGCTAAGGTCAGTAACAGTACATCTCACCAACATATGCTGATAGAGACATGGCCCATAGTTTTTGGTCATCTATGAGCCCATGACAATAAATGTACATCATAAGATGCATAAGGTTTAACCATCTAGACATCTCACAAAGGTTGTGGCATCACCAAAGTGCCACTGCTGTGCTGTTCACAGGGTGACAGCCCCCGCAAAACGCTCCATGGGACCATAGAGCCATGCTGTAAGAATCATGGATGAAATAAGCCATTTCTGTTGGGGACTAGTGCGCACAATTCCAGACATTACTATTGGACTCTGCAGGGGCGTACCTCTTTTCTGACCACTCTGAACAGAATCAATGGGTTCCATTAATCTGTTAAACTCATTTAATCCTCACAACAACAGCTCTGTGAGGTAGGTCAGGCTGAGAGTCTATGACTGTGAGCACCATCCAGTGAGCTTCCTTGAATGAAGGGCATGACTGTGGGGTGGAATAAAAATAAAATAAATTATTATAAATTATGGCTGTGGTGTACAAACTCAGATGAAAGTCATGCGTTTCTGTCAAAGATGGGAATACGTTATATCTATGAGTGGTGATCCTGATTTGGTGAACAAAGTTCCTGCTTTGTGCATATAGGCCAGGGGTGATTCAAAATTGTTGGTCCACAAAGCCCATGTTCCTTCACCATTGGCTCTCCTGGCTAAGGAGCTTTAGGTCAAAACAATTGGAGTCTTGATTTACCATTCATAGCAATAGGTCATTTCTTGCCGCAACTGAATGCATGGAGAGCTGGTTCCAGCCAATGCTATCCTGTTTCCTACACAATCATTCAATGTGTGGAGCCAAAGAGAAGCACCAGGGCTACTAGAGGAACGTCTATCAGCAGCCCTTGAGTTTAAATAAATATTGCCCACTGTAGCTAATTTGTAACTATGAAGTCAAATGTTCACAAGTGGTCTTGGGTGCTTATACGAGCTAGCAGTAGGTGGGTGTTTTGATGTCCCACTTGTAAGTTTCCCAGAGCCTTTTAGGCTAGCCACTGTGGTAGATGGAATGCCGGACGAGGTGAACATTAGTTCCAACCTGGTTCTTGCATTCTCTCTCTAGAAAAAAAGAATGGAATGTGGATTGTCCTGAGAGTGGAGTTAGTTGATTCTATCACTGTTGGTTCTGATCCTCTCACAAAAGGGCTTTAGGTCAGGGAAAGTAAGATCCGCAAGAGGGTCTCGGGGAGCCTCTAGCTATGTCTATACAGCCATGGAGAAGACGTTTGCCTACTGCAAGATTACTCCTGCGTCCTTGGCTTAGTGAGTGCTGGGGGGATGAAAAGAATTTCCTATCCCTACTTTATTTCAGCTTTCTCTAGCCTGGTGGCCTCCAGATGTGCTAACTATAACTCTCAGCATCGTCCAGCCTGCCTTGGTAGCTGGAGAATCCTAATAGTTGTGGTCCAACACATCTTAAAGCCAACAGCTTTGGAAAGGCAACCTTATTTAAGGAAGAGATTTTAAAAAAAAAACATGCCTGACCTCTTCTTGCATGTCATATCTACTATCATTTTTCCTTCCTGGCTTTTGTCATTTGTGTAACACAGGCCCTTTGTTCCTCAAAGGATCTCCTCTCCCTTGGTCTGGCTTCCAGGGTGCTATTTTCTGACAGCACAGCGTAGCTTTTATCTATGTCTCCCTCTTCTCAAGGGAGCTTAGGATGGAGCATATGATTTCACTGCCCTTGTTTTGATCTTTGCAAGCCATTTGTGCAGTCATCCTGAGTGATAGCATCTTTCTAAGGATCATTCATTACTGAGTGGGGATTTGAACCTAAGTCTCACAAGTTGAGGTACTATCTAGCTGCTAAACTGCACTGGCCCCCTACCAGCTATCTTAGTATATTTAACCTACTTGATTGTCTATCCTTTAGGAAATCTGGATCTTTCCGGATGTGTTGGGCTTCAATTTCCATCAGCCAAGAGAGCAACAGGTTGGGGAAGGATATTTCAGGACGTTATTTCTATGAGAAATATTCTTCAATTATGGAATTCTGGGGGTGAATTGCTATTCTTTTCTTCCCATTATTTCATTCAGCCCATATTCTCCACTGAATATGACAGCAAGTGGAGGGAGGGGAAAAGACAGGTCATTATATGAACTGTCAACTTTTACATGTATGTGTTTGTTTGCAGTTTCATCCCTTGCTTCCCTTTTGCTTTTGATTTACAAAACTATCAAAGTTGTTTTGTAGTACTGACCAAGAGCTGGAACCCAGTAAATCATTGATTCAAATTTCAGTTTGGACCTAACTTAGTAATCAGCCTTAAGAAAGCCAGAAAGCCACAGTTCTCTCAACCTGTGTGACATATGTGAATAATAATCTTATTATTGAGCTACTGAAAAATTATATCAGATGGGAAACCTGTGGCCATCAAGCCAATTTAAACAATGGTCAAGGATTTGAGGAATTATAGTCCAAGAACACAGGGAATGACAAGTTCCCCATCTCAATGCTACATAAATACAATAGGTAAAGCATTTGATATATTTGAATATACTATAAAAGCACTAAGAACAATTATGGCTGGTTTTGTCACCAGGACACTGGGAGAGGCAATCTTGTATCCTCCTCCCATTGACCCCCACCACTGTGGCCAGTGGTGAGGGATTATGGGAGTTACACTTCAAAATATTTGGAGGGCTCAGGTTGCCTACCTGTTCAACCCATGTAGCACCTAGTCATGTCTTCAGTGACCATCACTAGTTAGCGAGATGCCTCTGAGCAAATCCTAAGCAGGGCATGGAGGAGATGGCCATCTCACTGTTTGTCACCAACATCTGGTATGCAGAAAGATACTGTCTCTGTAGATGGATTTCTTTTTTAAATATTGTGCACACCAGTAGCATTCTCAATTATCCAAGCATCTTAATGTAGTCAGAACTGCACGATCCATACACAAGATGAGAGCTGTCAGTAGACAGCTTTGGGGAACTCCAGTTTTGCGGAAGTACAAATATTTTTGGAGGGGACTAATGGGGAAGAACCCAAAACAGCTCAATGAACACTAAGCATGCTCTGTGTTGGGATGGGAGGGAAGAATTAAGAAAGATCAGGTGGAGGGAATAGCATGAGGTATTTTGCCTCCCTGCATGGGATAGCCTGATGAGGCAGTTACATTTTATTATTTTAAAAGTGGTTTGGAGGGGGAAAAACATAAGGACAACACCGAAAATGTCAGACGGCAATGAATTAATTAAAATGTAATCTGGATTTGTGTCCCTGAAAAGACTCTCGGGAGCAGAGGCTTAGAACTTCAGGCTTGAGGGTCAAATCCAGCACCCTTCACATTTCCACAGGTGGCCCCATTCCTTTTCCCTAACCACTGACAATTTGGTGCTTTTGTGGAATTTTTCCTCATTCCAAAAGATTGAAATGTCTGTCTTAAGGCTTAGTTGTTGGCAATAACAGCTTTAAGCTAAAAGATGTGGGTATTTAGGGCCACCATCCCGTTCCTCTGCCCAGCATTGGAATGAGGCCCCCAGGAGCTCCTTGGAAATGGAATCTCAACCCACAGGCTGAAGGAGATTCAACACCACTGCTCCAGAGGGCCAGGACCCTTTCAGGAATAATCCAGGATGGGGCATTAGGGTTGCTGGGGCAGGGGGGGTTGCTCAAAATCAGACTGGGAACTGCCCAGTTTTGGCTGATTCCTCCTTTCCCAGCAACCTGTGTCCTATCGCACTGTTTAGGAGGAAACTCGACCTGCTAGAGAGGCTACTTGGCAGGTGCATGGCACTACAGCATGAAAAGGGTGGTTGGGAAAGGAAATCATTTCTTTCATTTTCCGCATCAAAAAGCCCATACTATTTATTTTTATTTTATAGGTTATAAACAAAGTTTGAGTAACCGCAAATCGGGAATTAAGGTATGCATTTTCCCCTGGATCTCCACTCCCCACTTTCCTTTCCTTTTGCTACTCCCTTTTCCTCTCTCCACTCCCTTTTCCTACAGAACAGGTAGGCCACCCCCACCGTCCCCAAATGGTACCTTCCAGAAGTGTTGGACTCAGAGCTGGCACTTCCATGAGGCAGGGTGCAGAGTCCTCGCCTCAGACAGCAGAGGAGTGTCAACTGCTGGAGTAAGCACCCTGTGTGGAGAACCAGCCAGGCCAAAATGGCTGTCCTGAGGAGGCGGGGTCCCCCTTCAACATCAGGCCTTGCCTGTACTGCAGGCAGCCTTCTGGGACAGCTCTCCTCTGCAGCAGCCACTGGGTCCTCTGTTAAGCCAGGGCTAACAAAGCCTGGCTGGCTGCTGTAGAGGAAATGTGCTGGAGGACAAGGAGGCCACGTGCAATGTAGCATTAAGAATGGAAGGGCGAGGCTGCAGAAACGAAGCAAGCAGAACATTAGGCAGGGTGGAGAGATCAGAAAAGGAACAAAGGCTTTTAGTGAAATGGGCTAAAGGGCTGAGCAAATGGAGGAGTTAAAAGATTAATCGGATGGAAGTGCCTGGAACTGGTGAGAGATCAGAGATAAGATTGGCTTGGGGTGGACCCATTTGGTGCAGGGACACGATGACTGAGGTGATAGGACGTGTTAAGCTCCCCTCCCCGAGGGAAGGCTTAGCCTGTTGCCTGAACTTCCTGAGACTCCTGGGCAGGGCTTTATAACCCACTCCAAGGTTCCTAGGTGTAGTCTTCCTGCTGCAGCTAAGCCTGTTGTCAGAGCCTGGGCAACATGGCCATGAGTCCTCAAATTATGGCCTGCCATGCTGATTTATCCTGCCCACCTCAGAGCTTTTGGACTCTCTCGGAGATCGTTTTCTCCAAGCAAGTCCAAAAGCTATGCGTGATCACGGGCGCGCTCAGGGGGAAGATGGGTGCGATCGCAGGTGTGCTTGTGCAGGGAAAGTGGGTGCGATCGTGGCCATCCCCCCCCCCCCGAGAGCACCCATGATCGCACCATTCTCCCCCCACCCCGGTCCGGTCCCCCAACAGTCTGAGGGACGGTGAACTGCCCCCCGTTTAATAAGTTTGAGGACCCCTGCACTAAGCCATGGGCAGTTTAGAGGGCCGCTTTGCCAGCGCGGCCCAACCAGAGTGGCTGCTCTCACCGACGGCTGTGCCACAGTCCTGAGGCGTCTCTTGGGCACTGCTGTCTGAGGCTCCCTGCCCTTCTGCTGGTCGAAAGGGTTGCAGCCATGACCATGCAGGAGGTGGGGGCATGCCCTGGTCCCCCACCGCCTTCAGAGGTGGCAGCCGAGTGTTGGGCACCTTGTCTACCACCCCGGCTGGCCGCTCTTGAGGAAGGCAAGCAGAGCAGCTAGGCCTCCCATGGCCTGTTTCTCCCCTTCCCTGCTGGGGAGAGGAGGCCACGTGGCAGGGGTCTCCTCTTTCATTGCCAGGTGGAGGTGCAGCTCAGCTGATTCGCACCTCTGCCAGGTGAAGAGGGCACCCCGTCATTCTTGGCTGCCACCGCCACCACAAAAGCTGCTCCTGCCTTCCCGCTGTTGGGCAGAGCTGCTGCTTGACCCCTCTCCACCACCTCCGCAGCAGGAAGCATTGCAGCAGTAGCAGGAGTGGGGGAATGTGCCTCCCTGCAGGGATTCCTGGGGAGGAAGCCCCGCAGAGCAGCTCCTGCCCTGCTGGATGCCCCACCCTTCTCTGGGTGAGGGCAAGGGGAGTGAGTGCCTTGCCAGCCAGGTGGGGCAGGTGCACCTGTCCCTGCTCCACATCTGGTTTGCTCCATAGGAGGCAGTGGGGAGAGGAGGCGCTTTCCTCCCCATTGCTCAGCAGCGGTACTGATCAGTTGAGCAGCGGTGGCACCGAGGCCACGGTGGAGGGGATGACTGCTATGGTATTTGGCTTCCTTGAGTGGATTCCAAGGACCACCTGGCTCTTCTCTCCCCTTCTCTCCACTCAGTGCTCCCACAGTATCCCTGGGGTATTCACAGGAGGACTGAGCAGTGGGGTGGGAAATTAACATTCCCAAAGGGCTTAGGGTATTGTGTGAACACACCCAATGGATCAGCTTTCCTCTCCTCCGATGATCTCAGGTGTTTCCCCAGAAGCAGTGTTTTCTCTTCAAGGTGCTTTGTGGGTGTGACATTACCCGTATCTGTCTATAGCATCTAGTTTAGCCCCCAGGTTATGGAAGAAATGTGGAAAGACAAGTTGCCAGGATCAAGCAACACTGTGCAGATCCAGCAGGACTATTGAGGAAACATTATAAAACAATGTTTTTTTTTTTTGATTAACACAAAGAAGCAAAGGAAGTTTGTCCTATGTGGCTGGATTTATTTAATTTTTTGGATCAAATAGGGTTAAACTGCATTTTCAGCCCACACTGAAACAAGCATTGTTAGCAAAGTAGACAATAGTTTGTTCCCTCAGAAGCTGTGCAATTCTTGTTGCTACATGCCATCAAGTTCTCTCTGACTTACGGGGACCCTATGAATGAATGAGGTCCCATGAGTGTCCTCCAAAAGGTCTTGCCCTTGAGAGCCTTGACCAGCACTTGTAAGCTCAAGGCTTTGGCTTCTCCTACAGATTCATTTCATAGAGGGTCCTCATCCTCCTCTTCTTCCTTCCACTTGCTCTAGCATGAGTGTCTTCTCCTCTCAGTCTTGCTTTCTCACGATGTGCCCAAAGTACAATCAATTTAGTTTTGTCATTTTTGCTTCTGGCTTGATTTGATCTAGGATCCACTTGTTCATCTTTCTGTCAGTCCAATGTATTTGCAAAGCTGCCCTCCAGCACCATGTTTCATATGCATCAATTTTCTTCTTCCTTTGAGTTTTCTTCTCTGTCTGGGTTTTGCACTAACTCGCAGTGATCAGAAGAAGAACAGTGTGGATAATCTTGGCCTTGGTCTTCAGTGAAATGTCCTTTCCCTTGATGATCAGCTATATTTCCTTCATTGTTGCCCTTTCAGGTCTCAGTCTTCTTTGAATATTTTGGCTGAAGTCTCCCTTTCAATTGATGACTCAGCCAAGCTATGTGAAATCTTTCACAATTTCAGGCTCTTCTTTGTTGATCTGAAAGTTCTGTAATTCTTCTGTAGTCAGGATCTATGTTTTCTTAATGCTCAGCTGCACTTTCTTCTTTCACTTTCATCAGAAGTCATTTCAAGTCATTGCTGCCTTCAGACAGTAATATGGTATCATCTGCATACCTTAAATTATTGATGCATCTTCCACCAATTTTAATTCCTTCTTCCTCTAATTCTAATCCACCTTTCCTTATGATATATTTTGTGTACAGATGGAACAGATGAAGAGATAAAATGCACCTTTGTCTGAAGCCTTTGCCTATAGGAAACCATTCCGTTTCTCCATATTTTGTAAAAAAAGTAACTTCTTGTCTGTGATACATGTTACACATCAGGATAATCAAGTGCTGAGTCACACCAATTTCTTTCAGGACCACTCATAGTTTCTTGTGATCCCCACAATCAAAGGTTTTGCTGTAGTCAATAAAGTACAGACTGATCTTCTTCTGAAGATATTTGCTGTGCTCCAGTAGCCAACAATTATTTGCAATATGATCTCACACGATTCTTCCTTTTCAGAAGCCAGCTTGAATGTCAGGCATTTGTCACTGAACATGTGTAATTTTCTTTGCTGAAACACTTTGAGCATCACTTTGCTTGCATGTAATATTAGCGCACTGGTGCTATAGTTGCTGCACTCTTGCTTCTCCTTTCTTGGGAAATGGAATGTATATTGAACATTTCCAGTCTGTGGGCCATGGTTTTTTTTTCCATATCGATTGACATTGTCTTGTTAGAATCTGGACCAATTCAGTTTCTGCAGCTTGGGATAGTTCTGTTGGTATTCAATCTACTCTAGGAGGGGTGCTTTATTTCTTCCAAGTGCTTTCAGAGCAGCTTTCACATCAGTTTCTTGCATCGCAGGTTCTTCTCAGGATTTCACCTCAGATAAGTCTGTCATCCTTTCATCTCTCTTGTATAGTTTTTCTGAATATTGTTTCCACCATCTCTTTATTTTATCCTGATCGGATAGTATGTTTCCCTGTTAGCCTTTCAGCATTTCTAATCTAATTCCCCTTTGATTTTTTGAATCTTCTGGATGATTTTGCTGTTTTCCTCTAGTTCTTTGCACTGGCCATTGTAATAATTCTTTTTGTCTCTGACTTAGATTTCCTACCCAGACTAGCCCAAGACATTTTGCTGCCCGAGGAACACAGAAACGCACTTGCCTACTCCAACTCCATAGGGCCCAAGCCTGGAAGAATTGTTTTGGCACCCTGAACAGAAAATCCCACACCCACTTCTCCAGTTTCTGGCTGTAGAAATACAGTAACAACAATTCATGGATTTCAGCAGGATGTCCAGGTGTCACCTTCTTCCATTTGAGACCGTTCTGAATTTTCCCATTTTTTGTCCTTTTGGCTTCCCTACACACCCACACACCCACACACCATGTGTTAAGGTGGAGAACAGGCAGAATAGCTCCATTCAGCCTTCTGAGGGGTAGCAGTTGGCGTATTCCACCTGGAAGCACCCCAAGAGAAGCACTGCCTGGTTGAGGGGGGCCCTGCTCTCCCATGCTCTTAACCCCTGCACCACACTGGCACATGCGTCTGCAGCTAGGTCTAAGTCTCCCTTGTAATGCTTGGTAAAAGAAATGCGTGATGTGGCATGATGGCATTCTTTGGTGGGTTGGGTTAGGACTTTTCTGGGGATGGTGGGCTGCATTACACTGGAAAGACTGCTCTTGTAGTCTAGGCGTCCTGTTGGGCAGAGTGTTTCTTCTGCATTTCTCGCGTGGGAGCTGTGGACCTAAGTCCCCTTTAGCATTTTTGGTCACTAAGACAGCAGTGCCAGCTATCACCAGTTGGAGGCCTGGCCCGTGTCATTCATGCTCTGATATATTCCAGAACATCCGAGCACTCTAATGTGCTCTGCCTGGAGCTGCTTTTGAAAACTGTTTGCAAACTGCAGGTATTGCTGGATGTGGCAGGTGTGAATAATTTCCCATATTTTACCCAATGCAAAAAGGCTTCACTGGTCACCTATTTGTTTTTGAGGCTCATTCATCATGTGGTTCTTGACTTTTAAAGCCCTGAACTGCTTGGATCTCAATTATATCAGGAAACATTTTCCTGTATGAGCCATCCCACCACTACCAGTATTTGAGAGCTTCTGTAAGGGCCGTTGATATAATTGTGACTGCCACATTCCTGAGGAAATAGCCTGCACCTCATCCTCACGACAGTGCTCTCTGCTATATACTGAAGACTCAGTGGCCCAGGTTCATAGCACTGGTTGGAGTGTGTGTGGAAAAAAAAAATGTGTGGGCGGAGCCAGTTTTGTTGGTCTTTTCATTCTAATCGTGTTCTCTCCCTTCTCCTCAAAACAAAAATTAGACCATTGTTTTCTGTATTTTTCCTTGCCCCTGCACCCAGAATTTCCACAGGCTCATTGTGGATGTTATCTTGATGATCAAAGTATGCAAGTGTTTCCGACATGGACTGAAGGGATTCTCTGGATTTCAGCTGATACGGAAAGACTGTCGTGAGGAGTTTGAGGTAGCAAAAACTAACTAAAAGTAGCTTTTGGTGTATTATCATAATTAATACTTTTTATGTTTAACAAAACAATTAAGTTGCCTGAGATTTTAGAGGACAAACTGCAAGTATCTTGCAAGTACACTTGTGCAAGTATTTCCATCTTGGCACGTGATGGAAAATGTGTAGCCCTCCAGCTGTTTTGACCTATAACTCTGGTAAGCCGCAACCAGCATGGCCAATGGTCAGGGATCATGGGAGTTGTAGGCCAAACATCTGAAAGAGCACAAATGGCCCATAGAAAGCTGCCTTTTACTGAGTCAGACCCTTGGTCCAAATAGCCTGGTATGAATGACACTGACTGGCAGCAATGGCTTTTCGGGTTTAATGCAGGATTTTTCATCTGCTTGCAGAGCACATACTCTACCTCACATGGTGGCTCTTCCTCTTTCTCGCTCAGCTCTGCCCTCACTCCACCTGGCCCCACTGCTAGTATCCACCCATATCTTTCAGGGGATGTCTGCCTTCGAGTTTGCTAGTGCCCCGTGCTCCCCCAGTGTGCGTCCACAGCTCTTCTCAGAAACACACACAACTTGAGACCACCGTGGCAAGCATGCAGTGGGCAGCTGTGATAGAAAAGGAATCCAAACGGCAAAAGTTTGAAGGCTGTTCCCATGTAGGAATACAACTGTGGCACATCAGCCCTGGGGTAGCCTAGCTATCATCTAGGGTATGGTTGAGGGCAGGCTAAAACTGTGGCCGACTATTCTACATGCATTAGCAAAAAGATCCACTTAATTATTGTCCACATATTTCATATGTTGCAGGCTAAGTGGGATTTCTGTTCTGTTTGCTGATTGGTTGTTGTTCCCCAGTCACATATTAATTAAACATACAGTAAAATGATGCTATCTTTCTCATCCCCGGGAGCCATTTTTAGTCAATGAATATATCTATTTCAATATGGTCTCAGATATCCAATGTAATATTTATTTTGGTGCCAAGTCTCCTCATTGCACCTCAACACATAGATGTACATGCGTATTTCCTGTCCATTCATAGTTCTTGGCTACAAATCTTTAAAGGATCATTATACCTTTTATATGCAAAATCAAAGTCTTTCAAAGAAACATGATTAAAAGGGGTTGTACCCAGTATTAGTCCTACCCAGAGTAGACCTACTGAACTAAATGGAAAAAGATTAAAATTGGATGAAACCCAAAGTATGCCCATAGAGTTTTTTTTTTAAAGTATTCTTTTTGCAAAATTCCTAATGAAATTATTTTCCATTTAATGCTTAATTTTTAGGACAAGACAACTGCCAATACTGTGTTTGACCGGCATGAGTTCAGTGTTTCGAAGGTCTGGACAAATTTCATTTTTTTCTTGCACTCAGACAGAAAAATACCCAGAGACAGAGTGAGGTGTGGGATGAGTTTGTTTGTTTGTTTGTTTATAACATTTATATGCCATCCTTCACTATCGCATCTCAGGACAGCTTACAAGATTAAAACCAATAGTCATAAAAACAATCAATAAACCAGTACAATAAAATTACTATAAACCAATACAGATAAATCAAATCAAAAGTGACTGTGAACCACTAAAAATGCTAATGTTTAAAACAACAATTAAATAGAAAGGTTTTGGCCTGGCACTGAAAAGAGTATCAACTTGGCACCAGGCGTACCTCTTTGAGGTGTACATTCCAGAGTCTGGGCACCACAGCAGAGAAGGCCCTACTCCGAGTTGATGACCTTTTTACCTCTCTTAGAGAGGGTTCCCAGGGCAGGGCTTCTCCCGCAGATCTTAAGGGGCGTGAGGGCGTATAAGGAAGGAGGCGTTGCTTCAGGTATCCTGGTCCCAAGCCGTTCAGGGCTTTATAGGTCAAAAACAGCACCTTGAATTGGGCCCGGACTTCAACTGGAAGCCAGTGGAGCTGGCAGAGGACTGGCGTTATGTGAGAGTAACAGCTGGTCCCTGTCAGCAGCCTGGCAGCTCTATTCTGTACCAGGTCAGTATCCGGACTGTTTTCAAGGGCTGTTGTTCAAGGGTAGCCCCCACGTAGAGTTGTAGTTTAGTGTTTGCCACAACAGAACCAGGCAAACATTTTGGGCCATGGGCACCTTTGACAATTTGTGGAATTGCCCTGGCTACCATAGGAGACATGGCAAAGAACAAACAAGCTGCCCAAATGACAGAGTACAAGGCCTGGGTGAAATTGGGGACCCCAGTGCACTAAGCTATTTCTTTGAGCCCCCCTGTTTTCAGCACCAACAGAATTGCACAATAATTCCAGCTGCAGGTAAAAATATGTGTGTTTGCTTTGTTTTAAAGTGGGAGGGGTAGGGCACTGTAAGAGGCAGCAAGAAAGGTGTCCAGAAGTATGCAGAGGCTCACGGGCTCCATGCTGCCTGTTCCTGGCCTACAGGTGATGGGAGAAAGCAAACGTCCCTAAGACCCGTCTCAGCACCCCACTGAATGTATAGCCAAATGACAAAAGAACTTTAGGGTAGAATCCCAAGTGCATTTAATCATAAAGTCCTAAAGCTCCCAGCATTCCTCACTCAGCCACGCTGGCTGAGGAATATTGGGTGTTGTAGTTTGTCAAGACTACAATGGAATGTAATGGTTGCTCGTTAGATGGAGGGCTCTGATTTTGGGAAACCTCTGTCTGTTCTAAGCTCTGCTGGCAAGAGCCAGGCAGGGTTGGAGAAAGCCCAGTGGCATTTTTGTTTCTGGTTCTTTCTTTCTGCTATTTTGAGCTAGACAGGGTCCTGGGAGAGGGGACCAGAATAGAGAGGCTTGTGAATCCACTGGATCTGCAGCGCCTCCCCTCCTACCCACTGTGATCACCTTAAATTCATGGGGGAGCATGGTCATTTTGTGAGGGAAGGGGTGGCATGAACTGGGACACTGAATTGTTGGGAACCACCCAAACATTTTTGACTACTGGGCAGTACAGAAACAAGCTAAAACATAACAATTCCACATAGACGCTGTACACAAAATGGCCATAATTTCCATTATTGTGTGTATTATACTTTTGCCATGGCAGAAAATGCAGCCATGGAATTGTGGCTCCAACTGTGGGATGATCATACAGAGGCATGTGAAGAATTTTAGCTCACCCTGAAATAAAAGGGAGGAAATTTGGATCTGCCTCTTTTCCAAATCAAGAGAGAAATAGTCCTATTCACTCTGCTGGGAGCATGGAAAAATCATCTCTGACCTCCATCCATATTTCACGTTCCTGTTGGAATAGTTAGTGGCATGCAAATATAAAAATAATAAATAAAATACAATTGCTTAACTTAGAAGACACTTGAAATCTTCTCCAGGATCATTTTCCTTTTAGAGCAATCCAAATAACAAAGAAGCCACCAGCATGGAGGACTGACCTTGAAGTAAAACACTTACGAAACCGCTTGCAGCTCCTGGAAAGCTTCCGACAATATAGCCCAACCCTGCAAAACCTTCTGGCCAGAGTGGTCCGCTTTGAACGGTAATCTGGAGGGCAGGAAGGCAGCTCTGCAGCTGTCCAAAATGTTTCTGTAATGTTTCTTTAATATGCTATACCAGCCTGGTTGGCTGGGGCATGCTGGGAATGCAACACAGCTGGCGGGCACCCAGTTGGAGAAGGCTCACCATCTTAAATCCCTATTCACGTCTCTTAATTTACTGGAATTCCCCAAGAGATGGCCTTGGAGTGGGAGCCCCTGTGGCAGGTCCCGTGTGCCGTGCTGCTGTGACGACCAAGACAGCTCTCAGGAGGAAGGGGCTGCTGGCATTGCTCCAGCACCGCCTGTGTGTGGCCGGAGACAGTATGGCGACTCTTCAGCACAGCTGGACAAGGTGACCTCTGTCATGGAGCTCCGGATGGCCTGAAGGTCTGATCCTGCCTGATCTTGGACGCTAAGCAGGGTCAGGCCTGGTGGAAATCTGGGTGGGAAGCTTGAGCGCTGTACTTAGCAGGCGACTGGGCCTGATGGCCTGCGAGGCCCCTTCCAACTGCAAGGTTCTGTGATAACATAACCGTTGCTCCGGACCTGGTGCTTTAGTCTGCGCAATCTGTTCCTGGGAGAAGCTGCTGGGCAGATTATTATTTATTATTATTATTATTATTATTATTATTATTATTATTACATTTTTATACTGCCCATAGCCAAAGCTCTCTAGGCAGTTGACAGCAATAATCATAGAATCATACACTCAAGTCACCCATCCCACTTCTGCCCAGGCCTGACCCTGCTTAGCTTCCAAGATTAGGCAGGATCAGGCACTTCAGGCTACATGGAAGCTATTACTCTCCTTGCTGCTTGGTTGAAGTCCCTCCATGCCATCTGCCTCCGATCATTTGGCCCTTTGTTTACCCGTGCAAGACCTGGACCCCTCTGTTGGCTCCCAGGCCCACCTTTTTGCCTGTGCCTGTCCCATTGCATGTCTCACCACACAGCTGCAAGATCCCTGATCCGTCTGTGTGTGTTGACCCTGCGATTCCTTGCTGGCACAGGATGAGATGCCGAAGAACAAAGTGTGAAAACCACATAGGCTTCTTTGCAACTCATGTCAATAAACTGCATGATGCACTGCCTTTCTTTCAATAATAAAGGTTAAATGAAAATATAGTTAAAATGGTCATATTACTAATAGATTAAAATGCAAATAAAAACATGGCAGTAACAGAATGGAAACAGCATCCAAGGCAACAGGTCCACCTACAGTCAAAGGCCAGCTCAAACACAAAGGCAGAAGAACAGTGGCAAGGGAGCCAATTTCATCTCCTCTGGCAGGGCGTTTCCTCCTCTGGGAGCAGCCCTCAAGAAAGCCCTCTCTTGCCTTGTCAGCAAAGCCGTCCCTGAAAGCAGGAGACGCCTCCCCAGAGATCGTACAACCCAGGCAAACGCGCGTGGCAACAGGGAGTTTTCCAGCTCGCCAGTCCCATGCAGTATGGGGCTTAAGAGGGTCGATTAACCAGCACTTTGAATTGCGCCTGGAGACAGGCTGGTAGCCAGTAACATTGTTGTCTCAAGGCAGGCAGATCCAGATGGGAACTTTCCATAGTTGCTCTTTCAAAGGCTGGGGGAGGAAGGTGGAATGTGACAGGGTGGGCTCTTTCTGCTTTTTTAAGGTACCCAAGAAATGGGCTCTTCTAGTACAGGAGGATGAGCAGACCATGACCGAGGCACTACAGCAAGAGAGTTGGCTCAAATATATGAAAGGGGTGTTGACGAAGCAACTCGTTTAATGGGGTGCCCACTCTCAGGCAGTAGCGAGCTGCAGGGGTGCTCCACAGGGGAAGTCAGGCCATCTGCCAAACCAGGGGGTCTACGTGCTGCTCCATCAAACCAATCTTGAGCTGGCAAAGAGTCTTCCAGTCCGGGTCCATTTCTGCTAGTTTTTGATGTTATCCAATTTTCTTTTTTTCAGGTTTGGGCGCAGGAGGGTTATCATCAGGAAGGGGCAATGGGGGGACAGTTTTTATTTCATCAATTTTGGTACAGTCGGTATCACCGATGATGACGATGGCAGCAGTGCCTTTGTAGAAGCATCTCCAACTGTGCTTCGGAGCGGGGCTTCTTTTGGAGTAAGTATTACCAACAAGACGTGTGCCACCGTTCATAATTAAGTGCTTATTCTTACATCAACACTCAGTTCTGGAGTGCACTTCTCATTAGCAAAACATTAGTAATTACCATTACTTATGCTGCACACCCAAAAATTACTATCACTGCTGTTGGAAGTTAAATGTTAAGGATAGGGAACTTGTGCCCCCTACCCTAGAAATCATCCCATCATACCATTGACAAGACCAGCGGGGTTGCTGGGAAATGGAGTCCAACAACATCTGGCCACAGATTCTACACCACTCTCATAGATAAAATCTGTGTAGTTCTTTTGTCCAAGTCAGCCTGAAAATGTAAATTGGAGATCAGGGATGCCCTGCATCTGGTTTCTCAAATCCTCCCTGTCCTTATGATGGAGACCAGCAGCATATTTTGTGACACTAACAGGTTCCCCTGCAAGGAGTCAAGTGCAAAATAAAATTGGAAGCATCTCACGCAGGAGTGGACATGTGAGCCTAGGTGTGGTCTCCACTATCCTCTGCTACGCCCTAAATGTTTAAGAATGTTTTAAAAAATAAAATATTATACAGTATAAAATTAAATATAAAATATAAATTAAATTCCGTGGTGCTTACAGAGCTGTATAAAGAGTTCTTTTTAGCACAGAAACAAACTAAATGTAATCCTTGCATGGTGTGGAGTAGTTTGTTACCAAATTTCAAGGGCAAAACTTCATTTGTTTGTTTGTTTTCTTTAAAAAAAAATGGGGCGTGGGAGAGTGAACTATGGGCAACAGTCCCTGGTGGAAGGACGTCTGGGAAATGCAAAAATGGCTTCCGGATGTTCCGTAGCTGCCCATTCCTGTTCTAATTGTTTATACACAGCCATGAATTACTATGTATTAATTATATCAAGTGGCATACCAAATTCAAAATAGAGAAGTAACATTAAAGTATGCAACTTGCCTATTTCTTACAACAAAATTCTCCTTTCCAAACAAGTAAACTGTGGGTCAAGTTTTCTGCTGTTAAAATCTAGTAGCACTGCTTAGGAGATCAGTGAAAATTTCTTGGGTGCTGAAGTTGGCTTCTGAACTGCCAGTTGCTTATCCTTGCTGTAAATTAAAAGAAAATTATTCCAGGCATTGCAGATTCTTTCTTGGTCTGCTGATGCTACTGCTTTGATTTCACCATGTGGCCTGAATCTAGCAAACATTGCTCACTGGTAGATCTCTCATCTCAAGCAAGATGATTAAACTACTTCCATAACAAATAATACACTGGACCTATGTTTATTCTGGGCCTAGGAAGACTCTAGACCAAGGTAATCTGCACTGCTCACCATGAGAAGCTGAATTCTGCAACATGCAACAATTGGGAGAAATTATGTTGCGATGTAGTATTGTGCATAATCAATCTCTGCTCATCCTGGGAAAGGGCATTAAAACTGACTGTGGTCCTTTGCATGCAGAAGGTCCCAGGTTGATCCCTAACCCCAGCTGGAAGCCTGGAAGGCAAATGCACACACTTAAAAACCTCGGCAGTCTCCTTAATTGAGCTATGGGCCAATATTTAATCCCTTTTCCAGCAATATGAGCGCTCAAAAAGGCCTGGGAGAACCTGTGCCTTAGGGTGCAGTTTAGTTGCTAACCCACATTCAGAGAGATAAATGTTGAACATTACTTGCTCAGGTTATCAGATGTTGGGACGCTACATGGCTTTCAGAGTATTGGTGCCTACTCTTTAGAACTCCAACCCTACTTCCCAATCCTTGGGCCATTTGCCACCTCCAGGAAGAAAAAGGGGAAACAACACCACAAAAGTTTAGCATTTCACCCACCCTTTCCTCAGTCATGGAGCTCATCTGGAGATTTTGGGTCAGTTTCTGACTCCAACCCTACCCTATCTCACAGGGTTGTTGTGAGAATAAAATGAAGATAAGAACCCTCAGGCTCTTTGGAGAAAGGTGGGACATAAATATAACAAACAAATATAACAAACATACATACATAAAGGCAGAATATGAGACGGTTTTAAAGAAAGGAATGAGTAGGGGAGATATTTAACGCAAAGGAAGGAAAAGAGAATTCAGATTTCATTGCACGAGTAGCATAGTATAAACATTTACTTTAAGGCCATTACAACAGTAGCATTATCATTGCTACGCTATTACCTTTGGCTCTTCAAAGTAGTTGTGCAGTAAGTTCTAACTGTAACAGTATTATTTCAAAATAATAAAATGTTGTTATGTTTCATGGTTTTAGAAAATCAACAAATAGAGAAGAGGTTTTTAATCCCCACCTCCCACGCCTGGTTTTGATTCTTTTTCCCCACCCCAGCATTTGGGCCATTCATGGTGCTGTGCCCCATTGTTGGCTTTTAAGGGTCGCTGACCCTGTGATATCAACAGGTCCTGCCTTGTGACATCAATGGGCCACATCAGAGGGGCTGCTGCTGATCCGGCCCCCCGAGTTGTGCTGAGAGGGGGTCTGGAATTATCTAGCATGGCTTGCACACTCGTGATGCTGTAGGCCTCTGAAGACTGGCCAGGGGGATCCACTGGGGGAAGTGTGTGCAGGACGTCCAAATCCACCAATGCAGGAGTGGCTTGAGGGATGGACAACTTGTGGCTTTTGGGATGCTTTGGCCTCCATTGCCCCTTATCCTTGGCTGTGCTGGCTAGGAACTCTGGGAGCTGCAGGCTGAAATGTCTGGAAGGCCCCAAGTTGCCGACCTTGGGTTATAGAGCCAAACAATCTTATACAGCCAAATTATACTTGGCTGTATAATGCATGTCTGGAACTTCCAAAGGAACTTTTTCAAAAAGAAGCTGCAAAGAGGCTCTGATTTGGGTTGGGCCTGGGCTGTGGGGTGCTGGATTCCAATCATTTGCTGCTATCCCAGTTTTCTGGGTTGAATCACCCTCTGAAGTTACTATTAGCCATTGAGGGTTCTGTCATAATGGCACAATTTTCTTTGATTTTATTAGAAACATGTAAAAATAGAAAAGATATCCTTACAACTTATTGTTACTTGCATGCTCCTAAAGGAGCTATACACATTAAAGATTTCTTTGAGTGCCTGGATGTTTTCCATCTTCATAGTTAACAAAACTTTCAGAACAAGGATTTATATTAAGGTTATGGTGCAAGGTAAGAAGGTTGGGCACCCTCCCCTTTGCATGCCAGCCCCAATCTAAATCACTCCTCAGCTACTTTTTGAAGAAAATTGTGTTAAAAGTTTCAGTGGCAGAACTCCAATATCATGTATAGTTTGCACCTTAGCTTTTATGTAGCATTGCTCAGTTGGACAGGGAAAGGAAAAGCTTGTGGAGATGTCCTTGTGGGCCTTTAATAGAGGACCAATTTGCAAACGTGATGAGGTAAAGCTCATCATGGCAGAAAACAGAACATTTCTACCTCATTCTTGCAGATTAAACTACAAAAGATGGTTCAAAAGCTGGCAATTCTCCTGTCTCTTGAGCAACTCTGAGCAATGCTTAATCTGTTAAAAGGGAGGACATGTGCCTGCATCTGCTGAGAGCTGTGTGTTTTATTAATATTGCTCCAGATGTTCTCAAGCCCATGACCAGATTAAGCCCTGTTTCAATTCATTAATCTCTTCTTCTAAAATGTTTGCCTGGGGCTCACCACAGTATGCTGAAATATTTCACAGTAATTCCACAGGTACCAAGGCATTTTAGGGCACTGCCAGGGATAATGCCCCTGGCTGGCAGTGACTGACTGAACTTCCCCAAGGTCACTTGAGGGCGTGTATGAGAGCAGAAGAATGTGTGGCTGCTGTCAGCTGCCCATTCCTGGTGAACTGGTTATTGGCATGAGTTATTGGCATGACATATGTATGCATATGCATTAATTGTTTATTAATGCTATTAGGCTGAGTTACAAATCTTGTTATGGCATGTATTTTTCTGTAGTATATCTGTTCTATTTGTATATTTATAATAAACCTTGGAAAAGGAAAAAAATCTGAAAGATAATAGGGTAGATAGATCTGTGCAGGAATCAGGACTGATTTTATATAATCTCTCATATCTTTGTGCATGCTCTTTCATATCTTCTGCATGCTAACAGGAACTTGCCCTTTTACAAGGAAAAAGGAGAATTGCTACCGTTGTTTGTATGGAGGAAACAGAACTGCTAGTGGTGGATAAAAAGGATTTTTTTGCCTATAAATTAGACAAGGAGCTTCATCGAGAATTCAGACATCGATATGAATTTTTCAGGTAAGTTTTTCTCTCATAATCCTCTTCATCAGCTTCTTGCATTGCTTATCTGCCTGTTCCCAGAGGAGTAGCTACTTTAGTCTCTTGTGGAGTAAAGAGCAAGGAGTCTTAAGGCAACCAAAGGCAAACAGATTAATGCTTGCACCAGCTTTTCTAGATGCTCTCTACTTCATCAGCGGCATGAAGTGGTCACCTGCCAAATTTATACAGATAATGCGTGTGTGTGGAGGAAGGAACTCACTTGCAAGAAGTCCAGACAATGATGTTAACAAAGAATCTTCTAGCACCTAAAAGACTATCAAATTAATTTATTTTGGCATAAACTTTAATGGACACTGTAAGTGGCACAAAGTCTTTTTGCTCTGGAAATCCTTACAGGGAAGACAGCAGGCCTGTCTGCATGTTAACAGCAGCGTTTAGCAGCGAATCACAAGAGAGGAAGTTTAAACCTTCCCCTTCCCACTTGTTATGCGAATTTAGCTCCCCATGGAGGGGCTGAAGAAACGGGGGGGGGGGGGACACCCTCCATACCATTGGTATGGTCTCCATCAGGGCATGAACACTGACTTGCACAAAAGACAAAGGATCAGCGGCACACCTGGGTGGCCAGTTGTCCTCTATTATGCAGGACAGGCCTTTGTTTGCTGGCATGTAATATATTTGCATTTAAAGACCCTAAGAACCTGTAGTCCATTCATGGTTCACACCTGGACAGCAGCCTGATAGAGCAGGAGCACTGATGCGTTGTACGTCTATAGAAATTATGAACATCTTGTCCAATTTTGCCTCTATACATACCAATGAACTTATGAGAAGTTTATGCAATTCAGTATCCTGCTTGTGGGCATGTCTTCTGTTGTGATGCTTTATAGTGTTACAGGGGTATTTATTGTGGAGTGTGACCGGAAGTATTCTGGGGCAATGAAGAGGTCCACAGCTGTGATTTCTGCCTCATGGGCTTGGTGCTCCAGGCTATGCTGGGCAAACAGAAGAGGAGGCAGGGAATGACCAGACTTGGTGACCAGCTCCAGGCCTGCCAAGGGTCGGTTCAGCCACCCACTTGCCCTGCCCACAACTCCCTTTCACTTTGGATTTGACTATCCTCTGAAATAGGATTTTAGTGAAATGGAAGAGCACCTTGACAGGCAAGCCTTCCATTGCATTTCAGCTAACAGATAAAAAGGCCCTGTGCACCCCTTCTGTTTTCAGAGCACTGGACCTTTTCAAAACCTTGTCGGATGGTTCCATAGAGGCACTAGCCAATATCTGCAAAGTGGAGAGGTTCCACTACGGGCAGGTGATTGCCAGCGACCTTGCAGAATCTGCCACTGCTATATTTGTTACAAAGGTGAGATCAGGTTGCAGGTAAACATTCATAATAAGAATTCACAGTTCACATGGGGGAGCCACTATCAGAGTGTTGGTTTGAGACCTGTGTGATCTGGGTTCTGGTCTCCACAAAGCACACTTGGAGACTGAGGAGCAGGCTCTCAGCCTAACCTACCTCACAGGGTTGTTGTGAGGGGAAAATGAGGAGGGGGCTTGTGTAAATGGAGGGGCTGCTTTGAGTTCCATTCAACAGAAAAAAGAGGGGGATATAAATGGGATCACTTATTTTAAAAATAATTTAATAACATGCTTTGCTTCTTCCTGTAGATGGAGTTTTCACTGAAGGCCTTTTCAGGCCCTTTTCATTGGGCAATTAGAGTACTGGAAACTTACGGAGCCTTTGAAAAAAAATATTAAAAAAAAAATCTTTCACACTGAGCAGTTGCCAGAACACACGGTGCCCTAAAAGCAACATCTGCCCAAACCTCCAAAATCTACCTGTTCCCTAAGCCCCAGTACAAACATGATCTAGGTAGCAACACCCCTGGTTGCCTCCATGATGGCCAGTCTTGGAATTTACCGTTTTCTGTTTGATGGCATCTTCTTTTTAAAGAGTTGTCTAATTCAAGTCCAATTTAAAACTCAAAAAGTTTTCTTCACAATAGTGAGATGTATTGCATTTGTAGGTACATTGTGATTCTTAATTCTAAATTTGCATGCACAGCTATATATTGTAATGTGCTATTTTATGCAAATCTGCATCCTGTTTTCTCCACTTTTCTGCCGATACATAAGTGTCCACTCTATTGTGAATTAGGCTAAGGTGGCACTCAGCACTGTTGGATACTCATGCCCTGCCCATCACTTACTGCAGATGTTGCAAGTGGAAAATGACACTATGGGCCAAGCAACATCTGACTTTGAGAATGTGGCTAGTTAATATTTCTGTCCTGTTGCTGTTGTCACATGTTGTCAGGTCCTCTCTCACTTATGGTGACTCTATGCGTGAATTCCCCCCAGAATGCCCTGTTGTTGACAGCCCTGCAGGCTGTGGTCCCTTTATGGAATTCATCAATTTCGTAGTTAGTCATCTTCTGCCTTCGATTTTCCCTACCATGTCTGTCTTCCCCAGTGAGTCTTGCCTTCTCATTTTGTGACTGAACTGCTTTCGTCAATTTAGCTATCACGGAAAGTTCTGGCTTGATATGATCTAGGATTCACTCAGTCATCTTTCTCAGTCCAGCCTATTTACAAAGCTCCCCTCCAGCACCATGTTTTGAATGCATCAACTTTCTTCCTGTGAGTTTTCTTCTCTGTCCAGCTTTCAGACCAGCTCACAGTGATCAGAAATGTGTATGATCTTGGCCTTGGCCTCCAGTGAAAAGCCCTTACACTTGATGAGGTTCTATATTTCCTCCATTACTGCCCTTCCAAGTCTCAGTCTTCTTCGAATTTCTTGGCTGCACTCTCTTTCAGTTGATTACTGAGCCAGGGTATGTGAAATCTTTCACAATTTCAATTTCTTCATGGTTAACAGCGAAGTTCTGCGATTCTTCTGTGGTTATGATTTTTGTTTTCCTAATATTCAGCTGCTGTCCTGCTTTTGCACTGCCTTCTTTCACTTTCATCAGGAGCCATTTCAATTCATTGTTGCTTCCTGCCAGTTCAGATGTGGGACACACCTGTGATTTTCTTTGCTAAAAAACAATATATATTTTTAATGAATCGCTTTTTCGTTATGACAATTGCAGGTCTGAAGGGGCAGCCTGGATCATGAACACAGAGCAAAGGCTTAATGCCCCCAACACCCATGCGGGGGTCTGGGCAGGGGCTGCATTTACATAGAATAAGGTGGAAAGGCATAGCCACTAGCTACATTTTCAGAGTAATGTATCACATATACACAGTACTGTAGCATACTGAATTAACTTCATTCCTCCTTATTTGGTAGCAGATTGCTTGGCATCTATACTTTCCCAACTTTATTTAGAAGCCAGAACAGAATGGGAAGCAAGAAACATGCAGGGAAACAAAGGAAGGGTTGTATTCATTTTGGGAACAGATTAATTTAATTTTGTATAAGCCAGGAGTTAAGAATAAGTGAAACTTTTGTCTTCTTATCAGAGTCACAGGGACAGTAAATCTGAAGGCCACTCGCATTTCACAGAAGCTCTCAGAGTCCATATTTAAGCGGTGGGCAGGGCTGAAGGCAAAATGCAGTGCAGGGGGACAGCAAATTTGTTCATTTATTTATTTAGAATTTTTGTATGCCATCCCATCGCTTATAGCCTCAGGACGGTTCACATAAATAAATAAACATAATGCAAATACAATTAAAACCCAGAAACACCCTGGCTGCACAATTAGCTTAAAGTTCTTATTGCCATTACTAAGCCTTAGGAGAGGTATTTCACCCGATTAGAATGGAGAAAAAACTGCACAACATCCAAGAAAGCACCAAACAGTTCATGATCTGAGGATAGGAAAAAGAATTAGGGCCATTTGGGGAACAGCAGAAGCCTACGTTGGGCCATGAGAAGGGCCAGGTTTGGTTCCTGGGCCTGAGGTTCTGTATCCTAGTCCCAAACATTCACTTTTATTTGTTTTGTAAAGCAAGTCTCTCTAATGATATTGTCCTGTGAGCTACACACTTGCTTGGAAGCCAAAACTTGAAGGCTTCCAAGATCCCTTTCTGTACTCAGCTGGAGCCAGCAGGTTGGAAGGAACTGCAGCAGCAATCTTTGCCTCCCTGAGTTTTCACTATATGGGCTTCCTATTCTGTCTGCCTAAGGTATGTGGAGGCTGGAAGAGGCTCGGGATAAATCATGTCCTAGGCTCTCTGGTTTCCTCTCCTCCGTTTCCACGAAACCTCTCTTTACACTCTCTCCGAGGTTCATTTCTGACCTTGGAGAGACAGCCATTGCAGTTCTGTGCACACTGGCTGCCCCTCCCAAGGTCACGGCACAGTCCCCACCCTTGGCAGGGGGAATTAAGCCCTCCTCTTGCCCTGGGATGCTTGCCCAGGTATCACAGGATTGCTTTCTAAGCCTTTTATTGACAGATGTAAGAGGAAGTATGCAAGCGCTATGTTTACCAAGTGTCCACTCACTGTTTTGGCCAGTGAGTGCTAAGGGGCTGGTATTACTGACAAGCCCACAGGCAATTGTTTTAAAATGCTATTTAACCATCTGACAAATCATTGCTTAATTTTAAAAGCTGCCTGCTTTCAGAGACTTATTGTCTTATATTGATCCTTACCACTCCCATCTCTTGGGCCCCTCACCGCAAAATGTCTGGCCATGGGCCCACAGGATCCAGACAACTGCTTTTTGTTCTTGCTTTGTTTCAACAGGGCATTACAGAGGTGTTGCGACTGGTTGACCTCACCACTTGTCCCTCTTATCATATGTGGCTCTTGAAACAACGGTGCCTTCGCAAACGCAAACCACAGGAGGAAAAGCGCTCTTTGGCGGCTGGTATGTTGGAGTTTGACTTTTGCACCATTTAGCATCTAGCTAATTTTCAGTCCAAGTCTTTATAGGAAGTGGTTGCTGTGCTGGAGGAAGACAAGTGCCTAACAAAGGCAAAATGATGGTGCTTATTGTCACCTGTTTTGCTTTATGTAACCATTTCACACATAAATCACCCATTTCTTTCATCGTGGAATTCATTCAGTTTGTCAGGCACATCAAGAGAAAAAAGGGTGAGCCATGGTAACCATGCAGGGTGGCTTGTCATGATGTGTGAACCCAGACTTTCAGGGGTAAGAAAAATGATGGAAGATGCTATAAGAAAATATGGAAGCATTACAAACAGAAGGCCAGCTGACATCTGAAAGCCTTGTAAAGTTTTATGGATGGGACATAATCATGGGTAATTAAATTATTAACCTGCAGTTTGCTAGGATTCAATGCTGCCACTCTTTTCAATATACAACTTCCAGTCAGCCCATCAGAGGTATTCTGTAATGTGTGAACCCAGCTGCTATGGGTTATTTGTAGGTTAAACAACCCTAAGGTAATCTACATATACTTCTTAGATGAATTATAGGCATAACTGTCAGGATTCACATGTCACAGAATAATTCCAATTGAGTTCTGGAAGGCTGTGTTTTCAAAATGACAGCAATGCACACCAGACATATGTCATGGCAAATCATAGGTCAGTTCATGAAACCATGATTTGCTACCATTACATGCTAACAAAATTATTTTGTTGTTTTGATTTGCAGTATTGTTCCTTTCCTTTTTGGGAAAAACTTTTAAAAGCATTTTAAATTTTGAATGTTTAAACTTTACATAAGAATACAGAGTGAAGAACTGAAATTTATATCCCTTGCCCATCCTGTCTTTCAACATGAGTGATATAGCCTCAATGTGTTTTTCACACCTAACATGGCTATTGTTGCTTCGGTGGCTTTGTAGTGTTAATAGGAAGCCTGTATTGGTTATAAAGTTCATTTGCAAAACAAATTCCACCTTGTATTCTGCTTTCAACATCACATAAATATTGGACCAGAAATGCAAAGCTTCATGTATGAAATCATGAAAGTAAAAAAATTCCAGAGATAAGAACTGAATACAAGCCTATTCTTTAAAATCATAAAATAATAGAAGAGTAGAGTTGGAAGGGGTCAGAAGGCCATTGGGTCCAACCCCCTGCTCAGTGAAAGATTCTCAGTTAAACCATCCCTCTCAGATGGCTGTCCATCTGTTTAATAATATATAGATAGCTAAAGACAAGTGAGACCCTGCCTTTTTAGAATATCTAATTTCAAGGATATTTTTCTCTTACTGTCTCTGTGGAGAGATCACATGTGTAGACAGGTTCAAAAGCACCATGTGGAACTCTTACTCCGGGCAGAAACTGAATCGCTTGAAAGACTATTATGTTCAACAGGAAGAGGAAATATATGAAGACTGGAAAACACGAAGTTCTTTCTTCAACAAAAGCCATAAAAGTGTCGTGATAAAGGTGGACATGGGTCAGAAGAGGTGAAAAGAGGATCTTAGCTTGCTTTTGAGTGTCTTCCAAAACATCTTTGGTAATGGGGAGGGGGAGAGTTGCAGCTTGGAAACCCAGTCCCTCCTCTTAAACTTCTGCTTGTTAAGTTCTTCATAATGTAACAATTTATGTGAGTAGCCAGGAGGCATTGCTCTTTCCAAATGACTGAGAATCAAATTGGGCTAGCCTTAGTCCTGAGAAGTAATAAGTAGGTGAGTGCAGTACTGCAATGGTACCAGTTTCAGGTCTCACCACATCTAAGGCCTGGCTCCTGACAGGTTGCCTCAAATTTGAGTGTGACATGGATAAAGCAGTGGTCATATGGGTCAGTGATGTGATCCTGCACAAGTTAGAGGTCAGAAATTGGTAGTCTTAAGGAGGGAGACACAGGCCTGGTTTTGCATAAGTTGTTTAAAACTCATAGTGTGTTACAATACCTAACTCAGCAGTCTAACACTTGAATCACTGCAGAGTTACAATTCTATCAGCAGAGACTAGAATCAGGATAAAGTATTTTTCTATTATATTGCATGTATGAAGTGGTTTGTCTAGTGACAGAGTATTTGCATTACCTGGAAATACACCTCAAGTGATCACCTTTAATAATTTTTGTATTTGATTTCCTTTTTCACTCACTATTTACACTTCTTTTTCTCTATACTGCCAGACATATACTGTATATAACCACTACATTCTCTGAAATACTCCTTGCATCTTCCTATTGGCTATACTCTCCAAAAACCTATGCCAGAACGAATTAGTTAGTCCTTAAAGTGTCACAAAATGTTTCAGTGAGACAGGTCTTCATTGGCTTGGGAAATCAGCAGATCAGGTTGTGGCGTCACCTGGCAGCTTCTGCATTGCTCCCAAGGAGTATCCATGCTGTGGAGAGCTTGCATGCTGGTAGAGGAAGAAGTGGTGATTTAAGACCCCTCTCAGTGCGTTGCCATTCCTTCCATTCCTTTTCATCACTCCACCCGCTCCCCAGGGTCCTGTGCTAAGTGTTACCATGGAGCACATATGGATAGACAAAACACAGCAAAAATAGATCTTGGTGTGATTTTCTGTTGTACACACACACACTCCCAAGCTTTGGTAAAATGTCACACCAAGAATGTTTTCTGTGTTTTATCCATGTCCACATGTATAGTGATAATTCAGGAATGGAAAGCCATGATCCGATGGTGGCACAGGGCTCTGGACAACATTTGCAAGGAAAAACCCCAAACAACCATTCCTAAGGATTCCTATGGCAGCTCTTTCATGTCAGAAATAAGAACAATTAACTCAAAAAAATCAGGATGAAGAATTTTGGGAATATCCTTACTTGTCAGCCATAGTTGCTAAAATGTCTTCAGTCTGTCTTTCGTCCATCCTTCCTTCCATCTGTCCTTCCTTCCTTCTTTCTGATTCCTTCTTTCTGATTCCTTCTGTCCCTTTCTCTCCCTCCCTTCTTGACTGCCAGGGAGGGACAGATTTCTCCTATTAGAAGTCAGAACTGATTGCTTGCAGAAACTTTTCAAAGTAGGCTGCAGGGGATTTGCAATCCTAGGCCCAAGTCACTCACCGTAGGATTAGAGGTGAATGACTTGGTCAGAACTGGGCTGGATGTCAGGTCTGGATCAGGAAAATAAGGAAGGGCCAGATGATCTGTGTGGCCAAACGGTGAGAAGGGTTGCTTATATGGGGAAACTGAGAGCAATCACAGAGTCACCTATGGACCACCTATGGGTTCCTTAGGTCACCTGGCCCAGCTCTGGTCATTCCAGCAAAAGCATAACTGCAACCCAGCAGAGATCAGGCCTAAACCATGTCTCCAGGTCCAACAAGAAGTCACATTTATCCAAGGTTTTTAAGCATGTGTTTACAACTAGCCCTTTCTTTCATAAAATGCAGCCATGGGGAGCACCGACAACAAATAGCACTTTTGAGATCAAATAGTGGGGAGGGAAATTGTCCAGAAGGGAAAGGGTTAACTTTCATCTTTCCCAAGATGTGAACCTTGGTTAGATGGGAGGCTCCCAAAGACAGTGGATGAACACCAGATTTATAGCATGTCCTTAAAATAATATCTAGATTTGCTTTCCCAACCTATACCAGTCCATCTCCAGGAATCCTCCACTATGCTGGCTGGAGGATTCTGGTCATTTGACCAGTCTAAATTTTACATGGGAAGGATGCCTTCTGGCTGCAGGGCAGAAGAAAGGGTTGTCAGCTAACCCTACAGCCTGGAGAGAGCCGGGTATCTCCTGAGCCAATCAGACTACAACTGGAGGGACCCCAAGTAGGAGAAAGAAGATCTAGCTGGATCCTGAAGGTTAGCCTGGGGCAGAAGGCAGCTGGGCCCTGAGGGAGGCACCAGCAAGTTTTAGGATCATAGGTTTAAGAAGCTTTATGAGACAAGGAAAGGAATGCTAGAGCCTGCCCCCCAGAGCAGCACTGGACAGCATGCTGCCCTCCAAATCTTCTTGCCTACAACTCCCGTACTAGATGGCTCTACTGAAAGAATGAGGACATTATTGCGGCTCAGCAGGTAGGGGAGTGAACTTTCTGGGTGTCCAAAAGCCAGGATGGTTTCCTGGGAGGCATGCAAAGACCCAGTGTCCTTCCTTTTGTGAGGAAGAACCCCAGGGGTTATTATTTTCCCAAGTATATTCCACAGATAAGAGTTACTTTTGCCTGAGAAACCCAAAAATTCAGACTCAGACCTTAGGATTGCCCTCACATTCAGTGACCTTGCTCTTTCCACAGGGCTTCTGGTTACATGACTTTAGGGCAGAGGTACACAACTTATCCCCTCACAATGGCTATGTTGGCTATGGCAGGGCTGCAGGTGAGGGGGGTGTCCACTTTCTTTAGCTTCTTTGTTCCCTGCATACACATGTCATCATTGTATTCCATTGTATTCTGGGGGTTTGTTTCTTCCCAAGCATCCTCTAATCAAACATGAGGCACCTTGGCTGGACCAGGACCCTGGGAATTGATACAACTCCCATCAGCCATAGCCAACATGGCCATTTTTGAGGGTACAAGTCATGCACCCCTGCCCACAAGTTATGTAACGAAAAAGTGCTGTGGCAAGAGCAAGGCCACTGAAAGTGAGGGCAATCCTAAAGTCTGAGAGGGACAGTCATTGCAGCAAAGGCCTGTTCATTCTGAATTATCACTGGGAAAAGTGTGATGTCCGATGCTTATTTTGTCCTTAGTGGAAAACATACGTAGTTTGCATTCGGGGACCAGGTGCAACACTAAATTGATCATGGCAAATTTTTAGTTACAAATTCTCTTTTTTTTGGAAACTTCTAGTGTTTTCTGTGAGCAACAGGAAGAAGAGCCAGAGATTATTCAAAATGTTGTCTCAGGTGTGTGTGGGAAACATTTAGCATACACCACTTCCTATGGAAATGTACCAAGTTCGGTGGCTGCAGCTGTATATATCAGGGTGGATGAACTCCGTAAAGGGGAATACACTGTGAGTCTATACTTCTTTAAGGTGCTGTTCTTGGTAGTTTTATTCTGCTCCCAGATTGAATTCATCTTCATTTGTTTTAACTGTATTTTGTTCTATATGTTAGCCACTTTGCAGGCCCTTTTGAGGGACAGATGTTGGTTAGAAGAACACAGGAAGCTGGCCTACTTCATTCAGCTTCTGGAACAGGGCCCTACAGAATAGTTCTAGGGTTGGTGTCCTCTTCTTGCCCTTCTAACCTCAGGGCTCCTCCTGTTCCTCCTTCAAACTCTCTGCTGTTGCTGGCTTTTGGTTGGAGCTCCATGTATCAGGTTACAGGGCTTGTCTGCCCATTCCCAAGGAGAGATACTGTCTTTCAGTTGAAAATCTGACCACTTATTGAAGTGATCTAGAATGCTCCTGGCAATAGACAATCACAATCCTCACAATCTCCTTGCCCCATCCTTTTGGATACATTCCTTGGCTAGAAACAGAAAATGTCTGGCATTCAGCTGTAGGTCCATATGGAACGATAGGCTGAGCTCTCTGCTGCCCAGACTGGATTAATGCGGACTCCACAAACATGGTGCATTGAAGGGCTTCAGGTGACAGAAATAAGTCTTCTTCTTAGATAAGTCTGCAAGATGAGCGTACCATGATCATGGTAAGCCAAGGGGCTGAGATCATCCGTCTGCGAAAAGACAAGATTGAGGAGTGCGCTGATGATGCCACAGTGATGAAATTAAGTAATATGCAGATCCAATATCCCAGGTAGGCATGACCCAATTAAGGGGAGTGATGGTGGTGGGGTCACTTTACTGGGCTTAGTGGGGGAAAGTCCATTATATCATGATGGAATACTGCAGCTACACTTTAGACCCTGCTTTCCTTATACAGATGCAAGGAAAGAATGTTTCAGTCTTGTGAGATCTTGTGGAGCCAATCAGAAATGGGAATAAAAAAGAGGCGAACAAACAACATGAAGGAGAGTCAGCTGCTGACCCAGACCTTTCTCTAGGAGGCTGGGGGAGAGAGCACACATGCACTGGAATCTCTAGGACTTATAACCTCATACAGAGAGGGGTGTCACCTTACCTAGACTTGTAACAGCTAGATCTGGCAACCTGATGTGCTCCAGATATTTGGACACAATCCCTTTCCATTGACCATGGTGTTTGGCCCTGATGGGCGCTACAGTCTGAAACATCTGGAGGGGCTACTTGTATTCTTGATTAATCTAAAGAACCAGTTTCTGGTTTCAACAGTACTTTTATTTTCTCCTCTCTGGGTGATAGTTCTGTCTAATTTTCAAAAGAGATCTGGAGGTATTTTGGAGAGTGAAAATGAAGGAGGAGATGTAAACTGCCTTGAGCCCTTTGTAGGAAAAAGGCAGGATATAAATCCAAAAATAAAAATAAATAAATAAATAAAATGTCCCTGTTGGAACAAGATAAGCCTACCCTTTCTCTTAATGTTGGTTTCATATTTCAGTGATGATGAGCTGTGTCAGATCTTCCTCAGGCAGAACTCATGGGAGATGTTTAAGAAAGATCTCCTGAACCTTGTGATGCAGCCCAAGCTGGTGAAGATGGTTCATCCTCCGCATCCGTGCCCCACAGAGGAAATATACACCTCTTGGCACATGAATCAAGCAGGTATCTTGGACCTTTCTGATCTGTATTATGGAAAACCAGTTCCACCACAGAAAGGCAAGTACATTCCAGTCCAGCCAAAACAGACAAAAAGGGCCCTCCCAGACATTCAGCCACGACTGATTCATGGCATCACTGTAATGCGTCCCAATCTGGATGGTGCATTTTAGTGCATCCCAAAGCTTTATGTTCATAGGTTAGCAGCAGCAAAAGGCAACTCTAAGTGGAAAAGAAGTGATATCGGCAACATGTATATGACTGTGCAATACATGCATCTTCATTGTTGTTGTTGTTATTATTAAAATACAGCCTTTGTCTTTTATCAAAAAGGAAAGCCATAGTCCTCTCTTTTTACAATAGATTTGTGTTGCAAATTCCAAACCTGGTAAATTCACTTTCTTTCAATATTGTCATAGAGATTTTTTTCCTTCATGATGTAGCATGTGTGTGTGTTTATATACATGTCATCAATAAATTATATTTAATGTTTAAATATTGAAATGCTTCTGTGTTTTACTTGTTATAATGGAGACAATATGGAAATTGCACGGTAGGACATAGTAGTTGTGTTCCTCTAAGTCAGCTCCTCATTTGGAGGAGAGCCAACTGAGGCCAGTTCCACCTGATCTGAAACACCAATACAGCCCACGTGGCCACATGGGTAAATGAACACAAAGCCCAAAATTCTCTAGTTACCCAACATCCAATGCTCAGAAGACTTCATTATATAATTCCATTGTAATACAATTGAAGTGTAGAACTTCAGGTCCAGGGGACAAATCTATTAGTCTGGAGTTCTCCAGATTGCTGTGTCCCAACCATTGATTCTTTGGTGGTTTCTCGGCTTTTGTGCAGTTGTCCCTCCTCCATTCTAAAAGGTTGGAATGCATGCCCTAAGTTTCTGACAATCGGAGCTTTAAGCCACGGACCATTATTTGTTTGTTTGTTATGCAATACATTATATATCACCCAATAACCCAAAGGTTCTGTAGGCAGTTAACAAGATCAAAGACATAAACACAATACAACAAAACAGAAAAGCAATAAAATCACTAAAACAACCAATAACAAACAAGACTAGCATTGCTGCATTAAGTTAAACATGCTGGTACATTAAAACAATCCAACAAGGCCACCACCTCATAATCAAATTAAAAATACAGGCATTGTAATGACAGTTTAACTATTAAAGTATATGGAGAATAAAAAGGTTTTCACCTGGCACTGGAAAGAGAGATGGGTAGATGCCAGGCATACCTCTTTGCAGTGCTGATTCCATAAGCAGGGTTCCACAACTGAAAACACCCTTCTTATTACTTTTCTCAGAGAGGGTCCTTAAGAAGGACCTCAGAAGATGATTTCAAGGCCCAGGTAGATACATACAGGAAGAGGTGTTCCTTCAGATATCCTTGCCCCAAGCCAGTTAGGGCTATAAATATTAATATAAGCACTTTGAATTGGGCTGGGACTTCAACTGGCAACCAGTGTAGCTGAAAGAGGACTGGTGTGATGTGATCCTGTGGGTCAGTCCCCATTAACAGCCACGCTGGCCTATTTTAGATCAGTTGAAGTTTCCAGATGGTTTTCAAAGGCAACCCCACATAGAGTGCATTACAGTAGTCCAAAAGAGAGGTTACCAGTGCATGGATTACTTTAGCTAGACTGTCTGTCCAAATATGACTGTAGTTGGTAAATCAAATTAAGCTGATAACAGGTGCTCTGTGCCACCCAGTCCACATGAGACTCAAATAGTTCTGGATCCAGGAACAACCCCAGTGGTAAACCTTGTCCTTTAGCGCAAGTGCAGCCCTGCCCAGGACAACATCTCCATTTTGCTTAGACTGAGCCTCAGTATGTTGGCCCTCAACCAGTCCATTACCAAGCCTAGATACTGATCACTGATTCAGAGAGGCCACTGCCTCACCTGGGTTCATTGAAAAAGAGAGGTAGAGCTGGGTGTCATCTGCATATTGATGACACCTCAGCCCATATACAACTCCCCCAAAGGTTCCATGTAGATGTTGAAGAGCATGAGGGTCAAGATGGTGCCCTGTGGTACTCCATGGCACAAATGCCATAGCACAGAACAATCCCCCAGCACCACCTTCTGAAATCAGACAGGTAGAAGCAGAACCACTGCAAAGCAGTACCTCCTACACCCAACCCAACCATGGCATCAAAGCTGCTGAGAGGTCCAGAAGAATCAACAGGGTCACACACTCCCTGTCCCTCTCCTGGCAGAGACCATCCCACAGGGCAATCAAGGCAGTTTTCATTCCTAAGCCATACCTGAAATCCAACTGAAATGAATCTGGATAGCAGTTCATCCAAGAGTGCTTGGAGATGCTCAGCCACCACCCACTCAGCTTGCCCAGGGAGGGAATGTTGGCAACAGGGCTATAGTGATTTGAATTTCCTGGGTCCAAGTTAGGCTTTAAAGGAGTGGTTTAATCACAGCCTCTTTTAAAGAGCCTGGCACCAGTCCCTCTTTCAAGGAGGCATTTACAGCCTCCTGGACCTGGGTGCACATCCCTTCTTTAGATCTGAAAATAAAATATGATGGACAAGGGTCAGGCATACAGGTGGTAGGCTGAACCTGGCCCAGTACCTCAGGCCCCAGTCACTGAAACTCATCCAGTAACAATGTTGTTGTTTGTGGCCCCACTGCTTTTTGCTCTGCCCCCTGAGGGCTTACCTGAAATGGAATGCGGCTCTTGGGCAGGAAGAGGCTCAACATTCAAGTACTACAGAACACATTGGGTGCTGCTCTAGCTTTCCTTACAGTAAGTAGTTCCATGCATTTGGAAAGCCAGCTTCATAGCCCAGAGTGGGGAACCTGTGTGAACCAGGCCCCATCATCCCCAGCCATCTGGGCCAATGGTCAGGGAGGATGGGAGCTATAGCCCAGCACCATTTGGAGAGTCACATGTTCCCCACCCCTTTGACAAGTGATTGCAACAGCACATCTGCAAAACTATTGCTTGAAGTGGACCTGATTTAACTTCTGTTGGCTGCAAATTACAAAACCAGCAAGCATTTCTCTTGGAGGCAGACTTTTAAAGCCTAGAATGGTACTGGGACCAAACATCTCTGACAGACTGGCCTTCACTCAGGAATCTGAATTTCATTAGTTTAGAGTTCGGGGTTTGTGTGCTTCTCAAAATAGGGAAAGGCTCTTAGGATTCTTGCTTTGCCTGCTTGGATCTCCAGCTCCAGGGCTGAAGCAATTCTTCCCTGAGGAACGCTTGCAACAGCTGGGATTGTCTAGTTCAGGGAAAGGGGAACCATGGCAAAAGCAGAAAAAAGGGTGCTTGGTGTGGAGAAAGTGGGGAGGGAGCCATTTTTTCTCCCTCTCTCATACCACTAGTGCCCAGGGCCATCCAATGAGGCTGAGTAGAGGAAGATTCAGTGACTACTTCTTCACACCACATGTGTTATTTTATGTTATTCATCTCCACAAGATGTTGCAATGGCCACCAATTTGGACAGCATTAAAGAGGGTGGAACCAATTCATGGAGAAGAAGGCTCTCAAGGGCCATGGGTCTGATGGCGACCTGCTACCTCCGGTATCAGAGGTGGCATGCCGGTGTACAATAACTGCTAGCGTACTTGAGGAGGGGGTGCTGTTGCACTCAAGACCTGTGCGTGCGTTTCTCATGGGGGGGCTGCCTGGCCAGGATGCAAACAACGCTGAAATGGGTGACCCCTTGGTTTGATCCAGCAGGGCTCTTATGTTCTGATGAGGGTCTGAAATAAAGGAAGTGCAGTCAGTGTATTGTCTCATACTAAAATGGAAGCCTTGAATGCACCCCCAAACGCAATTCTCTTTCATATAACACTGTTCTTGTATAAAACATGCTTTAAAAAAATGGTATCAGGAAAACCGGTTTCTGTTCAGTTTGAAATGTCCAGGTGGGATTGAGCCAATGGTGGTGTTCCACATTTCCTCTTTTCCAAGCAGTTTCCTTCCAGAGGAAAAAAAGAGTGGGAATATCTGGTGCTTTTTTAAAGCATCCATTTGTTTTTGAGGACTGTACAGGATGAGCAGGTATCATGCAAGATGGGGTGGGGGGAGCGGCATGATAGGCAAGCCACACTGCCTGCACAGCAGTATCTTCATCCAAGCAAGACAAGCTTGCTTGAAATAAAAAACAGCTTTTCCAACTAATGGATCTTGGCAATTCCTCCTTTATCTCCCACTCAGCTGCTGCATGTAAATGTATCTAATCTCCACTAAGTGTACTTTAATTACCATTTATTGCTGGTAATTAAGGCCCATCAAAGCAAAAGGGAAACTTTTTTAAGAATTTGTTTGAATATTATCTAGCTCCCAGTCTTGCAGGTCCTCAGTCTTGGTGGTGGGCTGTATCTGGTGAACAGAGAAATGCTTGCTTACAGGACTGTCTAACAGGGATAAGTTGAAAGCTTCGTAGTCCAAGCCCTGTGATGATCTGATGCTCATGGGCACCCTGCCTATGGGTGCAAGGCCTGGTATAGCCACACCAAAACTAGCACTGGTTGCTGGCAACCAGAATAAAACAAGCTCAGTTGCTGCAGTCTCCATACGTTCCCAGTTTCTTGGGAACGACTGGCCAAGTATTCCTCTGGGGTCTCTTCTGTTGAGCTTCTCTGCAGGCCCTTTGGGGAACACAACTAGCTTTACAGATTTTTCTCAGCACAGTGGTGCAAACTGGTTGTTAAACAAGTGTCAGCAGGGCCAATAATGTGATGCACCCCGTAAGCCTCCTTGCTTTCACTCCCAAGGACACAGTCTGGGTCTTGCTGAGGACAGGGAAAAAGATTTATTAGGGATTCAGAAAAAAGTACAGAACAGGGAAAAGGCTGCTCAGATTCAGAGCACAATGTATTAAGCAGTCTAAAGTGGCTATTCAGTGGCAAAGGACAGATAAAATAGAAAATGCTGTCCAGCCAGCAGGGCCCTGCATAAGCTGCCTACCTGGTTCTTTGAAGACCTGGGACTTCCACGATGAAGTTTGCCTGATGCCTACGTCCAGTCTTCTTCCTACCCTTTCAGGGAAACCTACAACTGGTGCCTGCATCAAGCTCTCCTACATCCTGATAGAGATGCTACCAAGAGAGAAAGACTCAACTTCCTTTGTCAGAGGAGTATCTTTTCTTCAGTCTCCCCACTTGCCTGGGTGGAGAGTCCAGAAGAAACTCCCTCTCCGGTCTGCTGACTGCCAACTGATCAGTCATTCCCAGTTCTGAGAAGGATTCTAGGAGATTCCTCATTCCTTAGGGACTTGAACAGTCTAGCATTCAGTAGGTTTGTTAAGCAGACTTGTTTGCCTTTGGGATGACTTCAGCCAGGACATCTATATTGCAATGCCGGCATCCAGATGGCCTGGCCTTTAGCTTTAGCAGATCCCCACAAGTGATTGCAAAAAGGAGGTTTCTTTAGCTTGTTGCTGGCTAAGATGGAATCTATATGGTGAGTGGACCACTCTAGGCTGACCATAAGAAGCCTATAGGCTTACTTTACATGTGGGTGGGGATTTTGGGGTGCTGCAGGGCACAAAGAGGGGATGGTTAACCCTTCCTCTCTGAACTGTGATCCAAGAAATCCCTTGTGATTGGCAATAAAACTCTGAAAAAACTCCCATTGACATTGGTATTTTAAAAAAGGTCTAATTGCCATGCATGTGGTATTGGGGAGGGAAGGGTTCCTTCTAGCTGCAGCTTGCAGTTTTCTCACCACCTGTGAGAGAAAAGCTGAGAAAAAAATATCTGTTGGCAAGAATGGACATTCAGGGCCCTGAGGAATTGTTTGGGATGTAAAATAGACACAGGCCAGCTTAGCAATATCCCTGCTGCTTTAAATGAAGTGAGCTCAGGCCTATGGACTGCACCCTCACTGCCTGAAAGACCCCAAACTTGGAGTTGTCCAAGATTCCTCTGCCCTGGCAGGATAAAGCAGGAGGAGTGATGGAGGTTATGTTTACATCCCTGTCCTCCAATCTCCTTTATTTTCACTAGAAATAGCAATGGGTTCTTTGGAAGGGGATGACAGGAGGCTGGACTTATGCTAAGTCTTATCCTGGCCCCTCCAATCTGCTTCCCTCCCTGCCCATTGGAACGCTCCCTTTTCTCCCTCTCTAAGGCCAATTTTTCAACCCTCGAGAGGCAAACTCCACAGTTATCTCCTCACTGGTCATGATGGGCTGGAGGTCAGATCTCTGCCTCCCCCTTCCAAGGATGAAGCCCTGTCCCTGATCTCAGCAGGGTTTCTCCAAGCAGTCCTGTCTTCCCTGGGATGCTCACCCAGGGACAACAGGACTGTCATCTCCAGCTCCATCTTATACACAGTTGCCCAGGAGTAAGTTCCAATGGATGCTAAGCAGGAGTAGACATGCTTAGCATTGGCCCTCCCACTCATACTCATGAGTAAGTTATTCTGCAGTTGTCCTTAGCCATATGTAAATTTACTATCCGCTCTCAGAAAATCCAGTATTGAGCATGATGAAGGTCAGAGTGCTGTATGACCTAGTTACTCTTGTAATTGCAGTACAGGTTGAAGATTAACATCCAGTGGATATATGTTTTGTTATGCTAATATTTAAATCAGACTAATGACTGTATGTATTTCATGACAGCTATGCAGATGCACCCCAAAAAAAGAATCAGAATATTTAAACTATTTTTTATTTTGGATATGTTTTCTCCTATACTACCTCTGTCTTCTCAGTTATGCTACCATCAAGAAAATGGAAGGCCCATGTAATTTGTTTCTTTTGGGTGCATTTGCACTGCGTATTTATCATCCAGAAACAATCATCCATTGTTTGTGACATTTGAATTACTTACACAGCCACCTTTTGAACTTGAAAATTTTAAAGGGAAACTAAGCCTGGGGCAGCTGAAATATTTTAATTGAGGACTGTATCACATGTGAGTGATGAGGTAATCAAAGCATTAGTATGGCCTTCTTTTAAAAATAAACAAATTTCAGGTTGGTTTTTTTTTAGTACTCCACTGCTTTTCCACTAGATGTCCCTGCCTAGTGTAATGGCTATTGCTGTGCACTATGCATCTGTGCAAAGGAGGAAGCAAAAAGGAATGACATCTTTTCTATAATCCTGGGCAGCAACTAGTTTAAGGAAGCCCAGATGGAAATTAGTGAATTGGAGCAGAACAGGAGATCTAATATCCCATCTGCCTGTAAATTGTCCGCTCGCATGTCCTATTTCCATAGCTATCCCTCTATGTCACATCACTCAGGGTTGATCAGACAGGAGGGCCGGCTAGTACTATCTGTCATGACCCCATTTGACCCAGAGGTCTCCAGCTTCCTGTCTTAGGAGAATAACCCTGTATGAACAAGACAATAATTCTGGCAGATGGAGGGGTGAGGTAAGAAGTGGTACCCAGTGTTGAGTTACACAAAAGTGTTGCAATCTGTCATTTTTACAAGTTTATAGCATCAGCAGATTTTCGGTACAGTTGTTTGCCCTGTCTGTATCTGCCTGCTTAGCAGCAAACCATTAACCATTGATTTAATTTGCAGATGACTAAACCATGGACTCAACGATATGATCCCTTCTTTTCCCCCAGGTATTAAACTGTGGATGCAACAATTCATTTAAATTTGCTTACACTGTGTTCTGATTAAAAGTTTCAACAGAGGATAGCTGCAGTTGAAGTACTAAAAGCTGCAGTTAATTGTAACATAACGCCACAATGGTTCTCAAAAAAAGCATCACTTTGCCCTAATACCTTATCTCCAGCTGACAAAGTACAGTTAAGAAAAGGGCAAGTCTTTCAGAAGTAAACCTGTAAAAAAAAACCTTAATGACTTCTGTCATGCTGGGCAATAGGTTTGCTTTCCGAGGAAGGCTAAATGGCACCCTTTCCCTGACTGATTCATGGAATGACATGGGGTGTTCAGATGTCATCTTCTGCTCATAGCCCTCCCATGTTTTTCTGTCACTGCTTCCATCTTTTGTCTTACAATGCCAAGTCTGATAAGGAGGCACAGGTGGAATAGCTTCATGAGGCTCTGATCTACAGGATCAGTCTCAGAGAGTGATGCTAGGGAAGCATGTTTTGGCCCCAAAGTACTTGGTCTGTGGGTGCTGCAGGGTACCACTTTGTCCTTGATGCTGTTTAACATCTCTATGAAGCCATTGGAAGCTGTCATCCTGGGCGCTGGAGCAAGGGGGCATCAGTATGTGGATGATGCCTAGCTCCATTTCTCCATAACTTCTGGACTTCTGCTTGCAAGCAGTGGAAGCCTGAATGAGGGCCAATAAACTAAGTTTGACTCCTGGCAAGATGGAGGCACTGTGGTAGATGGATCATGAGTCTGGAAAAAAAGTCTGCAGCCTTTCTTGGGTAGAAGATGTACAGTTTTCCTCTTTAAAAGTCCTCATGTCAAGGGCTGCCAGAAGACTGTCCTTTGTCTCAAATGCATCCTCTACTTAAAATGCTGTCCAGTTCAAGGCTATTATAAAGATAAAGCACCATCAGAACACAGAGCTGGGCCTTGAAGTAATCCATCAACAGTGACTGGATAAAGGGCACAGATCACCTGGACACTGCTATCCACACTATGCTGAAATGTACATTTCTATTTCAATTGTAATAATTATTTTTAATTTTGTATCTGTCTATATAAAATAATATATGCAAATTTTATGCAACTCACTGTCCTCTTTTCTTGTTTTTTGGGTTCACAAGTGACCATCTTAAGTGGATGAGATTGCACTGTGTCTGTAGGAACAGGTATGCAGTTTGAGGCTGCCCCAAATTGCACCTTTGTAACTGGTGGATCAGGTGACCTTGGTGGTAAGCAGAGCCTTTTACCAGCGGCAGTCTTTCCTGGACCATGATAGCTTGGCATGGCAGTTCAGACACTAATAATGTCAGGACTGTCTTCCTCAGTCTTCTGTATCTTCTGTATTCAGTATCTCCTGGATGTATGCACATACAACTCCTAGCATTCTCTGGATCCTGGAACTCAAAGGATTTGGGTTCTAGTCCCCATTCAGCCATGGAGCAAACTGGGTGACTTTGGGCCAGTCACAGCCCAGTCTACCTCACAGGGTTGTAGCTGTGGGGATAAGATGGGGGAGAATTATGCAAGCTGCCTTGAGTTTCTTGGAAGGAAAAAAGGCAGGCTATGCATATAATAAATAAATAAACTGGAGACTGTCAGGTTTGGGGAGGGGGCTGTGGCTTATTTATTTATTCTGCTATCTAAGGCGAAACATTCTAATTGCGCAATCCTAGGTAGATTTAGAGAGGAAAAAAATCACCTTATAACTTCCAGTATCTCTCATGCGCCCTGCCGGATTCTGGGTGATAAAGATTTTTTTTTCTCAGTCGTTCCCAGAAGTAAAGAAGGGAGGGGAGCCTTGCCCTGAGTCAAGATGGCTCCTGCGTTCCTCAGAGATGTCATCCGTACGTGCCCCAACAGAGGGAACTGGCGGCCGCGATGATGATGGGGGCGGCCGCGGCGAAGGAGGCTGCGCTGGAATGTGGGCGGGGCGGCGCAGCGGGCGATGTGGCTTCCCATTTGCTAACATCCCAGTCCCGGGCGCTGCCGCCGCCGCCGCCGCCGCGCTGGGCTGAACCTGGCCGGGGCAGGCGAAGGTGCCTCTCCGCTCGCGGGGGAGGGTCTCCGCGGGTGCGCGCCGGTGAGTGGCCCGGGGGGCCCTGCTGGGGCAGCTGGACGAGGCCGGAGGAGCAGCGGGGAGGATGCGGGGATGTGGGCGGCGGGGGCAGGAGCCGCCGCCGTAGCAGCGAAGAACCGTGCATGGAACTGGGACCGGGCGGCGGGGAGGGGACAAGGAAATGGACCGCAGGGAAGCGGGAAGAGGCGAGCCGCGCGTTCCCCTCGCTTCGGTTGATAGCGGCGCCGGGAGCGGAGCGGGGATATGGTAGCTGTGCTTGGCAGGAGCTGGGAGGCGGGGTGGGATCTGGCGGGATGAGGAGGGAGGCTGGGCATCGGGATGGGAAAGGCGGCAGGAGGAGGAGGAGGAGAATTTCTGGGAGAAAATAATAATAATAATAATAGAACTTTGCAGGAGCAAAGGAAAAAAGGCAGTTGTGCTTGGGGGTGGCTGAGTTGAGGAAAGACTTTTTGTTAAAAAATGGCGAGGTGGTGCGGGGGGAGCACTCAGGGAGGGAAGCCCGTGGAAGCTGGACTGGAGAAGTGGCAAATGGGGATTTTTGCTCGAGGAAGCAAGCGAGTGCGTGCCCTTCTTCTCCAGTGGGCTCCTTTTGGTAAGAGCCGTGCCCGCTCCTCCCCCGCCCTCGGGGTTTAAATCCCTCGGTGTTCCTATCTTCATCACTGCCAACGGCACGGGAACGTTCCGCTTAAGTTTATTTTATGCTTGAGAAAAACATGGCACTCGGTTGGGCACCTTGCAGAGAATGTAGAAATCTTCTGAGAGCAGCTGGTTTGGAGAAGAGTTTTTGCGGAAAGATGTGCTTTATTCTAACCTTTGCACGTTCTTTGGGAAACAAAGCAAGCCGACAAACCCCTCAGCTCATAAAAATGCCGTCTATTAACAACTTGAATGGTTGAAATTCGGTGCATTTCCAAAGGTGCATTTATTTGTTAAAAATATTTCTTTTGACAGGTGATCCCTCAACTTTGATTATGTTTTGGGTACATTGAAAAGACATTTCCCACTCTTGCCAACGGTTGCGTACTGTTCAGTTGGTCACAAAGAGGAAGATAAAGGCTTGGAGTCAAATGGCATTTTATTGAGGTTATGCCAGTCAAACAAAAAGCACTTCCTGGAATCGTCTGCAGTTCTTACAATATGGAGTTATAGACTTCCCTTTCTTGCATCCTCACTTATCCTTCATTTTCCTAGCAGCTTAATTTCATTTTGGAGATTAATTCTTGAAGTACCATTGCTGAAAAGGAGAGGGCAGACATTTGAACTGTGCAGCACAATTAAAAGAGGCTCCCTTTCTTTCTCCTTGATTGAATCCAGAAATTAAAGGCAACCATTTGAACTGAAAGTGAGCATGGTAGGATCTTGAGCATATGGTACACTACAGTCACAGAAGACAGAGTGAAGAATGGCTTCCAGAGAGAGGCTGTATGAACTTTGGATGCTTTATTGTAATAAGGTAAGTTTTTTAAAATGCTGGGTGTGCATTAGCTTGCATTGCTTTGTGGGCAGTAAATATCTCCTTTTGGGGGGAATTAATTATAGGACAGTATCGAATATTGCTGCTGCATCTCTGCTAGTTCTGTTGCATCATCACAGCCCACTACTAGCAGTTAAGGAACTTGTGCTTTCCTAGTGTGGTGAGAGCTGATGTGGTGGCTAGAAGGCTCAGCTGGGGAGCTGGGAGATCTGGGTTGTAGTCCCTGCTCAGCCATAGAGCACATGGGGTGACTTTGGATCAGTCATGGATTCTTGGTCCAGCCTACCTCACAAGGTGGTGGTTGTGAGGATAAAATGGGGCTTTATAAGCCTCCTTGGGTTCCTCACAAGGAGAAAAAAAGGCAAGATAATGTAATGTGATAATAATGGTAATTGTGCTTCTTAGCGCACACCTGAAATGATTGGAAATGGTTGTTTTTGGAATAGGACAGCTCAACAGAACTCCCTTCTGCTCATGTCTGGTTGTTTTAGGAGCGGTCAGAGTCTTCTTTGTTAGTGGTAGATGCTTGTATATAGGCAGTTTAGGATATAGTTCATAATTATACTGGTATGGTTGGCCCAAATACTAGATGTTCTTGTTAGAGCTATCTTCCATTGTTTTGTTAATTAAGTTCTGTTTCACGCATTTACCATGTCCACACAGATTGTTTTCAAGTGTATCCTAAAACTTGAATATGATAAACACGCACAATCGATTGCTAGCTTGCCATGGAGCAGAGGTGGAGAGCACGTTCTTGTCTGAACTCATTGGAAGCCTAGACTTATCTTTGAAATATCTCATAGGCTTGTGTAAACTTGATGGATCCTAGAAGGTAGTCTAGGTTGAAAAGGCAACGGGCCAGTTTACATGGTGAAAACAAGCCGCTATAGCTTAAACAAGCTGTGATGCGACCGAGGTGCATTTTGCATTATCAGTGCTGAGCTTCAGCTGACCCTGTTGTCTAAACAGCCCTCCCTTATATGTATTTCTTTCCCTCTTGATGTCTGTTGCTGTTGTAGGCACTACTGATTCTTCAGTGCTGGGCATTTTTTATTTGTGTGTTCATTACTTTGCTGCAAAGAAGAATATGCAAAAATTTTCCTTTAAGCTATATGAACTGCTGTGGAATTTTTCTTAGGCTTGGTGCTTAAGCTAGCAAGGTTTTAAATTTACAAAAGCTCTATTGTTTGCCTTAGAAGCTCATTATGAATGTGTTAATCAAGGCTTTCTTCTCTTGGTTAGCAGATATTTGACAGTCTAATGTTAAAAAAGCATGAATGCTCACATGGAGATTTTGAAGTGTCACTTAACATTCATTAAGTTAGCAGCAACTCTGTACTTTTTCTGGCTCACCATGCTAACTTTATTCGATCTTTTACAGTGCAACCTTATGCATGTTGTTGAAGTAAATTCCATTGAATTCAATTAGTCTTATTTACAAGCAAGACTAACTGAATGTTAGATTTCAAGCATGTCTACTTAGAAGTAAGTTATTGTTATTTCAGTGGGACTTATTGATTGGTAGGGAAGTACATTTTGCAGCTGTAGTGATTTTCTAATAGGAAAGTTCCTTTCTGTAAGTGGGAGATGGGAGGGGGCAGCTAGCAGATAACCTTTCGGAAGACAATGTCTGGAAAAGTTGGCAGGGACCTGAACATGGTAACACAGTGCCTAATTGATGGATGGTGTGATGGGAATATAGGAAGCTGCTCTATCATGTGTCAGACTGTTAGGTCCATTCAGCCCAGTATTGTTGGATACTGTCTGGCAGCAGCTCACCAGGGTTTCAAGCAGGTTTTTCCACAGTCCTACCTGGAGATGCTATGGGGGATTCAGTTTTGGACCTTCTGCACACAAAGCACGTGTTCAGCCACTACGCTACAGTCCTCCCAAGGATGGACAGTGGGCAGCAGAGGACTGACACCACTCCCATCTCATTCAGTGGGGCTGTTTCCATGGGGCAGGATGCATAACAAGGCTGTGGTTTGTGTTGCTGTTTGGAATATGTAAGCCCTGCTTGGAGCTTGTTGTGTTCTGCAAACACAGTAAGCATGGGGATGTGAGGGTCAGACAACCTTTGCATAACTCATGATTGTTTTAGGGTAATGCGAGGTTAGTTGGCCTTTGCATAACCCATGCTTGCTGGATTCACATGACATGACAACCTCCAAGCAGGAGTTGCTTGTGCAGCCTTGTACTGATGCTGCTTCTTATGGGCTCAGTAATCCATAAGAGCCTGTGACATGTTGCCCAAATCCAATCAATGCAAGGCAGATGTATAGGGGAGATGTAAGAGATGGTGCACTGAATGCTGAAAACCCAGTTTGGTCACTGTGGTTCATATCCAGTGTTAACCCTACTAAGAGTAGACCCCTTGAAATGAATACAGCTTACATTAGATACAACTCAGTGCACTCACACTGTCTGCTTTATCTCTCTTCTTCCCATTCAGTATGCTGCATGAACGCATGCCCACTTAAAACGCGTGTTATATCTGCAAATAACCATTGAATTGACAAAAATCCTCAATAATGTTGCCATTCGGTTCCATCTGTGGGGGCTAGGTTGAGAGCTTCTGCAGGAAGTTTTTACAGTGGTTCCCAACCTTGGGAACCTCATAAGGCCAGAGTACAACTTCTCTTTCCCCTGATCATTGTCCATGTTGGCTGGGAATGTTGGGAATTCTGCACACCCAAGGTGGTGAGTGGAGATGTGTACAGATACTTCTGTTCATGTGAGCTGTAATTGAAGAAGGCGTTCTTATGATACAGTCCTCTATAACTTCACGTAAAAGTAAATCCTGCTGTGTTTAATGGGTCCTTGCCTTCAAATAAGTGTGTTTTAGAGCTGCAGCCTTCATATTTAACATTGAAGAATCATCACAAATTCTGTTATATATAAAATCTGGCTGAAATATTTCAAAAAAACTTAGTTAATGAAATAGGCCCTAATCACATTTTGAAAACCAATAAAAATGCAGTAGTCATAAATTACATCTCAGGAAAGTAGGTTAAGATAACTTTTATTTTTAAATTGGAATAGCATCTGTTGGTGAGAACACAGAAGCTTTTAAGTTTAAAAGCCCATCAGGCAAAAACCGCATCTCTAAGAATTTTAATCTACAAGTGATTTATGGCAGTTTTGAAGTGGCTTATGTTTGGAGGGCAAATTGCAGCACTTGCATGGCCCTTGATCCATATGTAGCTCTCTCTCAGTACTATTTTGTTTCTCAGCTGCCCTATTTATGAGCTGGGTGACTCAAATTCAAATGACCATCTTGGAATGGCTGCAAAGATGACTGTTCGGGATGTGTCTTTGAAACCTAGTAGAAATGGCCCATCTATGTGAAACTGCATATCTTTTAAAATTGACATTTAAAACAAAATATAGTTACAAAGATAGATTAATGCATAGATTAAATTTATTAATTTTAATGGATCAGTATGTCTATGGTGCATTTCTCTGGCATTTACCTCAGACAGTACAGTCTTGCTAAAGGGGATTGAGCAACATCAACATTTCATTGATGTTTTAATCTTATTTTTATGTCAGTGTGCTGCAAGTTGTTTTAATGCTAGATTTTGAGATGATTAATTTTAATGGCGGTTTTACTTTTTGTGTGTGTGTGTGTAAAATTTTGTTTATCTTGGTTTTATCAGATCTTGATAGTTTTTATGATTTTATTGTTATTGGTTTTGACTGTGGATTGTTCGAAGTGTTTTGTACTGTTTATGCTGTAATGGATTTTAATGATGTAAGCCACCCAAAGAGCTTATGGCTAGTGGGGCAGCATATAAATTGAATAAACCAACCAAGAAAAGTGTGAAAATACTTACTCAGATTGTATTGCAAATACTTTCTGACTGTTTAAAGAATTCCACTTGAAAAACACTGTGGGTTAGATCCAGACTTACTCAGACTTAGAGGAAATCCCATTGAAATAAATGGGATTTAAGTCTGATGTGACTAACTCTTAAGCCCTATTATTTTCAGTGGATTTACTTTATGGATGAGTAAGTCTGGTTCCAACTCAATGAAACATTGCAGAACCAAGTTAAAAAGAACAGCTACTGAAGCTAAAGACAGCCTTGGTCCTAGTACCTGCATAGATTTGAAAATCCCCTAAAATAGTCTGCTGGTGACAAGCCTTGGGTATGATACAGGAAAGCAGAGTGATTTCAGGGCCAGTTGGGAGGGAGGCTTTTTCAGCAGGTGCCTGTCTCTTCCATTGAAATAAGTAAGTCTTGAACTGGAGCATGACCTCTGTTTTTGGATCTGTATGTGGAATTAAAATATGTGAGCTTTCTGTTTTGATACGGAATTAAGGACTGCGTAATGCATGAAGCATGTGTGCCTCGTTGGGGCATTTTTTCAGATGTCTGGTTTGGCTGTTTTTACTGTACCTCTTTCCTGTTGAAATGGTTGCAGTGGGAAAGCTTGATCCATCAAGTAAAATGCCTTACGTAGAAGAAGCATAAGGTGTGGGGAGAGTCTTGTTCAAAATCTGGCAGAAGTGCTCCTGACTGCTGACAAAGGCTCCCTTTGCTGCTAAAGATAAGAGGAATCTTTTGGCTACTGAAGGTGAAAAGAGTTGGGCGAGTTGCAAATACTGATTGGCTTGGCCTGTGTTCTGGTCAAGAAGAAGACTTGAAAATATTCAGATGCCATACATTGCTCTTGTTGGCTCTTTGTACAGTCTGTGTGGCAAGATACCATTTGGTAGCATCTCATCATGTCTAGATGAAGAAACTCTGTGCATGGGAGATGGTGCTAATTTTGCTAGGCAAAATCAGTCCTGATCAGATATCTGACTGGCTTCGCATATAAGGGAGGACCTCTCATTTGCTTTCCCTCCCTGCCGCATGTCCGCACGCAGGGTGCCGTGTACGAATAGTGCTTATCTGTCCACAAAAATCATAGATCCAAACTGTGTGAAGGATAACCCACAGTAAATCTGCAATTGATCATACCATTCAAGT